GTATTATTTAGTAAGGTAAAAGTAAGTAGCCTTATATCCTTAGTGCTTTAATTTATTATATACTTTAGTAATTAACTCTTAATAACAGCTTAGATTATTAATAACCCTCTATAGGTAAAAAGAGGTCTTTATCCTCTATTAAAATAAGATTTAATCTTATATTATAAATTATATAGCTAACTACTTAAACTAGTAAAACTAAGTAAGGGAAATCCTAAGAGGTCTTTTAAGTAAAAGTAAGAAATAAGTAATTTATTTTAAGTTAGTTAACTATTATTTTAGTATAAAGAGGTCTACTAGAATATTAATATCTTAGTTCTAATTAGTTATATTATTATTTTAGCTATATATATAAATAATAAAGTTCTATATAATATAAAGTTAAAGTACTTTTATATTAATAAAATCTTTAATATCTTCCTCTTAATTTACTTCTTTAATATTTAATAGGCTAGAGGGTTTTTATAATAATCTATTTACTATAGTGTTTTTCTTACTATTAATATACTTAATTTTAAAGTTAAAAAGCTAGATTTAAAAAAGCTACTTTATTATTATTACTAAAGGTAAGTTATTTACTATACTATTAATTTATATAATAAGGACTTTTATATTAGTCTTTAAAAAGAATTAAATACTAAAAAAGTAGTTATATAGTTATTTAAGGCTTATTAGAACGCTTTATATTTCTAGCTTTCTTATATTATAGTTTAGCTTTAGTTTACACTAAATTCTACTCTTATACTATAAAACAGCCTACTTCTTATTAATAATTTATCTTAGTATAGCGCCTTATCCCTTAACGCTAGTATTTATTATTAGGATAATCTAGCCTACCTTAAGGCTATAGTGTAATATAATTAAGACTAAAGCCTTAGTAATAGTAAACTTAAGTACTTCTATAGCTTAAGTATAATCTATATTTTACTAAAAGGACTAATTCTTTTTAAGAAGAAAGTATAAAGGCGCTACGATTAATAAGAAGTTCTAAACTTAATACTTATAAAAAGTAATAATCCTTAAGAAAAACTAGACTTTTAAGACTAAGGAGCACTTCTTTTACTTAAGAATCTTAATAACTTTTACTTAATTTAGCTAGTGCCTATTTATACTATATAAATACCTTATAATTACTATAAATATTTAGTACTATTAGGACTTAAGTATAAAAATAGTATATCTAGCTAACTTAATATTAAATAAGACCTAATTAATATTCCTTAAATATTTATAAATAAATTAGTAAATACTAAAATAAGTAAGTAATTCTTTATTATTATACTTTAATTAAAGACCTTTAACTATAATATTATTTAAAGAAGCACTATAGTATTTTAGAATTAAGTTATAAAAGATTTAAGTTATAATCTAATAAAACTAGGCTACTAAATTTATTACGCCCTATAGAAAAGTATAGTATTAAAAGAGGCCTAGAGATATTAGAAAGGTTATTAGATTATAGCTTTTCTTATTAAGTATAACTTAATTATAACCTAAAAAGAAATTAAAAAAGAAGATAAGCTAGTTTATAGTATATTTCTTAAAGAATTAATTTATAAATAAAGGCTACTATATATTATATAAAGTTACTATATTAACCTTTATAGCTAAGTTAATTAGTTTAAGGCTACTATTTTTCTTTAAGATAAAAAACTAAGAATTATTATAAGTAGTATAGCTTTTTTTAATAATCTTCCTAACTATTTATTACTAAATTACCTTAAACGCCTTTAGAAAGAGGGCTTTTAAGATTAAAATCCTTTTTACTTACTATACTTTATATAAAATAGTATAAATTACTTATAGTAAAGTAACTATTAGGTCTAACTAGCTATACTTTAAAAATTCCTATACTAAGGACTTCTCTTAATTAAGAAAAATATACTTAAATAAGTCTTTCTCTTTTAGTAATAAATATAGGCTATTTTTTATAATTACTTTAAGACACTTATTAGTAAGCCTAGATTAAGGCTTAATATTAGAAATCTTTAGTATAATAATATTATTATATAGTCTAATTTATTCTTAAAGCTTCTACTTTATACTTTTAAGCTTCTTAATTTTCTAGTATAAGTTACTATTAGGTACTAATCTATTAAATAAAGTATTATTAACTAGTTAGACCTTTTAATCTTTATATTTATATATTATATAGATTATAGCTACTTCTTTAACTTTCTTATACTAATAAGTAGCTTTATTCTAGTGTTTTTAGATCCTATAGTAAATTAACTACTCCTCTTAGTAAAAGACTAGTTTTCTTATAAATTTATTATAAAGATTTTTCTCTACTAGTTTATAGTTTTATTAATCTAATAAATATACTACTATTACCTTATAAATATAAGTAACTTAAAGTTTAATTACAGCCTATATAACTAAGGCTATAATCTCTTTAGCCTAGTTTTAATTAATTATAGCTACTATTTCTTTACCTTCTTTAAGGTTAATATCTAAGTAAAACTTATTAGATTTAGTAGCACTTCTAGGTTTACTACTAGAACTTAGTTTTCTAACCTAAAGACTATAATAATATAGTTATTAATTTATAGTAAGATATTAGTAATCTTAGTTAAGCTGTTTATTTTAATTACCTTAATAGGAATTTTTAAGAGGGCTTTCTTTATATAAATATATATAGTAATTAGTTACTTACTATACCTAAAAGAGAGTTAAGTGTCTTAAGTAAAAGACAGGCTTAGTAGAAGTAGATTAGTTATTTTTTATTTATTTTTAATAAAAAAGTAAGAGGTTACTTTATATTTATTAATCTAGATAATATATATAATAAGTAAGCGCGCTAGATAAGTAAGCGCGCTACTAAACTATAACTATCTAACTATCTAACCTTTCCTTTTTATTTCTCTACTAATAATAATAAAATTAACTTATAATAAAGCCTAGGTATAGCTAGCCGTCTAAGCGTATAAAAAAGATTTAAAACTTAGTATTTAAGCTATAGTAAAGATATATAACGTTAGTTATAATTTAGTAACACGTTAATTAAAAGGTATACTATTATAACATAATATTATACCTAACTTATAGAATTTAATAGAACTTAAAGAGAGGAAGCTAGTTAAGTTTATTCTTAACTTAAACTCCTAATTATTTTCTCCCTACCTTAGTAGTGTTAAAGAAATAGCTAATTAACTACTTACTAACTATAATATACCTCTAGTTAGTAAGCGCTAGGCCTTAAACTTTATTAAATAAACACTAAAGCTCTAAATATATTTTTTTATAAGTATAACTATAAAAGGGCTTAATATAAAGATCTAGACGTAATAAATATATAGTTTTACCTTATAGTAAATATAATTATAAAATATAGTATTATAAAGTCTAATATTTATAACTTTAATAAGACTAGCTTTATAATAGGCTAGATTATATTTAAAATAGTTATTATAAGCTCTAAAAGACGTTTAAATATAAAAATAGTATAGCCTAGAAATTAAGAATTAGTTATAGTTATTTAGGCTATTAGTTTATTTAGTTATAGCGTCTTACTATATATTATTATTAGAAGTAAAAATCTTCTCTCTACTTAGTATATAGAATCTAGTCTTTTATCTAACTAGGTTATTATAACGTTTAAAAATAGATAGATAATAAATAAAAAAGGCCTAAATTAGCTTTAGCACTTTAATTAATATTTAAAGTTATATATAAAAAAGAAATATTACCTTTTTATTATTAATAAGTATAAAAGTTATTATTCTATAGACTTTAAGCTATATTATAAGGAAAATAATATTATTACTTTTTATATACTACCTTATTTATTTTATTTACTTTAGCCTTTAGATATTAGGTGTTTTAGGCCTTTAAAGCTAGTATATAGTTAAGAAATTAAGGATAAGATATAATAAAGTAATACCTATATTATAAAAAATAACTTCTTTTTATTATTTTATAACGCCTTTAAGTAAGCTCTTATAAAAGTAAATATTTAAGGAGGCTTTAAAGAGGTAAGGCTTATCCCTCTAAGTCTAGAAAGTGTACTATTAAAGCTAGATATTAAGTTATACACTTTAATACCTCTAGGATCCCTTCTAATAACACTACTAGCTTAGACTTCTTAGACACTATATAACGTAATAGAGATATCTTCTTAAGGAACTCTTATTAAGGATTACTTTATTAATTATCTAGATAGCTTCTTAATATATAAATTAATAGCTACTAAGTATATTTTTAAAAAAGCGTTAGGAATTATATATAAGAATACTTTATTAAAGGCTAAAGTTAAAACCCTTTATAAGGAGAATAACCTACTTAACTAATATAAAAAGGTAAAAAAAATGTATCTAAAGTAAGGAGGGAGTCTTAGTGTAGCTAATATATAAGATATTTAGTTATAGAAAGAGGTAATAACCTAGATTAAAGAGGAAACGTATTAAAGTAGTAGTTATAAATTAAGGATAGAAATAGGTAAACAGTAGTATAGCACCTATAGGAACACTAGATATAATATATAAATATACTAGTTTAATAAAGAAATATCTAAAGAATAGGATTCTAAGTAGTTTAAATTAATTTTATTATTTTATAGTTACTTCTTAGTTATATTTATAAGGTAGCTATAATTAGGTAGCGCGCTTACTTATCTAGCGCGCTTACTTATTATATACGTTATAGTTATTATAAAAAAGCTAATAAAGAGATAGTTTATTTAAAAAAGAAGTATTTAGCCTATAAGTACTTTAGATATAATTATTTAAAGGTATAGTATAAGCTAAGCTTATAACTATTATAGAGGTACTATTTAGGTAAGAAAGATTATAAGGAAAACAGCTTAACTATTTATAGTATAGAGATAGGTAATCTAGCCTAAAGAAATATATATTCTTTAAGTAGGTTAGCTGCGTAGAGATAAGGTTTAGTTTAGAATAACTATTTCTCTAGTCTAGAGAAATCAGCCGACCGGAGCCGGATGCGCGTGATGCACATGAGGGCATCACGACACCCCCAAAATAGGCGATGTTATCTCTTACCCATTCTGCAGCGGCTCGCTGATCCCACAAGCCGAAGTTGCCGCCCGCCTCGCCGTTGTTGTCGTTTAGGAGAGCATCGCCCGCAAGAAACCCAAAAATATTGAGACGATATCTAATGGCTACAACGATTGAGTTCAGCCCGCCCGTGGTGATTAGCTCCGTCGCATCCATCCCTGGTTCGTGCGAGGGATCGCCTGTCTGGAACCAACCCCCGTGGATCCAAAGCTGCACAGGCCATTTCTTGTTCTCCTCGCCCTCCGCTGGCACCGGAGTCCATATGTTGAGAAATAAACAGTCCTCACTGTAAATGTTCTTTCCACCATCAGGCTTCACGACGCTCCAGACCTTCTGGGGGCAAACTGCTTGAAACTTTGTCGCGTCGTATGCGCCCCCATTGGCATCGGCGTAAGTGTAGCCGGCAGGCAAGGGTCGCGGTTTGCGCCATCTGTGTTCGCCAGTGGGAGGTAGGGCGTAAGGGACTCCAGTGAAGCGACGGGACTTCTTGTCGAGTTGGAGGCCACGAATTGTGCCTCGGTCGCCCAAGCTGAGCTCAACTGGCGTCTCTTGATACGAAATATTGTTGCCCATTGTAGTTCTTGCTTTTGTGATTCAAATTCCGCTACGCGAAGCGGCGTAGCCAAGAAGTTGTCACAATATGACTCCTGTCTGATCAAGATACCATGAAGGGGTTTGGATATGTCTCGACAGAACTAAACCACGGGGTGGTCTGAGATCTCTTCCGGAGCGGGGCCGATAACGGCCTGAGTTATCATTATCCGGAGTTTCCCGGTTTAGATCGGATGACAAGCCGGCCAACCCAGCGGCGACTGTTCTACTGCGCTTGTTGAGTATTAACAAGGAGACAGCTAGACTTTCTTTATCTCGGTTAATCTGACAAGCATCACGTTATGTTTGCGCAAGGAGTTAAAGACGCCTTGTCAACGACGGATCCATGGTGAACGCATCTGGGATGTTGGCATGTTAGGTTAACAGGAGATTTTCCATAGGACTAAGCGCATAAACTGTCAGAAAACACGCCTTAATTAGTCTGGAAAAGATTCCAGATCCAGATGATGTCTAGAGAAACATCCGTATCAATGCCATCAAGCCGTGAAGCCTCCAACTGCTGCAGCTACTTTTTGAGGTCAATGCGAGCAGGCGAAATGTCACAATTTTAACATCTGTCGCAAAAACAACGCTATTAATTACAAGAAGCAATTAACGCCTTATGTACTACAACACCCCCCCCCCCCCCCCCCCCTAGATTGCAGAGATCTATCTTTATAATCTATCTGCCTATATAATCACTAGGTTAACAGGGAAGCTATTATAGCTACCCCCTTAGGCTTACTTTCTAAGACACTTTATATCTACTAGAGTTAAAACGCTCCCTGTCTATGGCTTGCGCGGGATTTAAGCCCGCAGGGTTTATAACGCTTAGACGCTAAATTCTAGGGCTAGTGCTATTCTAGCACACTAGAGCAAACTAGGCTTATAACTGTCACAAAAACAACGCTGTTAATCGCAAGCAGCAATTAACGCCTTATGTACTACAACAGCATCATAATGCCATATGAAGGCAACATTCTGGGTCTGGTGATGTTGCCTATCGTCAGAATAGGGAAACCTGAAGAATTTGCTTACCTGGCGGGCTTCCGACTTGGGTACGAGTCGGAATAGATTTTGGTCACTTCTATGGCCGTTGGCGAGGGACGCATCTCTTCAGGCGGCTGTCAGCATGTCAGGTTTTACAGCTTCTACCAGTATCGGCGCTGAAGGCTGAAATGATAAAACTAGCGTGTTTGTTGCATGACTAACTGTACTCTATCTTCTAGCCTTGCAGAGTGTCAATTGGATCTATCGGTCTTGCGTTGCATTGAATGGCTGGAAATATCAATAATATGTCCGGGTAGATAGTAGCTATATCAAGCAAGGTATAATCGGAACAATACTAAGGGCTAGTCCTTTACTCTAAGCCCTTGTATTGTCTCCTTTATCTACTGGTATGACCTCTACAGGTCCATTCACTGTCTTTGGATTTTCAAACGGCGCCATACCCTTTTTGACGGCAACGTTGTCCTCAAATGCCCCATAAATGTCGATATGGTCTTGGTAGCCAAGTCGCGGTGGCTTGAAAGCAAAGGTCAAAATTGCGTAGAGTGTTCCAGCCTCCAGAAACCCAAAGATGTAGTTGCCAAGGTAGTACTTGTAGAGCCCATCATTGATCCTGACACCCGGGTTGACTGCCGCAATCATTCCAGGCATGGCGGGAACGAAACAGACAACCCATGCGACGAATGCTCTCCAATTGAAGCCATAGAAGTACCAATAAGCACCATCTTTTGAGCCAGTGTACAGCTGGCTGACTTCGATCTTTTGACGGCGGATAATGAAGTAGTCGGTCATCATGATGCCTGTCAACGGCCCCATGAAAACAGAAAAGCTGGCTGCCACGGCTACGAAAACGCTCGCAGTATTGTAGAACTCCCATGGCTGAACTGCCCACGAGAGTGCAGCTGCCAAAAGCGCACCGCGTCTAATAGTGATCCAAGTTGGAACGAGACCTGCGAGATCCATGCCGGCAGCATATCCGTTGCCGAGAATGTTTTCAGCAACCTGGCCGAGGACAAAACCAAGACTGCAAAAGAAAGCACCGGCTCGGGACTGTGAGTTGTAATCATCCATCATCCACTGTGTGATGACCGTCAAGGGATTCCACATCGGTTCCTCCAACTCCCAAATTGCCATTGAGGCAGAGGCCGTTAAGATTGCGAAAATGGGGACGATCATTCCAGGAATAAAAAGAGAAAAGACGATTCCGGGAACTTGGATACCCTGTCTGCGCGCAAAACGGGTAAAGTCACTCTGATTGAGAATGCCGGCAGAAATGTTGCCCACTGAAGCAATGATGCCGTAAACCCAAGCCCATTCCTTGCTAAGCATGGAAGCCTGTTTTGCCCCTGTCTCAAATAAGGGACCCGTACCGCCAGTATTGCATGCCCAAATCGTGATGCCCATCATGGCGACGAAAACTATCAGATTGGCAATAATGACTGGTATTTTCGCTTTCTCAACCCTGATGAACTGTCCAAAAACTTTGATCAGTATATTATGTGCGTATCATGTGAAGTGGTGCGCACCGATGACACCTGGGCTGGCTTACAAGAAAGGGGACTGAAATGAGGTGAAAAATAACAAAGCCCACTAGGTCTCTGGTCACCATATGAGCACTCTCTGGAAGCGTGTTACGCATCATTAAAAAGTCGTAGCTCCAGCTGCTGAGCATTGCGGAAACACAGAGCCCGCCTAGCCATGCCTGAGACCCATACCATACAATGGAAAGCATGATTCGGATCAGCTGCCCGATGTAGGCGCCGTTCATACCAAGAATAATCCTGGATCGGGCTGTTAGTTCAATTCACTCCAGCTTCATGCAGAGCCTGGCGGCTGAATTGGTCAGTTACCTTTGAGAAACAGTGAAGCCAATATGCCACTCCGATCCCATCCACCCATTTCCAATGACAAGCAGGCAAATAAGTACCCTGGCAATTATCATAAGGCCGATGGTCTGTGGAATGGTGAGACCCAGAGACAAGAGAGACGCTGCGCCGGTCCAAGCTGAGATACAGAGACTGGATACCATATTAGCTGCTGTTGGCCTCGTGCTTATCTATAACCCCGAACTTCCACTTACTTGGAGATGGACCCGAACCCGAGGAAGGCCCACAGGCCCCAGGTTCGCCGGGACGGGGGGAGAGGTGCTATATCAGGATTGATCCATTTTGTTGTCTCGTAGCCGTGTTCTGTGTCATCACGAACTCGAAACCTTTCGAGAAGCCTTCTGGCCATTGTGTCCTGTTATTGATAATAACGGGATGAGGTCTGCTAAGTGGTACCAACCACCACGGCGCAAGAGATAAGACGAGTGTATGTTCAATAAAACACTATCATCGACTAAACCTGAGGTTGTTACTAAGTTCGTTGAGAAACTCTAGATTTACAACAGGTGGAACTATTCCATGCGACCATCAGAAAACCGCGTAAGCGGTCACCTGAAGAGCAGACTCGGCTCTTAAGTCAAGCGCATACCCTTGGATCCCTCTCTCTATCTCTCTCTCTTTCTCTCTCTCTCCCACACACACACACGTATAGGCAATTGGACTGGTCCGCCTAGAGCTTATCAAATGGTGGTGGAACCACAGATGCATGACGGTCTTATCAGATTTATTAATCCCTGAGCAATTCCTGGAGTCAGCAGGCAAATTCCACTAACCACAATCCGGTTCAATCCGAAGTTGCATCATACCCCGCACTTGATTCAAGTATTTTGTGTCCACCAACCTCAGGCTTATTACTGTGGGAATAGCTCCCTTGAAGAGGAAAACCGGTTGACGATTTAAACCACTTGGACCTCCAGTAGGCTGGTTAATGGGTTCGCAGAGAGATTCAGAAAATTTGAGCGTACCGTATACTATGAGTAAATCCGGCTTTCACGGTTATTAGGCTGACCTATTGAATGCTTCTGCCAGCAATAATGCTCTATTCGAACCGAAACGTTGGGCTGTATTTTCACTAACCGCTTTACCCTTTGTCGTTAGCCTATACAAAAGGAGAAGCCGGATTCACCCAATGTGTACGATACCTGTATGAATCTCATACGACCTCCACCCTGTTATCAGATCATCAGTGCTTGCAGTACGGGCTTTTCTCACTTTATATCAAGATAGCTTGTGATGATAGCGTGGATACGCAACGTGGGGGCCGCAACGTGGAAGTCATGCTAAGGTTATGATCCCGAGCCAGCGGTCACAACAACCTCACTGACCTAAAGGTCAATCAACAAGAATACGGAGTAGCGGAGAAGCCTTCTTCAACTTCTAATTTTCCTCTATTCCAAGTAGCTGCCCGATTCGAGATCATGTTCTGCAGGCTGCGGGCTTGGCCCCCGCGTAGACTTCGGAATCATATCGGCAAACATTCGCCCGGGAATGTCCCCGCCCGAACCATCCAATTCCAGTTCCTGCCTTCGTCTCTCTCTTTCCAAACCCTTCCTTGGACGAATTTTCTTGTTCGCTCAACCGTTGCTGTCTTTCTATGCGAACCTATTGCATCAAAAACCTGGAGGGCTGCAGCTCTGCCATCTGCATCCAAGATTTCGCAGGCGGCCATGAAGACCGACCAGAGTAACATCTTGGACTCTGATGGAGGCCCGTTTGTGTACAGCATGATTTCGTGGGCTTTATTAAGCACTTCATCATTTGCTTCCAAGGATGAAAGTGGTGGTCGGAACAGCCGATGCAGATACAAGAGAGCTCCTGCACGGTAGCAAGCAGCTTGAGCACGAAACTTGCGTGATGACCGGAACGGAAGCTTGCTGATTATCGTGGGCTTCCATGGCTCCGGAGGCATACGGACGGATTCTGTTTGGAAGAGAAGATTCAAGTACCAACTATCCAACCAGTTATAAGTACCTGTAGGCACAGAAGATGTCTCTTCGTGGCTCGACTTTCGAGTACTGTTCACTGAGAGAGCAGTTGATAACGGTAGTTGCATAATGTCCCCGAACATCTTCAGCCAAGACACAAGCTCTTCCAGCAACGGCACGAGGCCAAAAGTATAGCCCAGTAGCCGGTCGGGCTTAGTTGACTCATCCTCAAGCCAGATATGGCTTGGAATTCTGGGTCGATGGGGTTGGACCAGTGAAACGACAAGATCCTGCCTTGCCAATGCTCTGAGGTAGTATCTCGCAACAGAAGAGATCTCTACCCCTGTTGAGACTTGGTGACTGATAAGGGAAGCCACGTTGGACAAGACGCCCGTGATAGTCGCATGGTGACCAGACTGCGTAAACGAGCTGGGCCCAGTCAGCATGCAATCCATAGCGCCATTTTACCCAAGTTTAGCCAGGTCAAGGAGGAAGGGCCCGAGAGGAAGACTAAGCTCTATGGCGCATAGGCCCAGTAGCAGAAAGAGGGCCTTTTCGAAATAGTGACATGAGGAGTTCATTTTCCTCAAGTTGGCAAGTATCTCATATCACTCCCCTTAGGCGGTTGTAGATAGAGTTGTGGCAGGACAGGCTTTCGTTGTCACCTCCCCCTTCCTCCTCGGAAATGCGCAATGTATTCCTGCAGCTGTGCTTTTCCGACTGGGAGCCCTGTTTTGGGCTAAGACAGACAAGGGTAAATGTACTCTGGATAACGGTTCGTGGTAACCGATGATATGTCTAATCTTATCAGATCATCTCAGTTCGGATTGGCCCACAGACTGTAATGGTTGACCAATATTATTGACGAGGGGGAAAACTTGCGGCGACATGCCAGAGCACACGTACAGGCAAGATCCCGGCCTGTTTGTCCGTTCTTGCCCAATCTTTAGCAGGGGTTTTCACGGGATATCAATGCAAACAAAATCTTTGTTTTACACTCGCAGCAGCCTTACAATTATACGAGACTCGAAGAATTTTGCGACATGCTCTGCAAGACCTGGGCATCTTTACATGGGTATTCTGGGGGGGTATGATCTGGTACCATCCAGTGTCACCACAGCGCGAGTGTTCTAAAACGACCAGCCGTCCATCCTAAGTCTCGGTGCGCTTTATCCACTAATATTATGCGTTTATTGGCGTACAACTACCGGAACACCAGCCCCGTGAGCATGGAAGAAAATGCCGAAGGACTCTAGCTGCTCCAGAAATTCCCACTAAATACGGATACAGTGGCGACAATCGACTATGATCAAGGCTCAAAACGACAATGACGACGAAAGCCAGTACTCGTTCTCGATCTGATGACTTAGAGAGCAAGGCTTCTACAGCAGAATTTGCGTAACAGTCGCAGTTGACTTTTAAAGATCGAATCGGTGTTTTGACTACTTCCGTATCAATTACTCGGGCACAGGGTCGAACCAAAGATCAACTCCTCAGAGAACCATCAAATATCACCGGTCGAAGGAATCGCCACAGATCTTCTGACTCAAATCCCCTGACAAAGAGGCCTTGTAAAATACAGCGCGGTGATAGGTGAGCTGCGGAATATTTAGGCTTGGGTTCCCATTTACTATGATCCAAATCCGGGTCCGATCCGCGTGGTGGAAAGGCAGAACCCGCCCAGTTTCCTGTTTTTTGTGAATATTTCATTGTAGTACTGACATCTTACCGCACGCTTCACGCTTCTGGCTCCGCGGATGGCCGGGTGAGGCATACAATGGGAAACGGCGTGGCTGTGGCTGATCTCACCATTTCTTTCCCCTTAGCCCCAAAACCGATGACATCAACGTAGATCCCCTGGTTTTGATGTGGCGCTAATGCCCTCATAGCCATCGCGCCCACACCGCCGGCAAACAGGCAGCCAAGTCGTTGAAGGAGGGCAGCCACTCGTATTGCCCGATCGGGATGGGCTCTGCTGACGCTGTGCCGCAGACGATGTCATTGGGGTTGTGCTGCTCCGTTTTGATTTGAGCAAGTGGCATCCTGTCATAAGAAATCTCTGGTAATTAATATGGTGAGCTAGCAATGACGCTCTTGTGCGTGCCTCACGCTTGAGGAGGTTGCCTGTCGACAAAGCCCTTCCATCTTGGGCACATTAATATAATACAATCATTGTCCCTCGCTGTTATTACATTGTGCTCATCACCTCGACTTCAGACGCGGTTATTATACAACTCATACCGATAGTAATCCACCATTCTACTTCAATCCCTTCCCCCCGAACAAAACAACCCACTATGCCAGCCGTACACATTAACACGGCCAATGTTGCCCGCGAGATAGAGGGCCTTGTTATCAGGACCACTTCGCGTTCGGGCAGTACCTTTAACTCAACTCACAAGACGGTGCGAGTTATCGGTGGAGGCATCATCGCAGCGATTGTCATCGGCGCAGTCATCTTCATTGCTCTAGTACTTATCTGCGCCTTCTGTCTTTTACGCCGCCATAAAAGACAGAGTGCAAGACGCCAGCAGGAAATGGAAAAGTACTATGGCGAAAGCCGATCAAGTAGCGGTACCGATGTACCAACTGGCCCAGCTCCGGGCCAAGAAGGCTACGGAAACTCCAACAAAGGCTATGGCTATGGCCAAGGTACCGGCTATGGCTACGCACACACTGCCCAGCCAGGTCAGGCTGACTATGGTACGCAAAATACTGGTGGCGTATCTCCCATGGCACCTGCGTACACTGCGGAACATGTTACCTCCAAAAAGTAATTGCCTGAGGGTTTACAACTTCTTTTTCGATTTGACGACACAAGTGTTATTGAGAAAGTGGGAGTTATGTTTTCCACCAGCCTGCCTAGTATGGGTGCATATGTTACGACAATAACTGTTTACGAAACTGCGATACCTTGGGTTAATATCATAATACAATTGAAGCTTTCATTATGACGATGTATCAACCATGTGAGATTCTGGTCATTGTGGTGAACAATGTCAAAGGGCATGACCACTAGCATATACCCAGCCTACAGTACGCAGAATGAGGGAAAGGTAGCAATTATGTCTCCGATTATGCTAAGCCCAAATCATATAAGCTTTTGGCGCAACAAATGACGCAGCCTGTATGATAGAATCGAGTGCTTTTCTAGTCCCAACTGGATTTCACATTTCCTCTGCTCTTATGATTGATACGCTTCTAGGCTAAGGTGCCATTTGACACCGTCACACTTTCTTGTGAGTTGCCTGCATCTATACTTGTCGGGCTCATCTTCTCCTTCTCCTTGCCCTTGGATTCATTCCATTCTGCATGAGGGATTGACATCCAACCCCATATAGCCACGGCACTGACGAGAACAATGGCCGTCAGGATACCTGCGCCGGCACGATCGCCGGCGGTGACGGGCGAGTGCTCCCTGAAAGGGTGCGAGTTTAAGCCGGCATTTGGGTCACCTTTGGAGGTGCCGCCCGTATCATTCGTGGCCGGAGGATCGACATCCAGGAGGCTCTGTACCGCTGCTAGCACGTTCATGGCCTCGCCAGCTCCGCTCGTCTTGTCTACGGCCGGGTCGACGAACTGACCCGTCGTCCAGTAGAAACCGCAGACCCGCCCTGACGCACCACCTGTGCACTGGCGGATAGCTGCTGCGGTAGAGTTGCGCAGGACAGGCAGGATAAGGTCACGGGTCGAGGGCACAAGTTGTGTCACCACGGTCATCCAGCGGTGGAGGTAGCCCTTGAAGCTCAGCATGTCCTGCGAGCAACGTCCGGTTTCGAACTCGCAGGGGATCTCATAGGCGGCACCATCAGCGAAGAAGTCGTCGATCGCGCGGTTCGCCAAAGCTTGAGTGCGGTCGAACCACTTTTGTTCTCCTGTCTGTATGGACAGTTAGGCCCTGCACAGGTCCATCATGCACAAAGCATGCAATAGGAAACTCACATAGTTGGCGAGAAATGCACAGCCCTGCATCAGGATGGCGATGTTGTACGAGAAGGTAGCCTTGAAGATGTTTGTGCAGTTTTGAGGAACGTGGGCACCGTCATACACCCGCACAGAAAATGTTAGATATGGATACCATCATAATACCTTACAATTTCGAACCAAAACTCACCATCCAGTTCTCATGGTCGATATAGTTCACGGCCCACAACCAATCCCAAGTCTCCTCTGCGTATCGGGCATACGTATCATTCCCGGTGTAGCGGGCCAGGCGAGCGCCGATGTTAAAGAAGCAGCCGTTCGAGATGGTGTTCTTGTAGTCGTAGCCAACATTGGTTCTGGGTACCTGCCATCGCATTCCTCCACCGCAGGCGCTGTCATGTCTCTCTGGGTCTGCCTGAGTTGTCCACACAGCTTGGGCGAGGGCGAGCCACTGTGGCTTGTCTTCAGGCGGATCCGGGAACTTGTTCTCGGCGGCTAGCATCGCTGTCATGCCCCAGAAGCCCTGGTCGTCGTTGCCCAGCGAGAGTGTGTGGTTTCTAGGCATATAGTCGCGATCGCTTCCTGTCTGGTGCAACATCCCCTCCATGATGACGTGGTTATAGCTGTCGTCGCCCGTGTAATACCAATAATCGACATATGTCCCCATCATAGCACCGCCCTGCCACCAATAGTAGTCACCCAGGCCCGAGTCTGGTGGTCCTGGTAGGATGCCTGGGATCATCCCCGTTTGGTTTCCGTCATAAAATTTCATGAGGTCGTATGCGAGTGTGCTTGCGGTTGTGATGATGTCCTCTGTTAGTTGACATGCGGATTAGATACTTGTCTTAGGTTGAACAATATGCGTTGAATGAGAGCTACAATTGACTCCCTACCTCTTGTGTCGATTGAATACGCCGCACCTGCAGAACCGGAGAAGGCCAGCAATGCCACAGGCAAAGCGCCCGAAAGAAGAGACAGCATCTTTTTGAGCGAGTGACTGGGGGCGTACAAGCCGTTTTCCAGGCTAGGATCCCACTTTCGAGAAAACGAGCGATAACTTGGTATATACGATCAGTAGCACATGGCGAGTAACCTCGCTAGAACGGAAAGTCGGCGTAGGTGCGGCAACGATTCAGGAGCAGAAAGAGGATGCAAAGGTTGGCTGAATGTTCAAGAAAAAGGCTGTGCAACAGCCTAGTCTTGTATCGTATTTCCCGTTGAATAAAGAAAGCCACACTTTCCAGAAGTATTCGCTCTACAGGTGTCAGCGGAATGGTTTTGCTGCCGGGGTGGGTGGGGTCCAAGTCGTACGTGAAGATTCGGGTTGGTGTTCGTTTTGGGCGGGAACCGTAGGACCAACCGCGAGAAAAGGTGCGCCGCTCGAGGTATCAAAGTAGTAGAAACGCCGGAAGATGCGAGAGAAACACAGTTTAGACAGGATTCCCAGGGGTGAATCTGGGGAAACTTGATGGTGGCATACATGCCACTTTTGTTGTGCCTTCACGCATCTCTTGGCGAGCCGAGGGGGACGTCTCCGACGAAGAGGATCAAGGCCCTTGAGGGGCTTGGCAACATAGGCAAACAAGAGAGGCACTCGGCAACCAGAAGCTCAACCAACAAGTCGGAGAAGGCATGTTCCAAGAAGGAGGATGACGTGGTAGAAAGTCCTGGTGGACAACACCAAGGATCATAGCTCGCCTGGGCATTGGGGCGGTGCGGAGCTGCCATCCAATCTTGGCTCGGGCTCTTTCAGGCGGGTAGTGCTTCGCCAAGCCAAATACGAAGACCGCGACGGGAATGCGCCCAGGGATGGCGGCCTAGGCAAATTTCTGCTGGGCTTTGGCGAGTCTGGGCGCAATCCATATTTGTGCGCTCATCTGTCAGACACGCGGGCCAGGGAGGGGTCTTCGGGTCACTTGGTGGTTTCGTCAGCCCAAGCAGTGGTGGCAGATCAGATTATGGCGCATTATGCAGGTGGTTTGGCGGCTTCTTCAATCCCTGAACTCACCTGCCCTTTGAGTGACGAGAGCAGCGGTGACATTGTGGGAAGTCGATCTTGACTACCAAATGGCGTCGAAGGGACTGCCACTGCACGTGGTTTGCGTTCTCGACGCTTAGATGGTTGCAATTTTCCCCAGCGCACTTGGACCAGGATTGGTCAGCTTATGCCCGAGCTGAGATTCAGTCTCTCAGCTTTAGTTTGGCTTGGCCTCATCTTCGCCCTTGCTCCAACATTGGCTATACCTCGACAGCACTGTGAAAGACATTCTGATTCAGTAGCTTGCACCAGCCTACTGGAATCAGCTCGTGCTGCGTTTGCCTGATCAAACGAGAAATCGAAACGTCTTGGCATTCATTAAAGTACATTCCGGCGGTAAAGTCACAGCGACACAGCTCCTCATGGCACTCATCACACTTAAAAGACGACGTGGGGAAATGGTAGCCCGGATTATTGACAAAACAAATAGCAGAGCCTTGTTTGGTGAGGATGACACCGCCTTTCTGGAAATTTTCTTTTCTTTTTCTTTTGGCCTTTAGATACACTGGAATATGGTTCTAGAAAGTCTGCAGAAATGAAGGCGATGGACATCGGGTACTCGCATTTTGCTAACAATTACCCCTATTTTTAACCCATAATGCACTAGAACTGGGGTTCTGCTCGTCTTCCTTGACCTGCAGCGTATTGCCAGCCTATTGTGATGGGCCAGAGAAACCCTTAATCAGTTGTGATGAACCGCAGCGTCTGGTCATTATAGAGAAAAGTAGTTGTCCTATTAAGAAAGTATGTATGAACCGGAGAAGCAGTAGAAATACCCTTCTCACATGGTCTGTGCGGGTGATACGCCACATACGTGCGTGGCGTTGTCTCCTGGTACTAGCCACACGAAGCTATTCCAGCTTCACGACATCAGTCCTTAAGTCTGATCTCGATGGACCCAACTGCCGGCTCATTGTCTGATTAAAGGTTAAGTAGTCAAGTTGATCTTAATTCATGGCCCCTTGTGGGCGAACATGTTTAATCAAGAATATCGACGCAAGACACTGAGGTATACGGCGATACATACCTCGGCAGACACCTTGACGTCAAAGCCTTGCATGAGGGAACGATGCACGTGTGATGAAACCTGACCTTGAAAGCCTCGGCTTCGCATTCTCAGGTTTCAAACACTCCAGCTTCATGCATACCCCGATGAAATAGAGTTTGGGCAGCCCACGAGTGCAGAACAAAAACCAAGGAATATGCCCCGAGTTTCCCGAAAACAATTTACTTTTCTCAATAAAACCATGGATCCGCTCAGTATCGTTACCGCCGCGGCATCTTTGGCTGGTGCTGTACTAAAGGCATCATTCAAAATCAAAGAAACCATCGACGCCTACGAAGATGCACCGCAGAGTATTGCTGACATAGCCGATGAGGTTCACGCGGTCCAAATAGCCCTTCGACAGGTTGAGAGTGTCGTGAGCCAAGATCCGGATGCCATTGAGCGGCTGGGATTGGAAGACGTCTTCGCAATCGCTGTCAACGGCTGCCATGCGACGCTTTTATCGATCAGCAAGGAATATGAAAATCTTTTCCTCCGTAGCGACTGGAAAGCTAAGATACAGGCATTATGGAAAGAGGGAGAGATGACTCGGCTCCTCGGTCGATTGGATCGAAAGAAAGCAACGTTGACGCTTTTGACCCAGACGTTGAATCTGTAAGACGGCCCTTGATGCGACGGCCTGCGAGTGATGACACTGACACAGTTCCAGGCGGTCTACCCAAGACATCAAAGCACTGTTAATTGAAGAAAAATCAACCCTCAACGCAGCGAAGCGAGACGTCAAGGAGCCGGCTGCATACTATCCAGACTTCTGGCCAACGAGCCCAAAATCCTTGGACGAAGGCAGTGTGGTTGGAATTCCCAGAAACAGAGATTCAGTCCTCAGTATCACGGAATTTGACTTCGACCATGATTTAATTAACACCAAGACCTATCGGCGTGCTCTACAAAGATATGTGGTTGCAAGTAAGGGGGAAGACACGATATTTAAGCAAGAGACGAAAGGCACGCCTGCTTGCAAAGAAAACCACAACACGCTATTGGAGAAAGAAGATGGCACTGGAGATCTTATCGAGTTTCCGACAAGCCCGTCTACATTGGAACCTTCGTCATCTCAGGCGACAACCATGTGCCTTGATCTGGAGGGCATTGAGTTTGATGTTCCACCTACCACGCCTCCTAAAGAAACCATAACACCACCACTGGAACGTTTTTTACTTGACCGCTCAAAGACTGATACGGCCCTAAATTCGTTGAATGTTATGCCCGAGGATGCGAACACAAGGCAACGGTTTCCGCCAATCAAGAAAGACAAGGGCTTGCCACAGCACCTCATGGCAGGGCTGGTGGCAGAGAAGTATCATCGACGAAAGAAATATGGAAAGCCTGACTTTCTCGAGACATGCTCGCCATTACAAAGGCCCGATATATCGCCCATCCCCAAGCACATGGCAGATTCTGCCCCAAGCTCGTCTCCGCTTGAGGACGCAACACCGAGCATGTGTACTGCGGGCCTGACAAATAAGAAACTACAAAAGCTTGAACATCGACGGAAGTGTGACCGGCCTGCCCATAACAGACGACGTCATGGAAAAGAATTATTGCACGCACGAAGTTCCGAGGAACCAACCCCGAGCTTGAGCTCTTTAGATTCAGTCACGGAGGCTTTACAAAGTCTTGGGCTTCCACCACCGCTTTCGCAGCCACCGAGGCCTTTTGGTAGAGAAAGAAGGCGACGCAAGCAAACATCCTAGATCTCTCCAATAGTGGTCTGGGATAGAAACTAATGCAATAGAAATTGGAGATACATATGGCTTTTTTGAAAACTCAATACTCTCTGGTCTGGTTCCTCTCCTACTCGACGGAAAACAAGCTTACGAATAGTCGATGGTTAGAAACATTGTCTAGTAAAAATTCAAGATTGTCTTTCTTAAACTCTTGATAATTTTTCAGTCATTATTTTCTTCAAAGCTGGTGTGTCTTGAGTCTACCTCCGCTTGGTAAACATTTGATGAAGTGGCAACCCCATATAACCCTTTCTTCCTGCCCTGAAAACGGTATGGACATTGAAATTGGTACAAGAGTAATTATCTATTCGATGATTAGGTTGGAAGTGGACCAGACCGCATACATATATCAGGGTCTCTTTGATTCTTTGGATGTATTCATAAATCTTCTTAGATCAACTTACCCTAACTCAGATACCTACAATTAGATGTTTATGTTGAAAGGACTCTAGATGGGTTGACGCAGCAAACAAACGGGCTGTAAAATGCACGAATCATCTAAGTCTAAGTTGGTCTGGCTGACTACAAAGTGACCAGTTATACAGACATCTGTAATTAGTGACTGACTCATGCTTACGAATGAGTCGGAATGCTGTTCCAATAGTTGATATAATTCAGCATTGGTAAGCTGTCTTTGAATTTCCTAACTTCTGAACGTGAATTGGTTTCCCCAGTCCCACTGTTGAAGACTAGATCGTGATGATAATGGAGCCGTATCTGGTTCTAGGGGCGTATGGGTGGATATCATACACCCTAGAATCTGCTGTCACACCATGGCTTGTTGTGTTGACACAGCCCTGCTCTCTGGGGTGACAGATGAAAGACTCTAATCCAACCAATTGTTCTTGTGTAAACTGCAGAGGTCAGAAATACCATGCATAACCGTGCAAGGGGATTTAGTAGCAAACACGCCCGCAGCTTCTATCGTAAAACAGAGCAGTCCATATTACTAAGCTAGCCTGTTCCTTATTTCCACTGTCTTGACTACTAGCTCCCCAGAAGCTATCGTGCCTCTGTGCATAACAACAAAATCATCATTTTTTGCCTGCCCTATGTATACGCTGCGACGTGTCACTGCCCCCTTGGTTGCATGCTATGTCTAACCGGAAATGCTGTTAGTGAAGTAGGTAGGGATAATGGTTGCTTACACCAGAACATCAAAAGCAACGAAGGCGTCGGGGGCTTGTATGAATCTTGATCCTCGTAATATCCGACTGAACTGGAAGCTTGACCATCCTTACTCGGCGTAATACGAAGTCCTGTACAGCGTTTAGGGGGGCTGATGGTGGTGGCGCCAGCGTACCCGTCTACTGAAACCCACCATCTCTTATTTTTCCATCATGATATTGCATAGCACTGGAATGTTTACCATCGGGCTTACTGAAGATCATATAACCCAACCAGATTATTCTGTTGTCTCTCTGTACTAGAATGCTACTTCTAATAATGCTAACTAAGAGGCTAAACCTAATATTGGGAGATGACATCCTTATCTGCATAACAACTGTGGCCATGAGACAGTTGCTGGGCTGAGGCCTGCTATAATGATATTTTGACTATTGATGCTTTTAAGACTGTAGGTGTTATGGTCTGTTCGAACTAGCAAGATGCATTAGAATCTACTCTGTTGTGTTAGAAGGGTTCTGATGCGCGTTCCAATTACACATTATGAATATCCTACAGATTGAGAAGGGATACAGAGACGCGGATGAACTATGATACGTCGAATGGGACATTTGAGATGGTAATGTGAAGATACTAGCGAGTTGAGGGCCTTTATCCAGAGTGTTGGGCTCTTGAGCAGCACGTCGCTGACGAAATATAGTGAGGACGGATATTGCCAATGCTCATGGATATCTCGGAGACCACCAGTTAGTAAACAACTTAATAGTCCAGGCTTTTCAACTTATCTCAATGATAAAGTGAAGATAATAGATCCGATTACACTCAGAAACTTGCCGCTGGTGAATGCTACTTGAAATAGTTGCATTAAGGGCTTCAATCACCGCGAAAGTAGGGCAAGTATGGCATCCGCTAGCAGTTCAGATCGAACGAAACAAGCAATACTCATGCATCAGATCTAGCCTAGACTCTCATGCAAATGAATAGACCTCCCAGACTCGGTACATATCTGTTGCATAGGCGCCCTAGAGTACCAAATGAAACAAGAACAATCTGAAGGGCTTAATTGTGATCAATGCTGTTAAATTTTCGGACAGTAGCGAAATGTAACGTTGCGCATGGGCAAGGCAAATACACCAATGGGAACCAAGGATCCTCAATACCGGTAAGTGGAAAGAAAGGGTTAATAAATACCGAGATCTGATGGCTTGACCCAGAGAGCTTACTCAGTTCGGGCGCGAAAGGCGTAGGAAAGGTGCATGTATGCGACCCCCATGGTCTTGGCACTCCGCAAAGATCCCCAGACGATTCAAAAGTTCCCGACAATTGTGTAGAAACGGGGCGGCGAGGGGTGACCACCATACCAAGTTGGACATAGCGTCGAAATGAAGCGAGGGATGCCGTTATGATTACGTGCCAATGTCCAGGCTGGAACATACAGACGTTTGCTGACCACTGTTCATTTTGGGTCAGACGGACGTCAGAACCCTAGACCTCGGAGGCCAATCCCATATGCAGAAATTCGTGCTCATGGTAAGCCGTGCGTGATAAAACTACTGGTAGGAGGGTGTTGCGATTCCTTTTATTTCCAAAGTCCCATGCTGGTCTGTGCAGCTTCTTGTTTAGCGATGAACTGAAAAACAGAAGTTCTCATAGCCACATTGCAGGTGTTTCCTGGGGTCGTGTCAAGGCCTCGCGTGCGGGCATAATGTTGTGGATCACCGGCATTGAAGTCTGGCCTCTAACAAAACCCGGGGTAAGGGAAAGCCAAGCTTTGTGACAGCTCTCGGCGCCTAGATACTGGATAGACTCCAATTACAATGCACTAGCTCGTGCTTGGTATCTCCAGCCGAAAGAGGCCCAAATAGTTTTCTTGGAGGCAAGGGACCAGCTGGACTGTCTGTCCAACCCTCCCTTGACGCCACAGGTACAGCATTGGTGGGCAGGGGAGAGCTGCGACCAACAAACACAAAAGTACCTGATCCCAGAACGATAATTAAGTGCCCCGGCTAGGTTGTTGGCCAGGCAAGTCTCATCCTGCGGTCCAACGCCTCGGAACCTTATGTGGCATGACATGCTCCTCCAACCAGAATTTTGGGAGTTATCATAGTTGTGCGTACTCATCAAACTCATTTGTAAAGCTCGAGGAGCTCGTAGGTTATCGAGCGTCATGTTATTCGCAGTTTATCGAAAGCCCAAGGCATCACTACTGGTTGATGTGCACCCAGTCTTACTGTCCACTGAAAAGGCTGTATCCATCCTGTGCCCAAATTATGGCATTCATTTCTTGAGACCAACTGCCGGAGCTTAGCTCTTGGAAATTTCTAGGAAGGCTGTGTGTCAAAGCTACCCGTTCATTGCCGTTGCCGAGACCAAGGCGCTGTCGGAACCAACCGACTTGGCAATCCTGACGACATTGTTCAAAATGCTTTTGAGCACTGCTGTCTTCCTAGGCCAACAACAGGGTGCTTCGCAGCTTGAAGATTCTTAGCTACGAGTGACCGTCCTAATGTGACATCGATGGACGGGTGACTCTTACATCAAAAGTTCCGTCAGGCTTCCGAAATAAGAGCTGCGAAAAAGGTAAAATGGATGCACAAGGTAGTCCGAGCCGCGAAGAAACACATAGACCCTGGTTCGCCATACTAAGCATGCATGTACATCCGGCTGATTTGGAGACAATTTGACGCTAGATGGCCTGGTCTCTGTCTCTTCACCGAACAAACGTCCCACCAAGGCCGGCCTACCCTCCACGCCCCTACGCAAATGGAGGGTCAGCTAGATCATGTCGTATCTTTTGGGAGCGGGGTTTGCTCGATGTTCTAGCCAGTATGGATTGCAGGACCATGGCATCCTTTACTCAAACCGGACAGTGGAACTGCGATAACAGGGACTCATCATCCTAGACAAAGGTCCAGGTCCATCAACTGTGATTATGGAATACATTATGGTGCATGTACGGTAGGTAGCCTAGCATTGATGATATATATCAGCTGTTTCCATTTCTCCCACCCTGCGTTTTATACCCCTCCTGCGCTCACGGTCTTGCGTTCCAAGCACACTCTCAACGTGGGACCTCGTTCTACCTTTACACAATCGAGCGACACCCCCAATATCAGAGCAGGTAGCAATAGCAGAAATCGCAATAGCCGAAGAGAAGGTCATACACGCGATCGTCGACAGCGGCGACGCGCGCCCGTCATACACTGGAAGCGCTCGCGTCCACCCCGATGAAAAAGGTGCCATGGGCGGCGAATGGAACGAACCCATAGTTGACACAAAGGTTCCGGAGACGGAAGAACACAAGGAAGAGGACCTCTACCGGCCTCTGTTGATGGAATCCAGCATCCCGCATGAAGAAAACATTCTCACTGTACGAGCGGTCGTTATCGGTTGCATTCTGGGATCACTTGTCAACGCATCTGACCTGTGTCTTGGGTTGAAAACGGGCTTCACGTTTATTGCTTCCATGTTCGGTGTAAGTATAAGGAGAAACATCGGATCGCGCTGTGGTGGATCTGTGCTAACAACTGTCAATATAGTCGATTTTCGGATACGGATTTTGAAGCTTCTCTCACAAACAAATCTCCCTATCATCGGAGGCACGTTCGGACCCCAAGAGAAGTAAGTTTAACTCCTTTTTTCTGACCCTATATTGACGCTGATCTTGGTGAAAAAGCTCAATCGTACAAGCGGCGGCCACTGGTGCCGGTGGCATCGCTGGTATCTTTGTCGCCGGTATCCCGCCATGTACCGACTTGGACTTATGGACAGCACACCTTCCGGCGATATCGGAAAGATATTTACCCTGACTATCTGCTGTTCTTTCTTCGGAATCTTCTTTGTCACACCGCTGCGGAAGTTCTTCATCATCCGGACTGCCCGGGAGCTGAAACTCATGTTTCCCACTCCAACCGCGGCTGCCTTGACGATCAGGTCCATGCATGCGGGCATAAAAGGAGCCCAGGAAGCTGCTAGCAAGCTAAAGGCACTTGGACTGGCCTTCTTCGCCTGCATTGGCCACCGCGTCGCATCATACTACGCCATTGGAATCCTCTACGACTGGCACGTTTTCACCTGGATCCATATCTGGAGCGGTCATACGTCTTGGGCGATGAACATCGAGAGCTGGGGATGGCATTTTGAATGGACGACGGCCTTTATTGGCTCGGGAATGTTGATCGGAATGAACTCTGCTTGTTCAATGATGGCAGGTAGTGTTTTGGCCTGGGGGCTTATCGGCCCCGTTCTCGTTCACTATGGCGAATGTATCGGGCTCGATGCTTCCGATGGAGACCCAAAGTGGAACGGTTACTACAGTTTCACGTCTCTGAAAAACGTTGGGAGCGGCCCTCCGTCTCCGCGATACTGGCTGTTGTGGCCCGGCGTCATGGTCATGGTGTGTTCATCAATGGCCGAGTTACTAGTCCATTGGAAGATCATCTACTACGGCTTCAAGGCTGGCTGGAAATCCATCTGCTTGTCGGTCCACCAGACTGCCATGAAACGGAACAAGCGGATCGAGTTCTTCGCCAAGTACGCCGAGGCAGAAGAGAAGATGGACGCAAACCATGTCGAGGATCCTGCCACGCCTGATCAACAAGTCAACACATGGATCTGGGTTACTGGTCTTTTTGCTTCTATCATTTTGGCCTGCATTGTTATGGGAGTTCAATGGCATGTCAACGTTGGCGTTACGATGCTGGCTCTGGTCCTCGCCTTTTTATTCTCTTTCCTGGCCATTCAGATTGGAGCTGTTACCGACCAGACACCGCTTACAGCTGCGGCAAAGGCTGCTCAGCTAGTTATTGGCGGTACCACAACCGGGGCAGGATACACGGTTCAATATGCTCAGCGCATTAACCTCATCTCTGCTGGCTTAGCGGCCGGCGCAGCCGACGTTGCTACAGCCCTTACCTCCGATTTCCGCACCGGCTTCCTTCTCGGTACGCCACCCAAGAAACAGTTCATTGCTCAAGCTATAGGCACTTTTGTGTCGGTTTGGCTCGCACCCGGATTGTTTGTCTTGTTCACCTCGGGCTACCCCTGTATTACGAATGCCGACCTGGATCACTGTCCTTTCCTGGTTCCGTCTGTTAGTGCGTGAGCTGCAGTTGCCGAAGTCGTTACCAGCCCCGATGTCCCCATTCCGCTCTCCTCTGGCATCTTTTCTATCATTCTCAGTGTCTTTTCTATCCTGCAGGTTATCTTCCGCTACTATTATCTCACCGGTTCCCGCGAGAAGTACCAACAATGGCTTCCCAACTGGGGTGCCATTGCCCTGTCATTCGTCATTCCAGGTCAATGAGAAGCATTCAGCGTCATAATGGTAACAATTGAAAGGCTACAAATCATGCAGCGATGAGCGCAGCTGCAGTCTACTTTACTGAAGCCTTGCAATGCGCCTATATGTCTTTTTTGTCTATCACTGAGGTATTACCCTGGATTACTGCTTCAAGAGACGACAATATAACTACTGTAGATTCGGCTGACGCCATGTTGTCGGAAAATAGAAAATGCAGTCATATGCTCAAGAGATCTTGGTCGTTGTGGCCTCGAGACAATTCGCCATAAATTTGGTGACGCTAGGGGAAAGCAAGCATAATCATTTTGACAAATGTTCGCGTCTTTGTCAAGATTGCCACCATTGGATACATCTTGTAGACGCTTTCAAGCGCCTAGGCTTGCCTTGGGGCTCATAGTTCTGTTGATAAAACTTGACAACCCATGCATTATCATCTCAACCACTTGAGAGTTTGATTTAGTGATGTAATTTAAAGATAACTACATGGCGTACCATCCAGGTCCCTCCCACGCCACACTTGAGTTATACAGCTAGTCTTCTGAATAGTAAGACTTTTCTTATGGCATCACTCTGACAATACATAACCGGCAGTGCCTTCATTGCTCCATTTGATATTGATTCTGTCCCATTCAACGCCGTCGAGCACGCGGATGTTGAGTGGCTGGATTTCAAGCTGCCTGCGCACAAATTCTTGCTTTGTTTCGGGTAATCTGTTAATAACCTCTTTAGGCGGTCCGTATAGGTTTCCAAAGCAGTGAACGCCACATATGCGACAAAATGGCGACCCGCCGAACCGACGGCCGAATTTGTAGTCCTGAGTCTGGTCTTTGCCAGCCAGTCTGACTTCCGACTGGTGGGGGTAAACACCTATGTAGCCGTTCTAGGGAAGGAGAGTCAGTTGAAGTATGAATTGAACATTAGAAGACTCGGGCTTACTCGAATGCATATGCTGCAGTTATCTTCCTTGATTTCGACATCAAAAAGTGGTTTGGTTGTGACGGCAATCTGCACGGCACCGCATTCGCAACTTCCCTCATAACACTTGAGATTGTCTCCAGGTACACTGTACAAGAGTTCGCGTAGCTCAGAAGCCTGGGTTGAAGATGCGTTCTCGACGAAACTGAGGCGATATTTAATTAGATCAACTGACAGGGTTTGCATGATCGGCAACATACCTTAAAGCCCCTGGGTAAGGCTTCTTGCCGCCCGAAGAATCCAAAGTAATCACCTCCCGTCCAACGATGAATATTCCTTTCACATCAGACACAAGAACACGAAAGTTGATGCCTCTTTTTCCTGCCTGTGACCCCAATGTATGCCTTCCAAACAGTCCTGTCCCACAAGTCGAGCAAAACTGGAAATTCATGTTTGTTACCACCTAGGGCGTTAGAAAGATAGTGTGATCGACGTACCTCGTGCTCCAGTCCTTCTGCGCAAGAGGACTTATAAGTTGTCAAAGTGTCGGCATTGCACCCTCTCGTCGTTTTCAGACTGATGTCGGCGTCGTAGATCCATATATAGCCCTTCTTCGCGCAGAGTGTGCAATTGCAGATCACCAGTGAAGGCAGTTGGGGCAACTGGACCTCGTAGCGGTTGATGCCACAGTGGCAGTTGCCTTTGTATGTGAGAAAAGACTCTGACATTGCGCTGCGCCTATGCCGTTGAACGCGGGGGTTCTCTAGAAGCAACCAAGGCCAGGCTACAATCGCAGGGTAATATAGTACACCCCGAACGGACTTCGGCACCAGTGCCAAAGTAGGCGCTGGCTTTCATTGGTCAAAGAGACGCATGTGGTATGCGTGAGAATGTGGGTAAGTAAGCGCTTGCGAACAGCATGTCACCCAGAAAATGTCATCTTCTCGTATTGAACTGTCCGATCGAGAATGGCTTTATTCAATTGGTCACAGAGCTCGCAACTCGAGGTTAAAGGGATTCCCCGTGCCTGGATCAAATGGAGATAAGAGCACCTACTAATCCACTTACACTAACACCAATGACTCGTGAGTCCACACTAAGCCCTGCAATATGAATATCTCCTTTCTATTCCTATCACGTAATCCAGATTGCAAACAACTTAACTCAATGTGGAAATGCAAAATCGAATATTGTTTCATTCCGTAGGTCAATACACGGGCCAACATTCAAAATTCGCCGCTACCTTTCCGAGATCACTCCGTCTCAAATCTGACCATTTCTGAAATGATAATTGATAGGCTAAGCGAGCGTATACTTTGGCCACCTTCCTGGAGGACCTTGTTCAAAGGCTCAGGTTTCTATTCCATCAAAACATGGCAGACCATCGGACTACACCGCCAGCCCCTGGACTGCTCTCTGAGGTATCGTTATAAGCAGTTGCTCCAAATCCCACAACTGCAGCAATGTCAGCTATCGCGCCCCTCGAGGCTGACGATACGGAAGACACCAACTCTTTACTGAATGGTTATCTTAGCGACATAGAACACACTTCCAATGCCTCCACGTCCCTCGCCTCAAGCTTCCAAGACTATAACTGGGAGGACCGGCGTCGCTATCACAAGTACCGAGGAGGTCGCTATACGGCTCCCAAAGACAAGCTCGAGCAGAACCGTGAGGACATGAAGCATGCATTGGTCGTTAACATTTGCGGGGATGCTTTGCACAGCGTGCCGTTGGAGCATCCGCAGAATATTATCGAAATAAGTGTTTTGGCTGTAAAGAGCGAGTATTACCTGATAGTCTATCACTGAGGGTATCTTTGAATGCTGACTGTCGCAGTGAGCGATTTCTGTCCTGAAGCCGACATCACTGGCATTGATCTAATAAGTTCTTACTCGTCGATTACATTCATATGCGACACATGTCGGCTTTCTTCAGAGACTGGCCAAAGGTGCTTTCACAGGCGTACAACTAACTTCCAAGTCCCGCCTTTGTAATCAAAGTTGCAGGACAGCGCCTAAATGCTGTAGGGCTCTGAAGCCAGGTGGTTGGATTGCGTTTCAAGACCTATGCTGGAGAATGGCTTCGATGGCACCATGGCCCCTGACTACTCTCCTGCAAGATGATCAGCTTCATCGAGGAAGGCATGGAAACGTGAGGTTTTGAGCTACTTTCGGCAGAGAGATTCCCCGAGAGACTCAAAGCAACAGGCTTTGTGAAACCAAGTCCACAAGGCCAAAAATCCTTCTTGGCGCATGACCCGAGGATGAGGAGCTCAAGACTACGGAAGCTACACCCGGGCGGTACTTGACAGCGGCTTACAAGGGATTACAATGCATCCTCTGACAAAAGGATTGGGCCGGACGCCGTCTGAAGTAGACATTTTTCTGGTTGAGGTACGCAAGGACATGTTGAAGACTTTATCTCATGTTTGCACGTGCTATTACACCGCCCTGGACCAGAAGCTGCTGTAGTAATTAAGGTACGGAAACAAGCATCTTGATGGCCTGAAAGAGGGGATTATGTCCACATTCATTCTAAAGAGTAAATAATTTCCCTCGCTCTACATTACTTTTGGGAACCTACTTCCAGTTGAGTTCAGTCACTTGCTTTTCTGTTTTGATTATAGCTGACGAGAGGTCGTATTCTTCGACGAAGCTGACTGATAGTACGCTTCTTTTGGGGGTTTCACATCTATATGGAAAAGACTCAAAAGTATTGATGTACCAGGAAGTTCCATTAAAAGCATGGGGTTATGTCTCTTGTTATCCAGCTCAAGCTCAGATCTCACATCACCTAGCGAGCAATAATCCATGTTTCTTTGAAATTTAGCACTCCCCACCAACAGCTCAAATCATGTTGCATTGCCTGCTGCCCCAAGTTGGAGCACTTTCCAGCATTGGTCATTTTTTTCGTATTCAATGTTGATGAATAACCGGCAGTTCTCGAAAAATATTAATTGATAATCATGATATGTACGTCTCTGAGGGTCCAATGGGCAAACTAGTTTGAAAAGCGACATGGCCTGATTGGTCGATGACGTATTCATTATCAACATGTCATGACATCGTCGCTAAACCGTCACGTCACACCAAAGCCAGCATGTTTATATACAGCGGATTATACCCTTGGAACGGTAGTTCTATTGGGTATCATCCAAACCAGCACAACAGAATCCATGTTCACCCAGAAGACCTTTCGCACAATCAGCAACGTCTGCAGGACTTCGCTAGGCCGTTCTATCACCTCAGGTCCCGTACAAACCAGGAGCTTGTTTGCGACCGCCACAATGTGCAAATTTCCTATTCCCTCTAGCGATCCTCCCAAAAAGGAGATGCAGTACTTTCCTGATATGACCACAGCCCTGCCGTCCGAGTCTGGGGAGTTCCGTCGGGTCCTTTGGACCGGTCTATATTCTCAACTGGTTCTTATGACCGTCCCAGTTGGTGGAGATATTGGCGAGGAGGTGGGTATGCTGTGGTCTGCGTAGGTAGAATCCGAATGCTAACAAGACACTAGGTCCATACTGTTGACCAAATCCTAACGTTCACCTCTGGCAAAGGTCTGGCGCAAGTCGGCGGCAAGGAGCAGGAGGTGAAGGCTGGTGATATGGTTATTGTTCCTGCCGGAACCAAGCATCAGTTCTTGAACAAAGGCCCGACTCCATTGATTCTATATACGGTGTATTCGCCGGCCGAGCACAAGCCCACTACGGTCCATAAAACCAAAGAACAAGGTGACAAGGAAGAGGAAGAGGGTATTGACGAGCCACCTGAATGGAGCCAGAGGAGCAAAGAGCAGAATGGGAAGGAAGGTTGGGTGAAAGGCGAATGATTGTACCACTAGTTGTAGCTTGTTGGTATCGAATGCTTCAAACTCGGTGCATATACTGATGTCAAGATATGGTTCAACCTTGGAAGGATTTCACACCTTCCTTCTACGTGGCTGCGGATGTTTCATGATATCTACCTATCATCAGTTCAATCCACCAGCACAGTACCGCAGTAACAGATCGGTCATCCATGTCGAGATGAGCAGTAGCAATGGAGACTACTAAGCACCGAGAGCACAACATAGGACGATAACTAGCGCACCCAGTCGCTCCTCACAATGTCTTTGATGAACCAATTCATCAACAGGTTTGTTTCAATGAATATTACATACTATACGCAGCTGATTGCTCCCTAAACGATACGATGTCAAACCTTTCCTGCCAGATAATCGGCATAAAGATCCGGCAAGAAGGAAGCCAAGTTGGTAAACTCGGTCTGGTCGTGTATGAAGTGTTCGTAGGCAACCTTTTCCCCTACCATGCGATGTTTGATTCCTAGCGCTCCTGCAAGGTAGTCAATCCCAACTTTCATGCCGAACAGTTTGTAATGGACGCCCGCACCAAGCCAATACCGACTTCGTAATTCAAGACCGTCCTCGGTCTTCCGCCAAAGATGCAAAAAGTCACCAATTTTCAGATTGGTCACCAACCCGTCCCAAAGCTCCGCACAAACCGCCGCTTCATAGCCAGCATCCTTGAGATCGGCCCACGGCAAGCCGTAGTGAGCAGGGTCGACGAAATGGATTCTGACGGTCAACTTGGTCGCGCCGATGAACTCCGTCACACGATGCGTGGAGCCCAGCCACTTTTGCGTGTGAGACAGATCGTCGCGGTGCAAGCGGTGTGCGTAATTCGAGTGGACGCTCAAATGGTCGTATGGAAACCACAGGGCGTAGCGCTCCGGTTCGACGCTGTGCCACCAAAACCACCAGCGGATCATGTCTCCTGTCGAACCTGGGAAGCGCGTTCGCGACGTGACGTACGCAGTCCCGTCCGGGAGGGCACGCCAGCCATTCTCGTGTCGGTGATAGCCAGGTTCGAGTAAGCGACGGCAGTCTTTAATTGGCAACACACCATCCGGCGGCATCGGCTCCCGCATGTACTGCGGGATGTCGGCATAGATGTACAGGTCTTGATGGAAATACTTGGCGTATTTCTTGTGCTTTATGCGTCTTCTGTTGTGATGAAATGCTTTCTGCGTCTCGAGTGGATAATATATGATAGGAACTTTGGCAGGATAGCCATCTTGGTCCGGGTTTTGGAGCCGTTTTAGTGCTATCGTTGTGCTCGTTAACGTTGGTGATGCTATCTGGCTTCGCAGCGCTAAAAGCCGCAACGCAGACCTTTGGCGTAGCGATTCGGGGTCCATATTGCTTCCTTCTTGTCACCACCTTTGGTTCATTCTATGGTGGCCTGATTAAAGTAAGTAAGAGGAGTAGATAGGCATTTATACTTTGTTGGAGAGTACGGTCGGAGGGGGGGGGCCAGTGCGCAATTTGACTTTGTGTTGACCTCGGCATATTAACCTCAGCTTTTTAGACTCAGCGGCACGCGTACTCATTAAACCTAATTACGGCCGACCGCCTATTAATATCTATCCTTCAATGGCGCGCAATCACGGAATCCAGCATGGCCTATCGATCCGGCGTTTGCAAACCGCGTGTTGAGAGGGTGCTAGTGTTCGAGTAAGAAAATCGCCGCCATGAGATGGAATAAGCAGCCGGGTTCCAGACGTACAAGCTTGATGGGCAGCTTGATGCCATCGGTTTGGAGACACGACTTCTTGATAGTGTTGTCCGTGGGGAACGCAAGCCGAAATCCGTCATTCGCGTCCCCAAACCTTAGAAAACATACTGCCTGGCTCAGATAACTCTAAACATGTTCGACTTCACCCCTCTTTTCAGTCCTTCGGCCCTCCCATTCTCGTACTCGACACCTGCTGCTCCACCCTCTCCTGACATACCCTCCAGCTTCAATCGCAATTCCTCGTCCAGCTCCGCCATTGTCTTCTTCTCCTTCCTCTCCTTCTGTACGGTTGCAGCGCTGTCTTCGGCCGATGTGGCTTGCGTCTGATCGCGTGTGGGGTTTTGTGTGTTTCCGGTCATTGATGGCGATGACTGGGTGGTCAGATGTGCTGCCACCGCGGATGCCTTGGCAACTGGAGCGGGGAACTTGGTCGCAAGACGCAGTTGGTTGGCCGATCGTAGCATGTCGTGGCAAGGTTCTCCGAACAATGATATTCTTTTGGGTTATGTGAAGCTGAAGTCCAAGATAATTCAAAAGGAAAGTTTAGAGCAGTGCGTTATAGGTTATTGGATTTACAGTAGATTGTGTGCTGCTGCCTGCGTCATCGTTCGTCATGAACTACACGTGGCCCCTGCTTTTGCGGGTGAGCAAGGGATGCCGGGATAGATCGTGTCAGAATCAAATCCGATTCAACATAGAGATTATACCCATTTTGCTTCTGTTCTCTCCATTCGCTTCCCCTTATTCCTTTGTTTTCTTACCCCAAATGGGAGGTTACTGATATCGGTTCGCGTCGTAGTGTGTTACTAATGAGACCACGTGAGGATGAGATTGTATGGAAGAGACCCTGGCTATTTGATATCTGAGGGCATTGCGGATCTGCCCCAGCATGCCAAACTACACTACTTGCGCCTTGTCCGCAGAGATGCTCCCATGTGGACCGAAGCCCACCTTGTTGTACATAGTATTCAAATCAGATTATGTGACTGCAGTTAGCCTAGCCCGAACACAGATTAACCCCGGCCGTCGATTGAGACCTGACACTGCTGTGCCCGGTGGCTGTGCAATGGTGTCTTTGCTCAGTCACAAAAATCCTCCGATGGCGAAAGCAGACGACAGGCATGCCGATCCTTCGCAGCAATAGACCAATAGACTGCAATACTCAAAAATGACAACCAGTGTCGTTGGGTGGAAATGTGTATGCCTAGCAAGCTATGCCGACAAAACAGCCTGATCGGGCGAAGAATTCACCACTGCTGCGGACGACAATGATGCAAGTGCTTCGAAGGGTATTTCTAGGCTTCTTGACCAAGTCGCTTGACAATATATCATTGACAGCCCATCACATTTGTAGTTATTAATACCATTTCGTCGCATCATCGACTTCACGCATCGGATCTTATTACTGTCTACTGACCCGCAACAATATTGGACAACTCGAGGAATCACATCATCGGTAAAAAAACCTACCGTGTCAATCATGGCACCCAATTCGTCAATGATCGACGTCCAAGACGTAAAACCCCCAACATACAACGATACCCTTACAGAGGCAAGAGGACAACTCAATTGCGGGGAGACGCCGAAATTATTTCTGGACAAGACAACAATTTTCGCCAACACATCCCCGCCTCGCGCACTCTACGAGCTGAGCAACATCGTCACAGATGCAAGGTCACTTACCTACGGGGTTCAGAAAGTTGTCTATAGAGTCAGCCCAGCGCTCGGCAGCGACAAGATCAGGACGAGACTAGACCACATCTATGACTTCAAACAAGATCCTTTAAGATCACTCGAAAGCTACAAAATGCAGCTGTACGACGTGGTTGTCATAGAAGGCCAGATGAATGCGAAAAGAACATACAAGGAAGTGCACTTGATGCCCAGCGTGGCCGGGTGGAAGGTCAAAGATCACTTCAAGGTCGGCAATAGCGTGGCGCATCAGCTGAAGCACGAGAACGAGATACACTGGAAGAGCATGGAGGGTGAGATCATTGCAATCGAGACGCTGCCCAAGAGGGACAAGGAAAAGAAGTTGCTCAACATGCCTCAGCTGGAAATCAAGACCGCGATGGAAGACAAAGAATTGGACCTCCTGGTGACCAGTTGGATGGCTAGACTCTGGCGGCAATCCGCTGGCGAAACCAAAGAGCCGATGACGTGGAAAGAATGTAGGTCTCCGGCCATGACCCTGATAACACAAAAACGGTGAACGTTCGTGCTGACTTTTCCTAGTTAAAGAGATTTCAAAGATTGCGCTCTGTCAGACTAGGCCAGGTGTCTGGAATTTGGCCTGATAGTTCCGCGATAGAAGACTTTTACGACGCAAACGATGGACTCTCGTACATTTGTGCATATAGCGGTTTAGAAGATCGAGACAGATACCCAACCCCCTTGCTTTTTCAATTAAGAATAAGATGGGCCTCACCATGTATAGCTACTGTGTCTGATGTACGATAACGTTTGCCGGAGTTATTTTGTGATGTGATCATTTTTACTAGTATTGCGGTCCATCGTGCATACATATGACAAGATGCTAGGCTGCATGTCTTTGATCTTACAACCAAGTTAACTTCTTATAATACTACCAATAGCCAATGACTTGTTACTACAAATTCCCAGTCCACATAATCATGAGAGCTGCAAAATATTGGGGGTATGAGGATGTTCTAAGCGAACAGCTAATAGAACCTCCTTTTGGTCGAAACCAGATCAAGGTACGATATCTTGCTCATATCTTATCCTACATATGGCATGTAAGTTCGGCCCCGTGCAAGGAGGACATAATGAAGGACAGATTTGGACTCCCACCATGACAATACTCAACGCCCGGACAAAACGCACTTGTCGATTTGGACTATTCCGTGCAGCTACTACTGCCTCAACAACAGCATCATTATGTAGCAGGACTTAGCGCGGAGCACGTCCTTTACGCCTGGTGATATGCCTTGGAATAGGCCTGTTCAAGAAAGGTAGTGGCAGTCGGTCCCCCTGCTTGCTGCTCACGAGATGACTTGACGGCTGTGGGACTTGGTATATGAGTGTCCAGAGCTCAATATTATCAAGGTGGTTGGAGGTACGTAAATCATCCCCATGAGAGCACCCTCACAAAACCCTGCCGGAGCCTGCCCTTGAGCTGCAACGGCAGAGGATACGCGAAGGACTCCTGGATGATCACGATTCCGAAAGAGACCAGCCACTTGTACTCACGCTTGCTGAGATTTGGTACTCTCTGTTCTCCTGCCGAATCACGACCGTCACTCCAATACTGTTTTGGGCATTGGCCTCTGCCCGAGCCTTGGCCAGAGCCACGACCGTCTCGCCCCCCTCCTCCTCGCGCGGCTTAATGTGATTGCCCCAGCCATGGCGCATGGCGGTTGGTCTGCGAGCAAAAGTTGTAGTCGAGCATGCACGAGTCAATCTTGCATGTCAGCGGCTTGGGCACATCTACGCGGACCTGGCATCAGAGCACCTTCTCCCGGCCCCAGCTGCATGCGTTATACGAGTCACCACTAGTGTGGCTGTTAATCTGCAACTCGTATAGGGACTTGTAGTTGCTGTCGACACAGTCAGGCGAAGTGCTACGCCACGCGCACTTGTACAGTCCCGTGTCCTGAGGACAGTAGTACTTTTGCACGCGGCCTATAGAGCAGGCTCTAGCCTTGGTCGTCACCTTAGTGTGCGTTAAGGTGCACTCGTTACTTAGGATGCTACAAATCAGGTCAGCCCTGTCCGCTAATCCTATTACTAGGCGGGTAAGCCCTCACTATCCCGTCTAGTAGCAGTCCTTGATAATGCTCTTAAAGCTGGGGGTCTTGCACTAGAGTACCTTAAACCCTCGCGCACAGTCCTTGCGCGGCCGATTTATGTCAGCCAAGGGAGAGCCTCTCCATTTGGACCACACGACGGCCGTCTCACCAGTGTGGCACTGCCCATCGCAGTCGCCCCAGATGCCGCCGTCCTCGGGCGTGCCTCGCCAGGTGCACGAGCTCGTCAAACCCCGGGGACAGTGGACCGGCGTGACCTTGTTGCTGTCTTCGGACTACAATACGCGCATGAAGTCAGCACGTCTGCCTCGCTAGTGACAACCCTATCAATAGCGTCACTCACGCATCCTTGCCTGTTGATGGCAACCATGCTCTCGCCATTGGGCCAGGTAAAGTGACCGTCCTCTCTGTAGCCGTCGGATTTGTACACGTAACAGCCCTTGCCTTTCTCCGCGGCTGCAAGAAGTATTATCTCGTCACGTCCGAGGAAGGATGCTGGGGCATTCATCAGGAGTACGGTATCTCTGACTATGCGACTTCTGTCAAGTGCAACCCGGCGCTTTGGTTCTGACTGCCAGAACTCATGGCCCAACTATGCCGTCTGCGAAGTCTTTAGACCCTCATTTGATCTGAAGGCGGGTCTGATATTGGATTGCTAATCCTCGGCGAGAACGGGTCGATTGGTTCTTTCTAGGGAATTTGATATCGAGAGAATTTGCGTCCCTGATACTGTGCTGAAGTCTCTTGTGCCGCACCTTGTGTGTCCTTGGTAACAGGATGTACTCCTTTTTGTTCTTAGGGTTGAGGGCAAGTGCCTAGAACATGTTGGATGAAGGCGCGAGTCTCTATGATGGTTGATGGGCTAGAGGAACCTGAATATTTCGATCAAGACAAGAAGGGCGCGGGGTCTGCATGTTTCGTCCACGGTTTCCTGCTGTACTACACGCAGAGGGCCGATGTCATCTTGGAAAGACGTCTTTCCTCCTTTTCCCTAACTTGCTGTAGCTTGACCTCCTTCAACTCGCGATAACCGTTCAGTCTAAGTCATCCGCATCCCTGCTGCTAAATTAAAACGCCGAATCCATACCATCTCATCATCCTCGCGGATTCACGCCCGCCACCCATCCGGAGCCCTAACCGAGCGTCATGATCTTGGACCGCGAAGTCGACTGGGAGGAGACAAGAGGAGCCACAGAGAGAGTTACCATAATTCAACACACGCTTGTCAGGGAGGCTCTCACGTTTACACACTGGTCTTACCTTCGGAATTATACTGCGTAATCCACATGGCGCTGACGCTGCCAAGTGATGCATCACTAACTCCAAGCTTGGCACACAGCGTCAGGTGAGAATAAGAGGAGGTTTGGTTGAATGATTCATCTCATATCAAGTCCTCTCAGCCCGCTACCCCCTGCTATTTTAAGAACCCATAATAACGTGACGTTCTTTGCCAATAGTCTTAGAAAAGATGATCTGGATGGGTACAATTAGGGAAGTAGTAATTGGGGGCCAGATGCCTCAGAAAGATCCGGGCAGCACCATTGGTCTTTGATCGATATTGTATGAAACCCAATGATTGATCAGACGAATAGAATCTTGAATGCCTGCGGTAATCTCCAGGTGAAAGTTGCACGTGTACGTCTTGGCGTTTGGCCGGCTCTTCAAGGAACTCCGTTATCTAACGGTTGCGGACAGCCAGGCCGATTCCCGAACTGGAAGTAGAATGAAGCTGGATAACCAATCACCTCCACGCCCGTCCCTCAATCAAAGCTAGGATTAGAAATGCGGTAGGCATCCTGCATCTAGATAAGCGCCGGCTAACTAAAGCTTCCACGTTCCGTTGAGTGGATGGCGCATCTTGAGGGTTAACGTTGAAGTGGCAAACTGTGAGGCGCGTGGCACTTGCCAAGGTTTTTTTTTCTACGCAAAAGCGCAGCAAGTGGGATTCTCTGATAATAGTGCCTTAATTAAATGAAAGCCCAGAGCCTTGGGTCACTATGGGCGGGAATGTCGGTAGCGGTTCCGTGTAATATTGCTGTATTATCCGGACCATCATCCTCCGTAGATCCACTCAAGGCCCTGTCTGACGGTCCTCGTTACCCGTCATCACGGCCCACTGTTCCAGAAGTCAAATCTTAAGCAGAAAGACGGCTCATATGTCGCCGTCGTGGCGTTCTTGGCTATCCATCACCTGGTTAGTTGCAGCCCTCTCGCCCTTGACGGAAGGGCCTCTGCAACACTGAAGCCGACGACTCATGATAACTAACCCCAGGAAACGGCGAAACGTTGAATCTCTATATATACCATCTCAAACCTATAATCTTCTCATCATCCCATTCCGAATAACGCTAATCGAGACGATCGCATTTGAGCACATATTCATTCTTTCAGCCTCTGCAACGCTCCCGGTCTTTCCATTCAACTTTCAAACCCACCCAAGCTCACAATGAAGGTTCTGCTCCCTCTTCTTACGGCCAGCTTGGCCAGCGCTCACACCATCTTCTCTTCCCTTGAGGTTGGTGGCGTAAACCAGGGCATCGGCGGCGGCGTTCGTGTTCCGTCGTACAACGGTCCGATCGAAAACGTTCAGTCTGACTCGCTTGCCTGCAACGGAGCTCCCAACCCGACAACTCCCACTTCCAAGGTCATTACCGTCCAGGCCGGCCAGAACGTTACCGCTATCTGGCGTTACATGCTCAGCTCTACCGGCTCCGGCCCCGCAGACGTCATGGACAGCACCCACAAGGGCCCAACCATCGCGTACCTGAAGAAGGTCAACGATGCTACTTCCGACAGCGGGATCGGGTGAGTTTCATTCTAGTAACTATAGGGATTCTAGCTCTAACAATGTATATCGAAAAGCTCTGGCTGGTTTAAGATCCAACAGGACGGTTACAACAACGGCGTCTGGGGTACCGAGAAGGTCATCAATGGCCAGGGCCGCCACAGCATCAAGATCCCCGAGTGCATCGCCCCCGGCCAGTACCTCCTCCGTGCCGAGATGATCGCCCTGCACGCCGCTGGCAGCTACCCCGGTGCTCAGTTCTACATGGAGTGCGCCCAGATCAACGTTGTTGGAGGCACTGGCTCCAAGACCCCCTCCTCCACTGTCAGCTTCCCTGGCGCCTACAAGTCATCCGACCCCGGTGTCACCATCAGCATTGTAAGTTTTCTCTCATAGTTCTTATCTTTAGCTTTTTGAAACGTCTAACCATTATTTCCTTAGTACTGGCCTCCTGTCACCACCTACACCATCCCCGGACCCGCTCTGTTTACCTGCTAGATGCTTGACGCTAGAAAGCGACCAATATGGGAGGAACTAGAACACTCTGCGAGCGCATTCAATCTTTGAAATCCAATCTTATTCTCAGGTCCGAGACCCGTTGCATAGGGCCATTCGTGTATATAGTTAGCATACATTAAGCATGAGAGCTCACCCAGTAAACGGGGCACATTCACATATGGAAGCGAAACAACTACCGAGAACAACTATTTGAGTATATGTCGATATTCTACTTTTAAAAGTGTTTCGCGGCAGAGGGAAAGTGTCTTATGATGCCTGTTGTTCGGGCGTTCTTTTCAATTTGATGACAAGTTATGCAACACTGTTCAAGTATGCGATGGTTCGGCGGCAGCTTGGCAGGTAAAGGTAGCATCCGTAAGCAGTCATGATCTACAAGACGATTAAAGGAAGTAGATGTGAAGAAGTCTACAGATGAAAGCATGGGATGGGGTATCGAGCCATGGAATATGTGTGTCATAGAGCTCCTTTGACCCAGACTCTTTTATCGTGGTCTGCTATTTGCATCGTTTAGAATGAGCGGGAAAACATATCCCCAATCGTTGTCATTTCCACGTGTCTGGTTGAAGACGTGACTCTCTTTCTATTCTCTACCATTTACGTTGGCGATCATATTATGCTTCGAAATCACCGTGGAACACCTAATGCATGCCCCATGGCTATCGGGTATCATTTTAGATTACCTCTTCCGGTGGAAAAGCAAATGGAATCCATTCGTTGCTATCTCCAGTACGGCGCACTTGGTAGAGAAGACCCTTTCGCCCTCCCTTGAACATCAGTCTTGATCATTCCAATAACTGCAACCCAACTTACTCCTTTGCTCATAAATCGCCTTCGAACATACCGTCTATCACTTACGCTGTTTTCGACCTCCATCCAAGTCTAAAACATCACAGCAACATCCTTTTACGCTGCCCCCATTTCTTTCGAACTCCGATCTATCCATACAACATGTCATCAGCCGCTTCCAGTTGCACTGGTTTTCTGAATGAAGCTCTTCGTCTCTTCACACTTGCTTCGGCCTATTCTAGCCAGCCGACTGCCTCGGTCTCAGTCCAGTCTCCGAAGATGCATTCCACCGGTATGGACAGTCTTCCCATTGAGATCTATGGGGTGATCGCGAGAAGTCTCTGCACCCACTGTTCTCTAATGGAAGAAGACGACACGTTTTCCAAGGTCAACCTCTACAACCTGTGTCTGGTAGACAAAAAATGGCACCAAGCCGCGACCCCAAGTCTCTATCACACCTTCGAGTCACGCTGGGACAGGAGCTTCTTCACCTTCCTACCAACGCTCATCCAGCATCCGAACCTAGCCATCCATGTCAAGTGCGTCTCTCTGAGTTTGGATTATCAAAACTGGCCCTGGGAGGATACGAAGACCTTCAGAAATGTCATTAGATCCAGAGCTCTTGCTCTAGGCTCCCCCTTTTCAGACCACCCGGCATTAGTGGCCGACAAGAACTCAAATCGTTTAAGCCGAGACTATCAATGTGTGTTGGGGGAAATGCTCCTGTTTCATACCCCAAACATTGTGTCCATAGACTTTGTCAAGGAAACGGAGGTGGAGAAAGTCTTCAAGTTCCTCGACACCGTCGCTTGTTGCTCTCAAAAGTGGCACGGCATGAGGCGTCTCCGCCGTGTGAAGTTGGATGTGCGCTTTGCTGAAGACATCCCCGAGTCACATTATATGGGCTATCTCTCCAGACTTGCCGCGGTTGCTCCGAGCGTGCAGCATCTTCACACATATCTGCTAGGTGATTGTCGCCCACCACTCCTCGACTGGGCTCCTGTCACAGTCCAATCGCAGGTCCCGACTCCTCCTCACATGGTGACCTTCCTCAGCAGCCTCAGGTCTATAAACATCACCAACTCCACCGATTCCATCCCCTTTGAAAGGACACTCGGAGCGCACATTAGCCACTGCAAGAGCATTGAGGAGGTACGGTACCTCTCAGGCAACCGGGATGTTGCATCGTTCATGCAGTTGATGCGGCCCCTGTCTCGCACTATCAAGCGACTGGGCTGCACTCAGTGGAATGCCCAAGGCAACGAAACTATCTGGGACCCTCTCCGCAACGACTCCGTGGCAGTGATTGAGACTATTGCGGGCTTGACGTCGCTCGAGGCCCTCCTCTTCGACTTGACCGGTCCATCGGTGTTATCTGAGCACGGGGACTCGGCCAGCACGATTGTTCCGTTCATGTGCGCCCTACCCAAGTCTTTGCGCGTTTTGGCCATTGGCGGTTGCAACTGGGTATGTCTCAAGCAGGGCCTCTCGCAACTCATGGATCGTGTCCACGACGGCATGCTTCCAAACTTCCGCACCCTCCACGTGGGCTGCTATAATGAAAGTCATCACCATCCCTTCATTGAGGCATTTGCCGAGTTTGGCGTTAAAATGAAGATGCACGAGAACCTGTGGCTTTACGAGGACGCTTTAAGAAAAGTATGGATGCACATGGGGGAATAGAATGCATTATCATATCGTAGACAAACTGTGTGCGATGCTGCTGGCATGATGGGTAGATAAGTAAAGCAAAGATGTCTCCTCACAGATTCAGTTTAGGGGTGCAGAGCCGACAGTGGAATATAATGCTCTGCAGACAGTTCAGTTCATCTTGCCATATCATGGCATGGTGCCAATGCAGGTGGTTTAGTTGAAGCAGAAAGGAGTCATCTGACCTATCAGTGAAATGTTTGGGTACGTGAATTTCTCGCTTATGGAGGTAGCAAATTGGAACGCTTTAGAGTCTCTTATGAGTGTCTAGTATCCATCATCTGTATAAACATTATGCGAAGCGTACAGGTATTCATTTTTCATATATCATAGCACCCCGGTCCATCTCAGAATACAGCGAGAGCACCAAGAGCGAGCATACCGAACGCGCCCATGGAGCCAACGGCGGCAGCGGCGGCAGGTTGGGCGGTGGTGGCGGTGGCGGCAGCACCACTGGCAGCAGAGCCAGAAGCACTCGCGGTTGGTGCAACGGTCACTGAGACAGAAACAGAGGCAGATGCCACAGAGAGAGACGCTGTGGCGGATGCGGAGGCAGACTCGACGGGAGGCGCGGAGGCGCCGCCGGTGACATCGTGGCAGAACTTGGCAGCGGCCGGGAGGAGCTGGCCTGTTGGGGCTTGCGTGAGCGACGGTGTCCAAGCGATCACGGAAGAGCAGAAGGGAGTTTCAAGATGAGAACGTACCAGTGGCGACGTCACTGCTGCACGACTGGAGAACGCAAGGGACACCGACGGTGTAGATGTTGCGGTAATTGGTGGCCTCGCAGATGCAGGTCGAGTCGTCTATGCTGCTACAGTTGGTACCGTCCTTGACGGCCTTGGTAAGACAGTCGACGGAGCATTTAGGGATAACGTCGGTGAGCTTTTGCTGGGCGACGGCCAGGTTGGCGATGGCGGCAAAAAGGAGGTAGGAGTACTTCATTTTGGACGGACGGCGTTGGAGAGGCTGCAAGGGGTTTCTTGGGGATTGGCTACAACAAAATGAGCGGGAGAGAGGAACAGAAAACAAAACTCTCGTGCCACGCGCTGGGAGCCAGGGGAGTGTTATAAGTCCGTAGACGTGGCTGGCGGCCACGTAATCCGATCCGCCCAGGGGTACGGAAAGGCAATATACAGAGTCAAGCTCGTGCATGTAGCACCCACATTGGAGGCAGCGAGACCATCCCCAACGATCATGGACTGATCGTGGAGGACGGCTCGTCGGCGCATCTGTCGCCAAGTACGGCTAGTTGGTCCGGCCAGTTGGGAAAGTGGTCTTCAGGCCATACCGGATCTGGCTCTCTCGGTTACAGACCCTGCCGCTTACTTCAGGCCCTCGCCGTCAATATTTGGACGGCGTTGCGGAGAGATGAGTCTGGATCAGGGTTTGGTGAGGGCAATGATGGGCTTGGGGATGTGATAAGATTGATAATGGTCTGAGAACCGGGGGGTTACGGCGCCGGGTGACAGGGCTCAAATTTTATCTGATGGATCAGATAACTAAGATTGGACGGTTCTGCAACGTGACGATGGGACCTGCCCGGTTCGGCTAGTGAGAAATTTCTATCGACTTGCGGTTTTCTGTGTGGCATGCCCGCGGCCGTAGCTGAAAGGGTTCTCATCGATGTTCGGGATCTTCGGCAGCACAAGTAAGCGGAGAATCGACATGGGTCATGGGCTCATAGTATTTGCTGGGGGATAAAGCTTGTTCGAGCTGAGGACTCGACGGCTTGGTGAAGCTGCTCGTTAATATCTATCGAAAACAATAGGTATTTCGGGCTTCATTGAATATCTAATAGCCTCATTTTCCAAATCCAAGCTGGTGTTAAGATAGTGATCCATGCCATGTCTGTCAGGAGGGCTGATTGGACTGGATGTGGATGGATGGTGAGGAGACATGAGGCGTGGAAATGGCTTGTGGATGTGGCTTGTGGATGATGATATGACTCATGACTGATAGTGTGGCTTGACCTCGATGGCGACCTCAGCCACAAGACGCTTGTTGCTGTCTTACCTAATCCCTCCAACTCGGAGGGTTCTGTCCCGTGGAGCGGATAACCGGTACGTACCTGCGCACCTGTACACTACCTTGCACGTGCGTAGCATAGCAGTAGCCGCGGTACGGAGCGTGTTTGCTGAAGTTATTTGTACAGTGAATGACCGGCCGATAACGCAGGGTGCGTCATTGAGAAAAGAGAGCCACACACTAACTAGCGGGGCGATAATCCCTGCGCGCAGAACGCAGAGCGCATCGCAGCGCAGCGCAGCGCAGAATGATAGGCACCTACCCTGCTACCGTACTGTGCTGTAGGTATGTACTGACTTACCAAACTACGTACCTAGCAATTAGCGACCCCGCCAAAGCAAAACCTGCCCCTCTATTTGGGAATTTTATTTTTTAAAACCCCGCGTCTTTCCCTCTCGATTGTTTTTGTGAGACTATCGCAGACCGACGTTGCGATCGCAGCAACCCATACTTTGGACAATTCGCTTGCAAAGAACAGCCTTTTTGCGTGTTGCTATACAATCACTCGCTCTTACGCTCTACTCTACTCTACTCGCACACACTACGAGACGCAATGTCTACCATTGACATCGTCCTCGGCGCCCAGTGGGGGTAAGCTGCCAAATCTTCCCGTGGCCCGACCTCCCTTGCCTTTGCCCTCTCTGCCTTTTGCTCTACCTTGGCCCAGCATGTTTTTTCTCGTTTCCTTCTTCCGTCTCTGCGTCTCTTCTCGCGTCATGTTCCATATCTCTGTCTTGTTCTCTCGAATCGTTATCCCAGCCAGCAGGGCGGCTACGTCGACAAACGGCCCTCGAGGTATACATGCATCTGGTTCTCGTGTGTGCGTGTGTATACCGACAGGGGTCGCGTCTTGGCGACACGTTTGCCCTGCTGCGCCAATCGCCACGGCATCAACCAACTGACACTTTGCGCGACAATAGTGATGAGGGCAAGGGAAAGCTGGTTGACGTGTAAGCTATCCCTCGTGCCCTCGGCCTCGCCCTAATGACCCTCTGACCCTCCCGGATACAGCCTCGGACAAGACGCGCAGATTTGCGCCAGAGCTCAGGTTGGGACTGCGGCACCTTCTGGATAGTCAATCGCATGCTGATGGCCCTAGGGCGGACACAATGGTAGGAGTCACTCCAACTCCTCATGACCAATTCCAAGCATAACGCATTCTAACCCGACTGCTCCCAGCCGGTCACACTGTCATTGTCGATGGTGTCAGCTACGACTTCCGTAAGTTAACATGTTGCTCCTCTCAATGCGTCGCTTCGCTACCTCTCTCCTCACCCCCCTCTGATGCTGACCTGCTCTGCCTCCAGACCTCCTCCCCTCCGGTCTCCTGCACCAGAAGTGCATAAGCCTCATCGGCTCCGGCGCCGTCGTCCATGTCCCGACCTTTTTCAAGGAGATGGCTGACCTCGAGGCCAAGGGCCTCAAGAACATCCGCGAGCGCCTCCTGGTGTCTGACCGTTGCCACATCATCACCGACTGCCACATCCAAGTCGACGGGCTGGAGGAGCAGGAGCTTGGCGGCAACAGCATTGGCACCACCAAGCGCGGCATCGGCCCAACCTACAGCACCATGGCTGCCCGCAACGGCATCACCATCAGCGAGATGTTCGACGAGGAGATCTTTGAGCGTAAGCTCCGTCTGCTCGCCCATGGCTTTAAGAAGCGCTTCGGCGACCTCCTCGTCTACGACGTCGAGGATGAGATCAAGCGCTTCAAGCAGTACAGAGAAGACCTCCGCGTGCGTCCCCGCCCCATCAAATTCACACCGATCGACTTGTTGCTAACATGGATCTGCAGACCTTTGTTGTCGACGCCGTCCCCATCATTGCCGACGCCCAGAAGAACGGCAACAAGATTCTCGTCGAGGGTGCCCAGGCTGTCATGCTTGACCTGAGTATGTGAAAAAAGCGATACCTCGACGGGCGCGCGCCCTCTGCTGACCACCTGCCCCAGACTTCGGAACTTACCCTTACGTCACGTCATCAAACACTGGTCTTGGAGGTGTTTTCACCGGTGTAAGTTTCGTGCCCCCGCGAGTGCCAGCCGGCATGTTTCTGACCCTCCCAACCAGCTCGGTCTCAACCCCAAGAAGATCAGCAACATCGTCGGTGTTGTGAAGAGCTACACTACCCGCGTCGGCGGTGGCGGCTTCCCCACGGAGCTGCTCAACGAGACGGGGGAGAAGCTCCAGAAGATCGGCCATGAGATCGGCGTCTCTACCGGCCGCTCCCGCCGGTGCGGCTGGCTCGACCTGGTCGTCGTCAAGTACTCGACGGACCTGAACCACTACACGGCGCTGAACCTCACCAAGCTCGACATCCTCGACACCTTCCCCACCCTCAAGGTCGCCGTCGCCTACAAGAACAAGCAGACGGGCGAGACCTTCGCCTCCTTCCCCGCCAACCTCAAGGCCCTCGATGAGGCTGAGGTCGTCTACGAGGAGCTCGAGGGCTGGAACACGCCCACGACGGGCTGCAAGACGTACTACGACCTGCCCAAGCAGGCCCGCGCGTACATTGAGTTCATCGAGAAGTTTGTCGGCGTCAAGGTTGTCTGGATCGGCACCGGCCCCAAGAGAGAGGACCTCATCTTCCGGGGATACTAAAGAGTTGGAGGAACCTATTGGTTTGAGAGGAGAGTGGCCGCAGGTCATAGACAATACCGAGACATCGGGCCTCAGCAAGATTGTTGATAGAGTCTCGATATAAACCAGAAGACAATAGACGATAAAACATAACCGCACCACGCTCGTCAACCGGTAAAACTAGTCTGAAGTCGCCGCCATGGGCGACCTACGATGATGAGTATCGTCTTTATGCCTCCATGGGCTAGAATGTCCATCATCTGATACCTATTGCACAGCCCCTTCTCGCAAGCATCGTCATCGTGAGCTCGGGTGTATCTCCTTACTAATAGATACTCCACGAATCAATAATCCGGGGCATCATTGGAGACTCAACCAGCGGGGCCGCGGAAATCGGGCCTGCAGCCAAATCCCCGACATCGGGAGGGAGGCTGAGGCATTTTGAACTAGCATTCGCCGGAAGCCGCCGAAGGACTTACTCAGACTAGCAAATTTTTTTAATTTTTTTTCCAACGTTGGCTTCTAACCCGCCCCCCCCAGAGACGTATGTCATTGGCCAACGTCGCTTGCCCACAGATCCCCAGCCATCCGAGTCCCTGTTCCCAAATCCCAGTCCCTGCTGTCTGGCTGCAATGAAGAGAAACATAGATTGCAAAACTGCCTATCGCCTTTACTCACAGACGGACACCCCAGGTGTTCTGGATTGTCTGGCCGGTTGGCCCAATGGCAAGGCGTCTGACTACGATTAAACACAACAAGTCGTGTATCAGGAGATTGTGGGTTCGACCCCCATGCTGGTCAATATCTTTTCATATCCCTTTTGCTGTTTCCTGATGCCACTATCATGCGTGCCAGGAGAATTGCGGCTTTGTTCCTCCGTTCTTGATTTTTAGATTCAGTTAGCAGGCTTCTTCTATCTACTCTGTCATGCTGATGCCATCAAGATCGGTTCATGTGATAAAACAAAAAGATTCCAACTTCTCGAAAGTCTTGGCTTGTTTTATTTCCATCTGATGCATGCTCGTCACTTCGAGGCCATCATATATATCAGTGAAACATTACAGATCATGATTTTGCTCGTCTGTACCAGTTCTTTGTTCTCCTTCAAACACTGCAACTCGACACGAGTGACAGCTACGCCATCACCCGGTACACAGGGTACTCGTCGCCCACGCTCACGGGGAGGATGTTGAACGTGGCATACGAGTCGATGCCCTCCGGCTCCAGCGTCACGAACGCGTGCGCGGCGTTCTTCTGCCTCGTGCCGACCCAGAACCCGCCGGCCAGGATGCGGACCTCCTTCCGCACCGTCTCCGTCGTCACCTTCGTCCGCGACACGCCCTCGAACCTGGCCCCGCCCTCATCGACGGCGTCGGCGCCGGTGACGTTGAGCGCCTCGACCTCGCCGCGGAAGTCGGCGCGCAGCTCGCGCACGTCGACGCCGGTGACGCGCAGGCGCTCGGCGACGTCGACCCACGCCCGCGAGAACACGTAGGCCTCGGGCCGGCGCCGGGTCAGCCCCGCGACGACGGGCGTCGTGTTGAGGAAGCGCACCGGCACGTCGACCAGCGCGCCCGTCGCCGCCTCGATGAACTGCCACGAGATGTTGGTCGGCCGCGCCGACTCGGTGACGACGATGTCGTCGCCGCCGGCGATGAACTTTGCGCGCGCGCCCTCGACCGTGGCGTACACCTCGTCGGCCCGGTCCGCTGCCGTCTGGATGATCGCCTCGACCATGGTCAGCCCCGCGGCGACGCGCCGCCGCCAGTGCTGGTCCGCCAGCCCGATGCCGCGCGTCTCCGTAAGGAACACGACGGCCTGGCCGAGCGCGACGGCGCTGTCGCCTATCTTGGCGTCGCCCGTCGTCTCCTTCATGACCACGTCGTCGGTGCCCGTGTGCCCGGTTGCGTAGGGGCCCCAGCGCAGGCCGCGGCGCCCCATGGCTGCGGCGACGGCGGTGGCGAAGACGGCCTCGGAGAGGCTCCGGATGTCCTGGTGGATGTTGGAGTTCTTCATGGCGGAGAACTGCCCATCCTGCGCCTCCACCCACTGCCCGTCCGCGCCGAGGGGGTCCGCCGGGCTGTACTCGTGGCAGTCGACGCCCACGTGGGGCGCGAAGCCCATGACGAGCCTCTTGATGTCGCGGGTCTGCTGCCGCGCGAGCTTCGTGTGGTCGCGGTTCGGGTCGTAGTTGGTCGCGAGGCACCGCTGGAAGTACGCCACGCCGTCCGGGTTGTACCGCGGCAGCATCATGATGTCGACCTTGCCGAGCACCGAGGCGGCCCAGGTGGCGTTGGCGTCGAGCTTGCCCAGCAGCGCGAGGAGCGCCTGGTCGCCGGCGGGCTCGTTGCCGTGGACGCCGCCCTGCATCCAGATGCGGACCTTGCCCGGCGCGATGGCGTTAGCGCGGGACTCGAGGCCGCCGTTGCCGTCGGGGACGGACTCGGAGGTGGATAGATAGACGTACGGGATGAGGCGGCCCTCCTCGGACCGAAAATCGGAGCTGCGGTACGTCATCCACTCGTTGCGTGCGGCGAGCGTGCGGAGGAAGTGGTCTGCGTGGGTTGTTAGGTCGGTCGCCGGCGTTTAATACGTGCTTGGGGAGGAGGGTTAGGGTCTCGGTGACACTTACCGAGAGTCGCCTCGTCTGTTGGGCTGCTGGTGCCATTGGCGAAGCCGCTGGGCACGCTCTCCGGATTCGCGAAGGCGGGCGAGAAGAGCTCGACATCTTCGACTTCGGGGAAGTTCGCGGCGACCGCCTTGCTGTCGGGGAAGACTCTGGCCTGGTTGCTCGCGTAGGTGAGCTTCGCGGCCGTGAGACCTGCGTGGAGCAAGCCCAGTGCTGTCGCCCCCTGGAAGCGCATTGCCGTGGTGGCTACTGAGCTGGCTACGGATCTGGCCCTGGTGATTTAGCGGTCTATTAGGGCTTGAAAGAGGGACAGAGACAGAGTAGAGGAGACCGTCGGGAAAGCACCACGCAATCTCAGCAACCTCCCCGATGGGCCTCTGTCGTGTTTTAATGTTGTCGTCGGCATCGGTCGATCGGTCTCCACTTGAGCGATATGTTGGTTGCCAAGACCTCGTCTTACTCCTGCCCCCCCATTGTGTGATGTTGGATGATTGGGCCTTGGACAAGGGCTGGAAGTTGAAAAACTCTCCAACTTTTCCTGCGAAAGCACTCGCCAAGACGGGCTATCTCGCCAAGGCGCAAACGGTCCAAGGTTGCCGAGCACACGAGGTAGTGTATTGATGTGGCATGCCAACGGCACTCGCTGAGCGTTTCGTGTCATGTATTGTGGTTGGAACTCTAGAAACGCTTATGTTTCCCTGTTTCCCATTTACGATGGGGCTGTTGGCTTGTCAAGCTGATTACTGTGCTGTTGCAGTGGAAAGTGTCTCCTTGAACCAGACGAAGTATACACACGCCGGCTGACTACTGGCTTACTAGACAGCGAGTGATGGCTGCGTGGTTGAGCTTGTAGATAAGATGGACCTGATATTAAAGATAATGACACCGCTTCAAAAGCCATCCGTATCCGGGATATCACAATGTGACAAACAATAAGTAGCAGAGATACTTGAGTTATTTGAGAACGTAATTTATTAATGTAAGTGCGCAATAGTTGCCCTACCCGAAGTCCGATGGCGCTTCAAGAGTCTGACTTGCTGGCCGTGTCGATTTCGAGATGAATTGTCGGGACCTCGGTTGAGTTCCCAGGCATCACGTACGTAATGTTCCAAAATTCAAAACCGCTATTCCATATTAGCGCCGCTCAGCAACAGGAATACTGTTTTATTTTTTCCACTTACTGGATGATGGAGCATGTGCCGCCGACGAGTCCGCAAAAGCCAATCTCCGGTTGCAGTTTCACGCTGCCGGTAACGTTGACGTTGATTCCCTCGACGTCCTCGAAGCCACGAATGTCTCGCTTGCCACCCAATGGGTTGGAGCTGACGAGGAAGGTGAAGATACTTGTCGAGTTGCCGCGAGGGTAGGATAGGCTCAGCTTCCCGGGACTGACGTCCACGTTCATAGCCTCTTCAGTGCCGTGGAGAACAGCGAATCCGACGCTTCCGTCGTCTCGGGACCACTGCACTGCAGCAGGGGTCCATTGAGAAGGGTCTTGGCGCGGTCCGCCGAGGGTGTCCTCGTCGTACGACTCGGCGCCAATGGTCAGATGGTCTGCAAGCCAAGCCGTCACGTTCCGAGGAGCGCCGTCGTGCGGCGGCGAGAACGCGGCGGTCTCGTACATGTGCTCGCCCGGAAACGTGCTGAGCTTATCTACGACATCTGAGGGCACGATCGCGTCGTGGAAGGGGGCCAATACAGAGATGAGTGGCGCGTACTCGAAGTCGTCTGCGTGTGCCATGCTCCATGTCTGCTCGATCCCGGGGGCCTTGTCCCTTCCGACGAGGGACCAGATGTAGATATTGAGGATGGCGACGTACTGGTTCATGTCGAAACCGTAGGTTCTGTCCCACGGCCCCGCAACGTTTCGGAGGTTCGCGTTGTACATGCTTCCTATCGTCTCCCAGACAGCCTTGATCATGCGTTCGCCGTTGGCCCCCATAAGAGAGGAGTCAGCGGGCATGTACTTTGCCCAAAGGGTCAAGCCGTAGATGCTGACGCCCGCATACGTGGGGCTGTTGAACTCGGAGAGGGTGTCGTTACGATCAAAGAGATCCACAATTTCTTTGGCGTAGAGCTCACCGGCCGCGGTCATGTTAGAATCATTGAGGGCGCGGCCTGTCCACCCTGTTGCAACGGCACGCATGATGGAAGGGTTGCTGTAGGACGGGTAAAGGTTGTCGTCGTCAACTCCACCAACACGGTAGCTGTCACCGATTGTGTTGTTGTACATGCTCGCAAGGATAAGATCCTGTACATCGTGGGGAAGAAGGTCCTTGAACTCTTCGTAGATCACGATAAGGGTTGTGCCGATGAAGCCTCGCCAGTTAGGGTCCCATGAGTTGTAGATCTGGTATCCGTGTCAGGAAAATATCTGGGCTTTAACGGGTAGTTGGATAAGTGACGAACGTTTTTAGGGTACGCTGGAGTACCAACAGTAGGCTCCTCTGGGTAGACAGTGTAGTCTCCGTACCTGTCATACAGCGTCAATAACAGTTAACGGTGCCATGCTCTCGATTGCTAAATTACCATTGATCTTCGGGGTTCTTCTTTTGGTCATCTATGACGTTTTGAATGATCTTGATAGCTTGCTCCACGTCGTCGCCGGTGTTGCGCTGCAGGAGACCTGAAGCATACCAGACTGATGACCGGGTCTCATGCTTCCCTGCCGCTAGGGGATAGTAGAAGAAATAGAGATAACCGGCCACCGGATCGTAGATCTTGTCGAGAAACTGCATGGATTGGTCGAACAAATCTTGGGTGAACCCTTTCAACTCCACCGCGGCTACTTGTTGTACGAAACCTGGGACGCCGAATAGGCCAGCTGCCATTAGGCAGCCAGTTGAGAACCTCATCTTCGAACAACGTGTCACGGTCGATTCTGGTCGCCTTGTGCGACAGGTTCGGACATGACGCGGGCTTTTATTATTGGTTTTATGTACCGTCCAGGTCCGTCCTCGTGAGTTGCAAAACCCCTCTTCCGGTAATGGCCGGTGTAATAGAGGCCGTAGCAAGAGAGGTTACTACTCCCATCACTGGTCATGAGCAGAGCACAGTGGACCGCCGCCGTCGGACGATGAATCCGTCCGAGAGAGACTTGCTTGACCATGCACCATGCAGTCGGCGGGGAGCCGACTGTGACAATCAAGATGCCGAATGGAACGCTCTGGCGGGGGACTGCACGGATCTGCGCAGATGCCAATTGGCCGAGATTGGACAACTGCGATTATAACTAGTTTTAATCGGCAAAGACGGATTACACAGCCAGTGAATACCGGCCACTCACCCGGAAGTGTCCGGACCGGTTGCCCGGAGGCACACTGAGTAAACACTCATTGCTGGTTCAGACCAACGCTAGCAGACCCCAGTGCTGTCCTTGAGACCAATACTATGTGGGCCCTCGACCACTTCTATCAGGGTCTAAGTACATAGCATATGTAGACTGACCATCGTGCGCATCACACACTATCTACTGGAACACCGGTGGAGGAATACCGAATGGGGAACAATGCCATAGATAAGGCAACTACTTCACTCTTACATTGAGCCCTTGTTGAACCTTTTCTTTGCCCATTGCCCAGCCGTTTAAGCCCACCCTGCAGTCCTCACAACACTAGATAGCAACAATGGGGTGAGCCCGGTCTATGTACGCCAATTGACCTTGTTCTTTAAGGCTAAAAAGGTTACTGGGGCAACGAAATGGCGGAAAGTAAACCGCCATTCAAAACTTGATCGTGAAGCTGGGAATAGCTTTGTGGGCCTAGTGCCAGTTGTGGCCACCGCAGGGTTTGAAAGTATTGCCTTGCGTGCCAGAACCACTTTTTAAATGGCTGGTATTGCCCTGATGAACCTTTCTCTAGTTGTTTGCTTTCTTGGTATGGTATCTAGACTTGCTCTATGACCTGGCAGATGAGTGAATATAGACCCAGCATTAGAAAAAGCTGTTGTGAATAGTTGTTAGTATAGCACTTCTAATTGGCTTAATAATTAGATCGTTGATTGCAAAAATGATCATTATCTGTCTAGCTATCCATAGAACCACTCCAGAATCTCAAAATGACGACATCCGGTTCCAGCCATGTGAACTTTCTACGACTTCTGGTAAGCATACCGAGGCCCCAGGGGGCTAAGAATCTTGAGTTCTCGCGGTTTTATGTAGAAAGGCTCTGTTGCATCAAAGTAGTCGTTGTAGTAATCCTTGGTCATTTGGTGCTGAAGGTTGATTGGCGTTGGGTTAATCTCAGCTCATCGTCTTGCTGGTAAGATGGTCTTACTTTCAGTATCCAATCCACCGGTTCAGACCTAGGATTCTTGTTAGGTACATCGATAAATTCGCTGGCGAACAGCCTGCGGCTCGACATACCATTTCTCAATCCAGATTATCGTACCTGGAGAATCGTGCATCTGATACATCTCGAAATACATAAGCTCGGACTCTCTCTTCATCTTTTCGATTGTCGGCTCTGAAGCTTCCAGAAATCGCGAAACATCTCTGGGATGGACGTGAACAGTAACCTGAAAGACAGTCGCCATGATGTGAGCAAGTACAGAACGCCAAAGATTGTGCTATTTTCAAGGATCGAATCACATCGAGCTGTTATCCCATCCGCAGGCACTGGTTTTGGGGGGCGCAAAGCCTTTTTATGGGACGCAACAACGTTCTCCCCGCATGTCCGACTGGTCAAGTCCGACGGCACCTCAGATGGTGAAACGTCTGATGTCTGACCGGCCCTGGTGGCAATCCGTCCTCAACCTCATCATTGTGTTCCAAGCGTGCCACGGGAACTGAACCTGATTGGCAATCCGTGCGCCTCTAGTGCGTAGATATTTGTGAACAGGATTACAGCCAATACAGACCCAATCAATACATTACATGCGGCAAGATAATCTTTTTACGGCTCTCCGCCCAGCCGATAAACTTAGCTGCAGAGTTGACGATTCTCTATACCCTGCATGGCTTGATGTTATGCCTAACCTTGCCGTCTTCATTCTCCTTGGTCTCAGCACGATCAGAGCAGAAACCACAAAATCCTCTGTCTAACTCATCAACTGATGAATCCGATTCAGCTAGCTTCTTGAGACTTGGCATCGGCCCATATGGCTAATATATTCCACCTTCGCAGTCCAAAGCTTTCAAATGAGTTACTCAATTACCTTTTGATATACAATTGCGCCTATAAACCATCAACTGGACCAACCTGCTTAACTAGGTTCTGCAGCATTTTAATAGATTTCGTTTCTTAAATCAGGTTAGTTGTCTTTGTTTGAAATATGGGCCAGTATACAACACACAGTGTGAAACCCGGCTGGTTTTGTGGAGTGGTAAGACTGGTGGAAACGAGAAGGTCGAGTTGACCGAATAGCCACAATAGGCCAATGGAACAAAGCAGTTAGGTCACTGGAGTCGACATCAAAGTCCTTGAGGAAACAGGATGGTGAGGCGACTTGACGTTGGGGTTTTTGATATGTAAAAACCCTTGCACTGCCTATGGTTGACAACAACTTTGGTTGTTTCCTGGAACTTGTAGCATATCAAAAGAATTATCAGCGCTTGCAAGATTTGGGCGAAATATATAACGTCATCATCCTCCTCCGTTGAGGAAGTTATCTGGACACCCTGTGAGAATCTGTCGAATCCGAGGAGTGCCACGGAGATCGTGATCCAGTGCATCCGCATTACTTTACCGAGTTGGGGATACGACGAACCACGCAGCCCGAACCATGTTCTGTAGCACAAGACATCGTGTCGAGTACCACGCGAACTTTGGGTTTTGGAACCAAGAGCTGATAGTGAAGCCATTTTGCATCAAACCGTCAGCCATGTCATCCATGGCCAAAAGATCCGCAGTTCTTACACACTTCACAAGCTGTCAGCATTGCTTCTCTCCGTATACAGGACACATCCGTCTGACCCGGACGCATCCGGCCCCGGGAATCCGCCGTAGCCGGCAGACTTGCCCTATGATCGCTTTTCCCCATCATCCTTGACTTAATTTGGAACGGTTTACACAACCTTCGATCCAAAATCGAGGGTCTTTGGATGAAACGAAGTGTTTCTTACATTAGGTAGCTCGCCATATATACCTAGGACAATAATTAAGCCATACACCGCGGTTTTTTGTCATCAACCTAGAAATTTCGATCCCCAGGACCATATTCGGAACGTCATTAATTGAACCTGTACTAGCATAGGTGACGCCGCGCGGTCTTTTGGGGGTAAAGGGAGGTCAGCCTTATTGCTTGGCGTCAGCGACCCGGTGAATCGTGATGAAAGCTTATCAAAGATTGTTAGAGTTCCTTGGATATCCTTGCAACGTGAATGTCAGAGGCTGATCTTCAGATGCCGCGACCTACCACGTAAGCCCCAACTTGGCAGACTCATACGGAACACACCCGGGCGGATGGACGTGCGGCGTATGAACCTGTTTTGGCTCATGTGAGTCTCAAGGTCCGCGAGCGGCGTTCGCCCCGAAGCAGAATTGCGTCTTAAGAGTCTGTTCCCCTGAGCTAATTTTGGGGGGTTGTTGGCCGTAAACACATCGTCTCTGCAGCCACCGGAACGTTGCCCCACAGCCTCACCAACATGCAGCCTACAGAAATCATCGCCATCTTGGCGGGGACTTACCAACTCATAAACACCTCGGCGTAAGAAGCTCTTCATATTCCCCTCCCCCTCCCCCGCTGCAGTCGCTACCAATATGTGCCTTTTTTTGTGCTCACAAGCATCCCACAGGACGCGCGATGGGGTACCAGTAGAGGACAGGACGTACGGCTCCAACCCGGTCGGCATTCTTTCTTACAGCAAGTCCGGCTACATGTCTGCCACCATCACGTCGACGGACACCGAGGACCGGCCAGCGAACCTGACGTTTCCCTTCCAAGACGGCCAGTCGGACGCCGACTGGGCCGCCATCGGCAGGCACAGCATCGGATACGCGGGGCCCGTCTCGATCACCGACGCGGTCGAGGCCACCGCTACATCCGGCCAGCTGGTCCATGGGCCCCTGACGGTCGCGAACGTCCCTTCCATGGTGGGAAACAAACAAATACGCAACTACACAACTTTTGAAGACGGGAAGCTGCTCCGCATCTCCTCTCAAAGAGAGGGCGGTAATCGCGGCGAGCTCTGGTGGAAGAGGTTGGATTGAGGTTTTCTCTTTTTGCAATATCGGATATTTTCATGTGTGCGGAGGGAGTTCTATGTAGTGAGGGCATGGCGAGGCGTGTGGCTCGATGTGCTGCATTGGCACTGGCATTAGAAGATCGCTACAGAACGGAACCAAGAGGCCGGAAAAAACAAAACCGTGGTTGCAATAGCACATTCTCCTAGAGTCAATTATGTCCAGACCGGACTACTGGAAAGCCTCGTTGGCCAACTTATGGGCCTCCTCGTTCTCCTCTCGCGGAATGGGCCAAAACATGACATCTAGCCCGCCATCGTCGCCGTACGTCATGTCATCCAACCGCTCGTGCAGCTCCCTCAGCGTCTCAAAGTGCGCGACCCTGTGGCCCCTGGCGTTGATCCCCTCGTTCTCGATCCAGTCCCCGATCCAGAGAGACATGGCGTTGGCCAGGTACTCGGAGCCCGTCGCGATCTTGATCTGGGTCAGAGAGCGGTCGCGGGCGGTGACCTCGCGGAGAGCGTCCAGCGCCCGGGCGAGGGCCTCGATCTCGGCGCGCGCGCTGGTCTGGGCCAGCGCCGGCGCGAGCAGCCCGCGGCGGTTGTGCCGGGACCCCGGGCCGAAGTAGACGCCCCACGAGCCCCGGGCCGAGGGGGTGCCGACGTCGCGGCAGGCGCCGTCGATGTACACGACGAGGCTTCCCGGGTCGGGCATGAGGCCCTTCTTGCTCCAGGAATACATCTGGAGGCCAAAGACCTGCTTCTGGGGGTCGTACACGACGAGCTCTGATCGGGGGACCATGCTGTGGGCGTCGCTTGTGCGATGTTCGAATAGGCGGCTTCCCTCTCCATCGTCGTCGTCGTAGCCCATCATCTTGCCGATGTTTCTTGTCCCAAATGTTGATGATCTTGACGTTTCTTGGAAAGTCTGCAGGCTTGCCGTTATGGTGTTATATTTCGTGATATCCCTCAGAGATGGCGAGGTGCGTAGGAAGACCCAGCTATTTCCTTTGAAAGCTTGGTACAGGGCCTCACTTTGAGATCTTATAGTCCTCTCATATGAAAACTTATATTACCCAATGTGTCCTGTTTGCTGCCCCAGCGGGTTGAGCTAGTAGATGGGCCTTAGTCCGAAGCGCGTGTGTAAGAGGGACAGTTGGTGGAATGAGGGGAAAAGCCAAGTAAAGCAAATTTAGCATCGACGGTACGGATAAAAGTGGCCCCTGCATATTTGTCAATCGTGGCAGCTAGGGTATGAACGGCGTTGATATCAAAAACGGTTCTCGGATCTCCAAACTCAGGGGCCTCCAATATCACATCATCATGAATCGATCCCATTAGGAGCCTGATATGGACAGTGCTTTTCATTCTCTATCTCTATATTCCTATCGCATCCAAATCCTATCATAACCTTTACTACGCCAAACAACACACCCGAATATTCTTGTTTCATGTCAGCGGCGCCATTGTTTTCATATAAACATCAGCGCAACTGAAAGCAGGATGAGGACAAAGCCCGGCAACAGCACCGTCATCATCAACTCCCTCATCGCAAGCTCAGTGCTGGGCGAAACCAGGTTCAGGGGGAAGCGCGGCGGAAACGCCCGCCGCCGCCGCTCCACCGTCTCCATGAGGTGTCGGGGCACATTCGAGATGTTGACGCTCAGCCGGTGCTTTGTCTTGCTTGTGTCGTGGATGACATAGAGCGTCTGCAGGTTAGGATCATACGACCATTCTCCGCTACTGACCTTAACGTCGATGCTGCGCTCAGCATAGTGGTATTTGGGTATGAAGACTTCGGTCGTCCGCGACTTGTCCGATTGCTTCTTCTCCGTATTGCTTGCCTCTTGAGTCTCTGTTGTCCATTCAAACTCGTACCGCAGGGTTTGGGGGTCCCAGTCCGACCGCAAGGGTCGCCCGGCAATCTTGACGGCGTACGGGCGGATGATGACGTCAAGTACCCTCCCACCGCGGTACAACTCATCTTCTTCATGTGCCTCGTTGGTATAGTCGGGGAGGATATGGCCAGGCTTGGCTTCAGTATTGCCGTTGACGACAGAGAAGTCTTCCATGTTCCAGCCGTCGCCGTACTCGACACGGTTGTCGGGGTTGTAGTTCCAAAGCGTGAAGGCTACCTGGTTATCCTCCATGGCCGAGATGAGGGCATGCATCAGCTCCCGCTGCTTATCGTACTTGCCAGTCTTGAACGCCTCGCCGCCGTTGATGTCGAAGGGGATGCCTACCTCCCCGATAAGAGCCGGGACGTGTCGTCCCAGCGACTTCTTCCCGTACTTGAGGATGTTGGAAATCTGGAGGCGGTAGTTCTTCCGCAGCGCCTTCGTACCGAAGTAGAGCGCTCTGAGAATGAACATGCCCCTCGACGCGCCCTGCACATTGACGCTCATCCACGAGTGGTGCTTGCTGAACAAGACATTGAGATCGTAGAAGTGAGGCGCAAACACGAGATTATTTGGCCTCTGCGTTTCGATGACAGTCTTGGTCGCGTATGTTTGTTTGTGCGTGGACTCATCCGCCCTGTCCCCTTCCCCAACCCATGGCGGCATGAACTCGTTCGGTATCGGTTCAAAAAAGCAGAACTGGCGCGGAGAATTTCGGGAGACACGGTCAGAGAAGCGCTTCAGGAAAGGGCCGTAGAAGTCCCGGTACCATTCTAGCGGTTTTCCCTCTTGGCCCGGCCGGTGGTCCACCTCGAAATAGTTCTTCTGCAGCACCTTTGGACTTTTATTTGCCTCGTCCCATTCCCATACGCCATGGGCGCGCCATACGCACTCGCCGAGTCCGTAGTTTTGGGGCTTTGCCGCATCCGACCTTGCAATTAGCCAGGCCGACCTTCCCTTCGGGTCCACGCGGGCTCGATGCGAGACACGTGTTGGGAATGGCCACGACTTGACATAGTAGTCCACTTCCTGGGCATATCCGCTAGCCAGAGCAAGCGCCTGTGTCAAGGAAGGGTAGTATCCAATGTGAAGATCGGTGTCATAGTTCCAGCCATCAAAACCGTGAAGGTTAACGAGGCCGCGGTGGGGCTCGTTCAAGGGCTCGAACCCAACGCATGCTTCGAGACCGCTGACCTCGTCTGCTAACCGGCCAAAAGCTTCAATGAATGCGTATTGAAGGTATTCTTGCACTGAGACAGTGCTGTCATTCCCTGAGCTCCGTGGATGCGGACAACGCAGCTTTGGTGCAAGAGCGTCTCCGGCCCAGAACAGGGTAGCCATTGTCGATGCGGCCAACTTCTGATACCCGGAAGGCCACACAAAAGGACCGCTGGGTTCCTTCTCATTTACTGGCGCGCTTGCGCGGCGCAACTCGTCCTGGCCATGGACATAAGCGGCGCCCGTGTCGGTGAAGGCCTCCACGTCAAGCCCCGCGACTTCGAATGTCCATCCTGGGGCGCCGCTGCCGCCGCTGAACCTGCTCCAGACGTCCTGGTGAGCGCACACAAAGCACTTGATGCCGTACTTCGGCATAAGCTCGATAAGCTTGCGCAAGTAGTCGATGTACTCCAAGTCGAGATCGGTCTCGGGATCCGGCCCGGCGTGACCGAGCGACTCCCAGGTAACGAGGAGACGCACGAGGGGAAGCCCCCATGTCTGCAGGCGTCTGAAATGAAGCGGCGCGTCTTCTAGGGGGAACGGCCTGCCGATAAAGGTCACGGTGCGGTGCTCGAAGAAGCCGTCGGTGAGATGAGAGAGGCCATTGGGTTTTGTGGGGAGTTTGCTGGCCCCTGATATGTTGAGCCCGTGCAGGGTGAGTGTGCGGCCGTGGCCATCGACAAAGTTGCCGTCTTTCAGGCCAATTGGCCCTCCTAGGGCGGCATCTGAGAGGTCTTGCGCAGAGTATTTGTCCGCCATCGTGAGCGAAATTGGACTGGCCGGATCAAATGCAGTGTCGAGCCATCTCTTGCTCAATTGGTAGAATTGGTTGGCCGCGTGGTTTCACTGCGTAGTAGCAGCGGCGGGACTGGACAGATGGCTGACCTACTTGTCTTAGTCAGCAACCGTCGCTTCACACCTTGGCGATCGACCAAACAAGCCATGTTGGTCAATTGTCCAGAAAGGTTCCGCAGAACTCAGTGAAACTAGGACGCAGGTTCTCGATGCTCCAACTGTGCCCATTCATCATTCCTTTGGGTAGAGTTTATGGCTGTCGGGGCCCGAACCTGACTGGTTGGATCAGAAATAAGACTCCACCGTCAAGAGACAAGAACAGAATGTATCAAGACGTCATCTCAGTATTGCATTATAGTCTTTTGACATTTATTAGAGCTATTGATTACTGTCATAAGTAGGATATATAATGCTGGCACGAGAACTCCAAATGCCTTCCGCCATTTTCTGTCTACTTGATTGCTTTCAACACATGCTTGCTCCTCCAGAAGCGGTTCTCCGTGGCTGGCGTGTCACGAGGGACGGGCTCGAAACGCTGCTGGAGTCGATAGGTCTTCAGGTAGTCCTTGCGCAACTTCTCGGCCTTCTCCGACACGTCTCTCTTTTCGATGCCTCCGCTCGCGCACTTACCGCCGTTGAAGGCTGCGTTGGCGGCCGCCTTCCAGACGGCGGTGACATCGCTGATCATCGGAAGCGTCCAGTAGAGGCGGCAGTCGGCCTCCTCGCGGACGTACTGAGCGGGGATGCCATCGGCGATGTTGTCCCGGAGGATCTGGTCGCGGACGTTGACAGCGGCGGTGATGCTGCGGTTCAGGGGCAGGTCGATGTAGCGGTCAAAGGCGGCCTTTTGCTCGTCCGTCGACGCGTACGGGAGGAGGGAGCTGGTGTAGGCGTAGATGTCGCTCCAGTCCAGGACCTCGGAGCCCTTGACGCCGCCGATAGCCTCGATGGGGCCCTCGACAGGGAGTCCGCCAAAGGCGATGGACTTGACGCCGCCCTGGTGGCGGAGGAATTCCGAGGCGATGGTGCAGGTCGAGGCGCAGACGCCGTCGTACAGAATGACGATGTTCTCGGGCAGGAACGGCTGGGGGAGGCCAACGAGGTTACCGTAGCCGTGCATCCCAATTCCCATGCCAAAGGTGCTGTTCGTTGTCGTGAGGGGGTCGTTGAGGTTCCAGCGCATCAGCTCGGTATAGTTGGTGTCCTTGAAAACCTGCGGCGCGAACTTGTCCTCATACGAGGTGAAGGGCTGGTTCGTGAGGTTGTAGTCGTAGCGCCAGTTGAACCAGATCTCGGCGAAGCTGATCAGCTCGGGGTCGGGGTTGGTGAGGGTGTTGACGTCGGCGACGACGTCGGAGATGATCTCGGCAGCGGCGAGGGAGGCGTCGTTCTCCTTCCAGCGGGAGTTCCCGTCCTGGACCGTGTGGGGGAACAGCGTGCGGAAGAAGTCGTAGCCGTGAAGGACGTAGCCGCCGCCGTTCTGCTGGAAGTCGATAACGAGTTTGGTCTTGCCGGCCGCGAGGGAGGATGCAATGACCTGCTCGGTGACCTTTTGGAACTCGACAGTGCTATTGCTCTCGAAGGCTGTGAGAACGATGACGGCGACGTCCTCGAAGCCTTCGCCCTCAAGGAAGTATCCCGAGACGATGCCATCGCTGGTCGAGGCGATGCTGCTGGGGTAACCGGGCAGGACGGATGTGGTATTGGTGGGGGTGGCGCCAGGCGCCGTATTGGACGCGGGGCTCGCAGGATTGCAGAACTTGGCATAGAAGGACGGGCCGTCGACGACGCCCGTGAGATCGCGGTTGACCCTCGCATGGTTCTCGAAGGTGGCCTCGGTGCCGTTGGCAAAGGTGATGGTCGTATTGGCTCCCTGGTAGATGAAGCTGCCGATAATGTTAGCGAGAATCCCCGGACCCAAGTAGGTTGAAGGCTGCCTCCTACCGGATACGACCGTCGGAGCTGAAGTAGCCATTGCCAGCCCCAGTAGCCGGGCTAGACATCTCGAAGAACATGGAGTTGTAGGCAGAGTTGGCGTCGCGGTTCCAACTGGCCTTGTTGACGGTGTCGGCCAAGTACTTGGAGGCATCGACACCATTGATGAGTGTGACCACGGATGCAGTCTCAGGTGTCGAGATTACTTCCTCTGAGAAGGGAGTCAGACCGGAACGCGATGCGAATAACGAACTCCAGGGCTTGCCTACCGTAGATCTTGATCACCGGCAAAGACGAGCCGTCTTCGCTGATAGACACCAGAGCCCGCTCACGAGTCCATTCAAAGACGGCCGTGAGCAGGTCGGGGTAGTAGACAAAATGGCCGTCGTGTCCGGGAGCAAAGACCTCCTCGTAGAGGGCAGACTGGAAGGCGTATTCGCCGGGGTAGACATGGTTCTGAACGTTCTCCCTGATCTTGGAGAGGGCGGCAAACATGTCGTATCCTGGAAAGTCGTACCCCGCGGGAGGGTCCGCCTTGTATGTGGGATCTGTGGGACGCGTCAACAGTCTCCAAACTTGAAGAAGCCCACCGCCTCGGTCCATGTTTCCGACTTACCAGTCTGCCACTCCATGTATGGCACCAGAGAGTCAATAAGCGCGATGGCTGCGTCCTTGTCAATAGGGACCGAGTTGAGACAGGCATGCGCCAATTTGGCCGGTACCAACGGGGTAACTACAGAGCCACACCTTGGTGTTAGTCGGGGCGCCAAGAAACACGGGAGGTCGCGCGGGATTGATTACCAGTCGGATCAGACTCATGCTGGGCCGCCCAAGCAGCGCTGACTTGGGCACATGGCTCGGCGCCGTTGGCGAAGGGAATCAGCGCCGTGGCGGCGACCAGCAGAGCTGGAGATACGACCGAGGAGCTCCGCATGTTGGCGAACGAGTCTGGTGAGCAACGGTCCGGTCCTGGAGTGTGTCTGGCTGGAAACTAAAGCTCAGTGCAGGATCGATCCGAGGGACGGGACGCCGCGGTCTTATACTCCACGACGGGCATTACCGTCGTCATTTATTTTCTCCATCGATCATGGGCCCATGATAGCCATCTCATCTCGGTCCGAAGATATTACTATTGCACTACCCAGTAGAAATGGGAAGCTTGTTCTGTCTTCGCGAGTCGGGCCGCTAGCTCAAGATGGCAGGTCGTGGATGCAAGGTTACTCTGTGACTGGGGCCGGAACCCGGTGCCGACCATTGCCCGCAAACGTTCTCTGCCTAGCACGAACGGATAGTTTATTCGTATAGGCAATTGTCGCTATTCATCTCCGCAACTTACATCGCGCGCATAGGTACGGATAACATTACACCACTTTCCTTGCGGGGATAGCCAGTGGGTCTTATGGAGCAATTTAAACGAGACATGGTCATTACTCTGTTCGCGGCCTGTCCTACAGGGATCGACTCCGGCTCTAGTGGGCAGGCGGGCGTGCGGGAGCCCGACAACCGGCAAGGAAATGCCGTTTTAACGGCCACATGCGCACTCCTTTTCCTATCGTATTTTTGAAGGTTTTTTGTGCCTTGTTATCTATCGCGTATTGTCTCTGGTTTGGCCATCATCAACAAATTGTCCTCGGCTGGAAGCCTTACTATTGTTACAGTTGTTATCCCGGTCTATGGGCTTAGTCAAATTGGTATGCCTCGACCATGACTCTGTGACCAAGACAGCTTGACTCGCAGTAAGTGAAAATGAAATATTGAGCATTACTAGCAGCAAAAAGCCAAATAAGGTTTATGAGCGGCCTTCCCGGCGTGGCTGAGCAAAAGGTCACCGCTCCCCCAAAACCTCACTGAATCTGTCAAGGGTAACGATATCCCTTGCTTGAGCGAATAAAGTAGATTTATCCTTTTTGACTCTTCAAGGTGTGGGGGATTTAACACCAAAGAATGTCACCGCTGCAATAGAAGTTTTCGATGCAACCCTCTCGAATAGTCTTAAATTCAGGTTTTTGCCTGTCTTTGCTAGCCACGAACCGCCTGTCTTGTTCATGTTCCCTGCATTGTCCTGAACTGTTTTCAGTTCACGCCCGGCACGTCAACTAACCCTTGTCTACAAGAAGAAGCGACATGATGACAAGATAACACTCAATGGCAGCTTCCTTCAATCGAGCGGTCTATTTGCGACGTGGTTTTTACCTCCATCACGTGGCTTGCGCACTTGGGACTAAGAATAATGTTGGCAAGGAGGGAGGTGTACAAACCCAGTACCGATCTTGGGAAAATCAAGAAGGCTAAAGACGATAAACTACCTAGGTACACTAGACAGCTTGTTGCGGAAGTTGCTTCTGTGCACGGTCCGGTCCTGTATGCTGGACGGTTCGCTTTTCCCCTACCCTAACGCCGTAAACTCCCCGAGTACCTGTATCCATTCGTGGAACCATGAGCAGCTACTCTGTAGTCATGCGCTGGTCCCTTTCTGTCGTGTAAAATTTCATTCGATTACGGGAAAGGATCGGCCTTTGGGACGCTGGGCAACTCCGCCGCAACGGCCTTGGCTTCCTCGGCCTGCTCCTCGGAGGGGCCATCGTCAGTCTTCTTTGGAGAAGCGGGCTGGTCGGTGGGAGGGAAGAAGATCCTTAGAGTGTGTCAGCATTGCGCGATACCAGTAACGTGCGGACGATTTAAGAACCCTATACGTACGGGAGAGTCTCGTCGTAGGCCGCGACATCCTTCATCTCAAAGGTGCAGAAGACGACCTTGTCCAGCTTCTTGCCGTCTTCTCCATCAAGGAACTCGCGGACAACTTCGGCGGCAACTGGGGCAGCCTCGCGGCTGGGGTATCCGTAGACGCCGGTGCTGATGGCGCTGAAGGCAATGCTGCGGCAGCCATTCTGGACAGCGAGGGCCAGGCTCGACTTGTAGCAGCCCTCCAGCTTCTCCTGGGAGGACTCGGGGTTGAGCTCGTCGTAAACTGGGCCGACAGTGTGGATAACCTTTTTGCAAGGAAGGTTGTAAGCGCCAGTGATCTTGGCGGAACCGGTGTCGCACCCGTTCAAGGTCCTACACTCCTGCAGGAGGCCGCGGCCTGCGGCTCGGTGGATGGCGCCGTCGACGCCACCGCCGCCGAGAAGGCTCTTGTTGGCGGCATTGACAATGGCGTCTACGCGGAGCTTCGTGATGTCGCCTCGAATAACGCTAACCTTCTGGTTATGCGACGCGCTGGGTGGGTAGAGGGGCTGCCGGGACGCAGTGAGCTTGCCGAGCTTGTAGAGGAGCTCGACGGTGGGGATTTCGGTAGCAGCGATCGTGGCCATCTTGGCGGCTTGTCGGATTGGCATAGACGGTACTGAACTAGGTGTATCTGGTTTAGGTAGGGTTGGTGGATTCGAACTCGGGCGAGGGCCGGCTGGTTTATGAGGTGTTGGAGTCAAAGAAGCCCCCAAGCGAAAGCAGGAGAAGCAACCCATGACGAAAGAAAGACCCCGCGCTAAATTCAGGTGCAGACAGCTACTGGTTGAGCTCGAGCTTTGGCCGATCGAGTGTTATGGGGCTTTGCTTTATCGGTGGCTTATCGGGCTTCTTCCTTGTTCAGACGATTGCTTATTTTCCTTACTTGTCTTTTGCTTGATTGATTGCCGAATGGCTTGCTAGACAAACACCGTCCGAGGAAGAATGTAGAGTCTGGGTGGTATTTTAGGAAGGCCTCAAAGAGGTCTTTATCATTGATAATCAACTCAATGCCGGATGTTGTGTTTGAGATTGAATCAATTGGTTATTGTTCAAGAGTGGTTCAAATGACCTTGGAAGCTTGGCGATTGGCAGTCAGTTGCAGTGTACAAAGTACCCAGTCAGCGGCAGCTTTCAGCTTTATGACACCTCGCTGTCTCACAAGGTGTTCTTCATCTCTATGGTAAATTCAAGGTTCGATTGTCAGCTGCGAGCCTAGTCAATAGGGTAGGTAGGTAGTTCGGTCCTTCCCATCATGGTACTGGGTTTCTAGGTACCTATTCAGTGGCTTGGATACGTACTCTTGTATCTCAGTACCTTATCGAATAAGTGATCAGACAAGCTGACAATGTCCCCCCCTTGGTTAACCAGAGAGTACCGTGCGCAAGTGATCTGTGTAGAGTTCAGCAGACAGTGGATTCTAGCGATACGGTTTTAGCTAATAGATAAAAAGGAAACTAATCGGCTATAATAATTTCCCATATGCCGGCAGAGTACTCTGTATACACACCGCCAGATGATAGTGGTGATGCAGTTAAAATTAGACATTTCGATATAAAGACGCAGGAAACGTTTCCAGAACATTTCCAGGAATATTTGGAACGAATCTTACAAGGTTGCTAGCAATTCAGTAGTACTGGAACCGTTTTGGGACCGTTTTGCTATCGCCGGTATCCACAGTCTGCTGGACTCTGCACAGACCACTCGTAAACGGTACTCTCTGGTTAACTATAATCAAATAGGCTAGAAAGGCTTGCTATCTTATCTGGCATGTGTCTTATCTAATCTTCCACCGACCCTCCGTTGCTGTGACCCTTCGTTAGATCCATTTGAGTCATCCCCACCGTCAAAGAAGTGTTGCCCCGCCATCACAACCACACATTTTCCGACCTTTGAGCCTCTCATGGTACCCAATTGAACGACTCTCGAGCATTTAGCGACGCCACGATACCAAGGAACCTTACGCAAGCCGTTTTCATACCCCTTTTCCACACCTCCGAAGACAGAAATCATGGCGGACGCTGCTGCGGATCCCACCGACAAGCTGGCCGAATCGACGGTCAAGCTCCAGCTTGACGAGGAGACGGGAGAGATGGTCAGCAAGGGCGAGCTTAAGAAGAGACTGGCGAAGCGCGCAAAGAAAGCCCTCAAGTCTACCGCCGTAGTCGATAAGCCCGTGTCCAAGCCCAAGGCGAAGCCAGAGGAGGTAATCTTGGACCCAGAGGCCATGTTCAAGCAGGGCTTCCTCCAGGAGGTTTACAAGGAGAGGCCGTCCGAGCAAGTCGTTACGCGATTCCCTCCCGAGCCCAATGGCTAGTAGGTATAAGCCCGGTCTCATCATGGTCACGTCTCTGACAGCGCATTCAGTTTGCACATTGGCCATGCCAAGGCCATTGCTGTCAACTTTGGGTTTGCAAAGTATCACGGCGGTGTTTGCTATCTGAGATACGACGACACGAACCCCGAGAAGGAGGAGGAGAGATACTTCACCGCAATCGAGGAGATGGTCAGGTGGCTTGGATTCACCCCCTACAAGATTACCTATTCCAGCGACAACTTCCAGAAGCTGTACGACCTGGCAGAGAAGATGATCACCCTGGAGAAGGCCTATGTCTGCTACTGTGGAGGTGAGTCGCTCCCGAGCGCTAACCTGCGTTCAAACACTGACCACCTGGATCCCGCCAGATACCGAGATCAAGCTCCAGCGCGGTGGCGAGAAGGGCGCCTCCCCCCGATTCCGGTGCGAGCACGCCAACCACACCGTTGACGAGAACCTCCAGAAGTTCAGAGACATGAGGGATGGCAAGTACAAGCCCAGAGAGGCATTCCTGCGCATGAAGCAGGACATCACCGACGGCAACCCCCAGATGTGGGACTTGGCAGCGTACCGCATCAAGACCGACACACCGCATCACCGAACCGGCTGGGACTGGAAGATTTACCCAACATACGACTTCACCCACTGCCTGTGTGACAGCTTCGAGGGCATCACGCACTCCCTGTGCACGACCGAGTTTGTCCAGAGCCGTGTCTCGTACGAGTGGCTGAACAAGACCCTTGGTGTCTACGAGCCCATGCAGCGCGAATACGGCCGCCTGGGCATCACCGGGACGGTGCTGTCCAAGAGGAAGATTCTCAAGCTGGTCGAGGAGAAGATTGTTCGTGGCTGGGACGACCCCCGTCTGTACACGCTCATCGGCATCAAGCGCCGCGGCGTGCCGCCTGGCGCAATTCTAGACTTTGTCAACGAGCTTGGCGTCACCACCTCCGTCTCTGTTATTCAGATCAAGCGTTTCGAGCAGACTGTGCGCAAGTACCTGGAACGCACTGTGCCGAGGCTGATGATGGTCCTGGACCCCATTCCCGTCGTCATTGAGGATGCCGAGCCCGCTGATGTTGAGCTGGCCTTCTCTCCCAAGGATCCTAACATGGGATCGCACACCATCAAGTTCACGCCCACTGTTTACATTGACCGTGCCGACTTCAGAGAGGTGGACAGCAAGGACTACTTCCGTCTTGCCCCTAACAAGACGGTCGGTCTGCTCAACGCGCCCTTCCCCATCAAGGCCACATCCTACACCAAGGACGAGGCCACTGGCAAGGTCACCGAGATCCGCGCCGTCTTCGACAAGGAGACGAAGAAGCCCAAGGCTTACATCAACTGGGTCGGTACCGAGGGCTCCAAGAAGGTCGAGGCGCGTATCCACAACTCGCTGTTCAAGAGCGAGAAGCCTGACGACGCTGAGGGCGGCTTCCTCAACGACATCAACCCGGAAAGCGAGGTCATCTACCCCGATGCGCTTATCGAGAGCGGTTTCGACGAGGTCAAGCGCCGAGCGCCTTGGCCCGAAGCCGCCGGCGAGAGCGAGCTGGGCAAGGGCGGTCCGGAGAGTGTGCGCTTCCAAGCCACTCGCATTGCCTACTTTGTAAGTCATGCGCAACGACCAGAAACCGAGAAACACACTAACGGGCATTTTAGGCCATGGACTGCGATAGCACCGAGGATAAGATTATCCTCAACCGCATCGTGTCGCTGAAGGAAGATGCTGGAAAGGTTTGAGTCACTGTTGACTGTGACGGGGTCGGGCGAGAGGTTAAAATGAAAAAGTTGGGCTGCGTTGAGGATTGGTGATTGGGAGCTTTCGGAGTTACGTAGACGGGAACGGTCATATACCAGAAAACAACCCTCACAAACCGTGGTGAATGGGAGTCAGTCAGCCTTTCCTTTCCACAATTCTTTCGTCTTCAGTCCTCTTCATACGCGATTCACTACAATTTCCTCAGAAAGAGCCATATCAAGGGTTTTCCATCATCGCAACGCCGCCTCTTGCGTTCGGGGTGTCGCTCTGACCGGTGTCCAGCAAATTGTTGACCAGCACACTCTGCAGGTACAACCTTAGCATGTTAAGCTGATGTGAGAGTAGACCACTTGATCTAGAAATTCACACCGATGGCTTCCGGTACGGGACAATTGAGTCCCACGGTTGATCCACCGCACTGCCGAGGACCTTCCGTGTAGGTTCTACCGTCTAGATCAACTCACGGGACAGAAGACGCTGTGGACTGTCGCCGCGGCCCAATTGAGCTCATGCTCCCTCTTTGATAAACGACGACAAATGTACTCCTCTCCTTCTTTCTTTTTCTACCAGCTGTTTCCAACTTACCTTGTTCTGACTGAATCATGCGATAACCCAGTATATAACGCCGGGAAGGACCGTGGTATCTGGAGTCCGATTGGCTCTCCCCGTACGCAATGAGTAAACTCCCGACGTCTGCACAGAGCCTATTCGGCGACTATTATGCTGAACAGAGGAGTTACTTCTTTGTTTCTTTAGATGAGTTTGCCGTCTATCATAGCTTCGAGAATCGAGCGGTCTGGCCTTCCCATTAGTGAGGCGGAGTCAGAGGCTCTCCAGCTAAGCATGTTAAGTCCACTTTACCTGGTCCCAGTGTCTCGACGCGACACGCCCGGTCCGAGCCTCTCGGTATGCTCGGGACTGCACAAGAGGTGCTACCGCGTATCGCATCTGAATGAGTATCACTCCATTAGCCCATTCAAGGGACGTGGTGCGTGCGTACTCCCCGGGGGGCATAGTTTAAGGACCCCCCCCCCCCCCCCCCCACCACTACCACCACAGAATATCCGCAAAACCAAACACGAGAGAGCACATTCTACAACAAAGATGAAGACGTTTCACAGCCTCGCATTGCTCACGGCCACTGTGACCATGGGCGCGCTATGCTCCGCGGCGCCTGGGGATGCTCAGGCTCCGCGGCAGCCGACGCGGGAAGAGCCGGCCGCCCCCTGGGGCCTGAGCTACGGAATCGAGGTCGGCAGTCCTGCCCTGCCAGGGCGGCGTGCGCTGGACGATAGCGGACGGGAGACATGCCCCAAAGACACAGGTACGTTGCGTTCCGCCCGCCTCTCGTTCTCCATGATTCCGTCCCCCCCCCCAAAAAAAAGACACATACGACCTCTCACTATTTTATATTCTGTTTCACTGACTGGAACCCCGCTTCTGACTCTTTTCTCAGTGGCCTGCCATCTCCCGCGCAACTGGAACTGCTGCCCGACGGCGATGCCCTGCTGCGGGCCGGGGTGCTGCGCCGAGAGGTACCGGTGCGTCGACGCGCGGGTGGGCGTGTGCTGTCCAGAGGGCACGGTGCTCCGAGACGGAGTGTGCGCCCGCGTTCGCGAGGGGGACCACTGCCGGCCGACGGAAGAGGAGTGCGGGAGCGGGATGGTCTGCTGCGAGGGTCGGTGTTCGAGGCGGTGCGGCGGCGGCGGCAGAGGCGTCGTCGTCTGTGGGGACGCGGTGGCGGCGACGGGTGGGCGGAAAGCCGGAGGGGCCGGCTGGTGGCGCGCGGTCGTCTTGCTCGGGACCGCGTTGGCGAATGCCGTCTGATCGGGGTGGAGGGGGCAGGGTGAGGGATGGCGACGGTTTCGGATGAATCCAGGACCGGGTCTCGGAGGGAGTTCCGCGGATAAGGGGACTCCTTAATTTAGCAGTCCTATAGCCCATTGTATGACGGCCATGATACGAAGACGGCCTCGGCCAATAATCGAGACTTGGATGCCCAAGACGTGACATGTCCCGCGGATCAACCCCGGCTGGACGGGTGCGGTCTCTTAGGACGATGGCCGTTTGTTTCAACAAGAGACGTGGTGCGTTGCGGCTCGGATAATCACTCGTCCCATGCCCCCCCATGCCTGCCATGGTGCCATGCATGCGGCGTAAGACGTGAGATTATAGGGATCGTTGTGTTTTACCAGACGGCAAATATCATGTCCACCTTGGATGGCCCTTGTCCTCCAGAACTTGGGCCCAGTGTCTCTCCCCCCCCCCACCGGGTTGAGCAGAATCACGGTTAAAGATGGTTTCTGAGACGGCGGGTGGTGCTCAGACGAACCGGCATTTTCTCTCTCTCTTTTTTCTTTTTTTTGCATGAAGCATGTAGCATGAAGCATGAACTTCCACCCATTCCCTGCCCTTCTTTGGACAAGTCGTCGGATTGCAGCAACGCGTCGTGCTGTTTTGCTTGGGAAACAGCCAGTGCCGACAGGCTGAAGCATGGGTGATGGGTTTTCTTCTCTGTCTTTTTTCTACGGGTTGACGGACGCTGTTTCGCCACTCGTCGGCTCATGCAGTAACTTCATCATGTGTGGCTTTACTCTACGTTACATTGGGACTATATTCGTCCCAATATTGAACAAGCTATATCCAGAGCGGCCCCCAATCCATCCTGGGAGGGACTTTTGGAGGGGAGAAATCCAATTCATCTGATATTCTAGTTTCCATTGGCCCCTTGCCTAATGAAAAAGGCCACTGGGAAGGGAGAGCCGAGACATTCCCGATTTTTCTTTTCTCCCTTGACTCCCATCTTTACGTCCCTGTCCAATGGCAGTATGTCGGGTCTTCCCATCGACTTGATGAAGCTAGGCAAAGTGCAAGGGGTTCCCGTGGTTTCCCTCTTGCTAGGGCGTCTCCAAATCTTTGGATTTGTCCGGGTTACGATACTCCGAGGGTAGATGAGCATGTGGCAGTCGTACGAGTCAAAACTGCGAGGTTGGACAGACGATGCCCAAGGAAGAACAGATAAAAAAACCAATGGAGGACGGACGGTCTTGGGGGGTGTGGGGTCGATTGCAAACCATATGGCATCAACCTTTCTTGGCTGGCAAGTTTGTTTGGGCTCAAAGTGAGGACAAAATTTTGTCCAAAAATCAAAGAAATCGGCCGCACCTTGAACGGCCGGAAATGCCTGAGCACAGGTAGGTTAGTATCGGCGATTCCGATTCCGACAGCTCATGTCATCGGCAATTCACCGGCAATCCAACGGAATGGGCGTCCGGAGACAGGCATCGTGCGGTTTGCAATGTGGCTTTTGGCTGTGGCGGGCAATATGTCCTATGTATCCGTACTGTACGGATACTCCGTAGAGGGAGACGGCTGGTCTAGTCGGATAACTTTAATCGGAGGCCGGGCTGCGAATGGGCTCGTGCACGAAATGCCTGCTGGGTTAGCGAGGCGGGCACGCACACTCCGATTGGCGGAACGGCTGATATGGCAGCGACACAAATGGGTCATGGTAAAAAGGGAAGGGCCGCACCCTCACCAGTGCGTCCCTTGCATCATGCATGGATGGCCCAGGATGGGTGACAGCAGCCAGCCCAGGGATCTAGGTACCGTAAGCACTCGACAGATTGAAGGTTGGCTAGTAGATAGGCTAACGGAAGGGGGTATCGCGGCCGCCGTGATGGGCATAGTGTGCTGGCAGGAACAGGGATCTAGTATCAGCAAAAGCAGGAGCTCGTCCTTACATAAGCAGCAAGCTCAGTGGGTAGGAAGGAGATGATTGGTAAGTACTCTGACCGCCTTCTCAAGCAAGCTTAGTGCGTTTGATATACGCTAGCTACTATAGGCTATTCACTAGCTACTACTAGCTAGCCTACCTACTAGCTAACCTTCAATCTGCCGAGTGCTTACGGTAGCTAGGTAGTCACACTCTGGAGGAGAAGAGAAAACGCACCTCAAGAATTCGGGATGGGGTGTTGTTCTGGAAAAGAGAGCATCCGACTGCAGCTCCAATTGCAATCCACTGTTGCTTGCCGCTTGATTACAAAGACTCACTCACACCCGTCATCTGAGGTGATGCCGCGAGGTTGGGACAACTCGGCCGATGAACCGTCTATTTGGCATCGACCGAGCCGCATGCGCTTGTAGGGTTGCCTCATTCTATTCATGTACTCTTCTCTGTGGACCTACTGCTTGTGGTATGGTACTTCCCCATCGTACGTCGGTTGGTTCGTCATAGGAAACCGTAGAACGAGGGGGCCAAGAGGTATTGGTTGTCCACGCGACCCCCTTGGTTGCTCGGTGATGGAGTGAATTGTCGGTTTTGGTGGGTAGCTTGCGGGCTCGGGCGCAGCGCAACGGCGGGGAACGACCGCCCGGCTAAGCAGGCTGCGATTACGAGTGCTAGTCTGAACAAACCGTAATGCGTAATGGGCCAAGCCGTCGCGTCGGTTAGATGGTACGATGCCGGTTTTGATTGAAATGAATTAGTGGTTGCTATGGGATAATGATGGCATGGCGGAATTGCGCTGTTATCCAACGAGGGAGGTATTGTCTCGTCTCTTAGTACACGATAGGCAGCCATCTTTGGGTTCTTTCCCTCTCTCCCTTATTCTCCACCTCGGATCCTTCCTTCCTCGCAACAGTACTCCGTAGCTACCTAAGGTGGGTAGCTTCCTTCCCTACCTACTCAGGTAAGTTAATAAGCACCCAGGTAGGCAGGCGCGCAGGCACGCAGGTAGGTAGTACGGCAGGTGCTCCTCCCTCCGGCTGGCTGCGGCCGCGGTGCCTCATCTCCGACATTGCAGTATCCTCCCTCTCTTGGCGCCTTGCTTCTTCCTACCCACCGTGGGCCAGTCTGTCACCCGCATGACAAAAAAGATGGCACACCTAAAGTACTTTCTCACACCACATCTACCCCAAGACTATTAACAAGTGTTTTTTATTATACTAACACAGCCACAAGACGCAGTTAGGATATAGGAAAAATATATTTAATAGTGGGTAGAACATAGTAGAATTAATTCTGGCTAGTTTATATAGGCATATCTATATATTTAGTGTTGTGCTGCTTATAATAGTGCAGGGAGTGTTTAGGTGTGCCATCTTTTTTGTCATGCGGGTGTCTGTGTCTGTCGTGTCTTAGTTTAGCTTAGGTAGGTAGCTACAGTACTAGGTCAAAAGTCTGTTTACAGCAACAAGGACAGCCAATCAAAAGCTACAGTAGGTGGTTAGGACATAAGGTCTTTAGTGACGCACTGTGAAGTGACCTCCAGCTATTAATGGGTCCTCTCTTTAACTCTTCTTTGGGTTATCCTTTTTGCTGTAAACAGACTTTTGACCCAGTACTGTAGGTAGCTTGCTTCGCTTGTGCCCTCAGTGGGCGATTATGTCAAAGTGGGCAAAATGGCCGCGTGCGCCCGGGCGCAAGGTGGGGCAATTGGCTGTTAATGCGCTAGTTATTTCTTAGATAGATTTCTCTACCTAAAACAAGGGAATATAATAATCTATGTACTTGCCCCTTAAGGGCCGATCGGCGATGGCCGCGTGCTATAGAGATACATAGTATCCGTAGTTACAGCCACAACAGAGCAATTAATCAACGCAAGGTTATCGCTGCCAATTACGCGCTTCAACAGATTACTCCTCGCATGTGCGAATTTGCGCCGGCAATCTGCATCTGCAACCCTTTTTTCCCGCCGACTCCACGAACTCGCACGTCTCTCTATTCTTTTCTCTCTTTTCTGCTCCCTCCGTGACTTTTCGCAAACCTGCTCCTCTATTCATCTTCGCAACGACCCTCTGCGTCTTGGCCTGAGTAACAACCTGCCGACTACCGATACCCTTCCTTCATTCTATGGCAATTCGAGGACGGCAGCGGTCCCCTCCCCTCCCTTACAACAAACATTGCGATTCCCTGAGTCCCAGTGAGCTGGGTCGACACCCCAGACCCTCAAACCCAAATTTCCGGATTCCAGCATCCCTAGGTATCCCTTCAGCAGTCACTCGCTTCCCACTCCCGCTGGCAAACACCAGGCGGACGTGAGGCACAGTTTCAACCTCATCGACAAAAGGTATACAGTGTTCCGAAAGGCTTATCGACCCGCCGGCCATCCCTTCCACCCGTCACTCGTCCCCTCACTCGCTCGTTTCGCACCCTTCCGACGACGATACTCCCGGTAGCGCCACTCTTTAAGTTCGGAGCATTGCGACGCTCCCCCCTCCGCAGCGATCGCCCTCCGGTCCCGCCCTCAACCTTCACACCAGCAGCGCTCTCCACCCCCGCCGCCTTTTGCACCCGTCGCTCTTGGATCGGCCGTCCGCAAAGCTAGGCATATCCTCTCTGGCTTAGCCCGCGTTTGCCTCGCAACCCATACAGGTCGCCCCGTCAGCTCCGGCCATCCCAATTCGGCCTACCTGCTGATGGTTGCCATCGAGCCTGTGTCTTAGCAAGCAAGGGAGCCCCCCCGCCTCCAATAATAAATAGCCTATTAAGGCAGCAGCCATGCCACCAGCAACCGCCTCGCCGCCCCCAATCCTAGCCATCACGGCTACGTATCTTCACCTGCTCGCCCAACATTTACCCCGACCCCTCTACCAAGTTCTTCAAAAGACTCGTCATCACATATCACGCTTCTGCGCCGCCATCTTCTCGTCTGCCATCGTCGTCCGCGTGCACTCGCTTATCCCCCACAAGATGCGGCGCCCTCTGGGATTATCGGCGCTTCTGGTCGTACTGTTTCTCATCATCGGCCTCCCCACCATCCTCGCGCAGAGTGAACCCTTCCACTGCTACCCGTACCCAGCTACCGACACGCTTGCGAGTCCTTTCATCACGTTGCAACCGCATTGCTGCAAGGGTCCGATTGATAACAAGCTGAGAGTTGGGTCCCAATGTGAGCCGGCAAACGGTGGGAAATACAAGACCAAGTTCGGCCAGGACTTGGGAACATGCGAGATGGGTTTGGCCGACGCTTGCTGTATGCGATTGGTAGGTTCATGTCCATGTGACTATGCGCGATGAGTTTTGCTGACCATGCGTTCAGCATTACCCGCCTGAGATTGGGCGACCCGACATTTCATACTGCGATGCTGCCTTCCTCGTCAAGGCTGAGCCGAAGAACATAATCAATGCCCGAAACTGGAACCCCGAGAAATACGGTATATGATGGTAGACAGTGCATAGGAAAGGCATATCGCACCCTGTATTACAAAAAGGCACGACGACGACGACGATGACGACGACGACGACGGGGGAAAACAAAGCCCCCCGCAGACATTATCATTGAGCCTCCAGCTTGATGATTGTTCGACGACAGCGACAGGGTCAGGCACGACGGGCCAAAGAGGTGTCCACCCTGGGATTGACGTTGTGGGCCGGAATCCTCTTATGTGGGAGCTACTTGAACGAGTCAGGGGAGCAAACTCTCCACTCAAGCTATGGCCTAGGGAAGATGGGAGAGGTCTCTCGATCAGGGGGACCCGACTGTCCGCCCCGCGCTGTTGAGAACCCGAACAAATACCCCCTTGCACGACCGGCGAATCAATCGAGTTGGCGTTTCGCGGGTAACGAGCACGTTACGATGGCACGACTATTACCTACGGCTTGCCCTTGTTGGAAGCGAACCAGGGCCTTTGCATTATATACCCAGGGCAACTGTCCCCCCCTTGTTTTTGCTTCTTTGAGAATTCCTTTTTATGCGTCCTATGTTATATTGGAACAAAATAAACAAAATTTTGTTTGGACGAGCCGACGGACGACAGGAATGGAAACGACGGGGAAACAGAAGATCCGTTGATATCAGCCGTGAGCCACGAGGGATGAATGAGAGGGGAAGTTCACTCCACAAACGCGTACAATAGACTAGGTAGTCGTATGATTAAAATTGTCGCAAGTCTGTCCGTCAACCCGACATGAGCATTTCAGGAAAAACTCTCACTTTATCGTTTCTTATCGGGCAGGATCGACACTTTGCTCATGATCAAGGTATCCGAGGTGTGTACTGTTTTTTCCGATGTTAGTAGCCCCAGCGGCGCATAGCGCACGGAATGCTGAGGGGACTTGGCTGTATGTATGACGATGAGTCATCGCGGCGTTCTCTCGTCTTTTCGGTGGGCATTACACGGGGTCAGAGTGGCCGAAAATGGCCTGACTACTACCACCTTTCAGCCGAACGAAGTCCTATAGACCGGTGCACAAATCTGTCTTTCTCACCCTTAACCCCCTCCCCTCTGCCCGGCAGTAGCAAAGGGATCCTCCGGCCGGGCGTCCAGTCTGCCTTGTCTGTGGACACGGGTCCATGGCTGCAGACCAACATGTATGCCATCGGCGGTGGATGCCGATTTTCCAAGCCAAAAAAGAGGGAGGCAAGGTACTGGAGCGACCAGGAACTCAATCCACTGCGTGATTCGGATGAGCGAGGGGGCGAGAAACCACAACTGAGGAGTTTAGGTTCCGCTCGGCTCAGGCGTTCTCTTGGGAGCGGCCGTGAGTCGTGAGTGGAGCTTCCGGCTGCCGCGTGGCTCCCTATCCCGGACCGTCTCTTTCTTTTTTCGTCTTCTTTTTTCCCTTGGTGGTCGGAGGGTCCTGTCGGAAACGCCCGAGGGAGAATGATGGAGGCGATGTCCTGGGGCGAGTCGTCCGTGGATGAAGGTTGCGAAAGCGAGATGTCGTGCATTGAGGCGACAAAGGAAGCGACGGCCTACAAGCAGCAGCAGCAGCAGCAGCAGCATCATCATGGAAATCATTAAATCAGAATTATGCGTATTTTTTACTGGGGTTTTTTCGTCATCCTTTACTTCTTCTTCGTCCTCTTCTTCTTTCCTTCTCTTTTCTCTTTTTCTTTTGCTACAAGCCGTAGTATGCATGCAGTATATGTATCTCGCACCGCTTCTTCTGCTGCAGATTACGCCACCATAGATGCCCGGCATGCATGACAGGGAACAAAAATGCCGTCGTACGACGCCATGCGGCTCGTATGGCGGGGGGGCAGTGTTTGCCTTCGCACCGGCTTCACGGCTTCTGGTGGCCTAATTAGGTAAAGTACGGCGCAGATGGATGTAAGTAAGCCTTCTAGTGTGCTCCGTAGAGGTCCCCTCACGGTGCACACAGACCGTCCCGTCCCGTACCTAGTACAGCATCGGAATCAGTGGGAGGTAATAAATAGTACGTAGACCTGAGCCGGCGTGCTGGAGCTCGTCTCCCACAGGAGTTTCTCCCGTTTCATCTCATCTTGTCCAGCACATCTCTCCACTGAGCGAGACCCGAACATGGTCGGTTTTGCTCTCTCTCCTCCGGCACGAACTCCCGGACGTTCTTTATACTTGTAGTATTGTAAGCAGTACGGGTGCGACTTTGCAGTCGTATTGCACGAAATGTGGTACAGAGCACGACCCTGACAAGGATTGCCCCCCCCCCCTTCCACCGCCACCTCCTCCTCGCTGGCAAGCGCAGGTTCCGAGGAAACCGAGGCACCTTCACCTTTTTGGTGGTGCTGGTGGTAAAACCGGTTGGTTTTGTCCCCAAGTCATGGTTTTCAAAACATGGTGAGGTTCCAATTGGATAGGCGACTCAGAAAAGAAGTTCGGGGAGTCCCCAAATAAAGCAGCTTATTCAGGATCACGTGCAGTTAACTCCCTGCTAGCGGCAGATCCCTTCTCCACGTTTCTGCTGCTTCTTCAGTGTTGGTATGAATCGATGTACCTACATTGCCCACTACACGACACTACCTACACTACCTGGGTACACTACTACGTACGATGTAGTAGATGGACTAGGTAGGTAGTTTAGGTAGGTAACTCGTAGAGGGCAGGGGGAGGGGGCTGCAGGGCCCGGGGGTCTGTCCCCCCCCCAGCCTCCCCCCTGCCCAGACAAGCAGTCGAAACTGGGGCCTGTGACATTCTGTCACACAGCCGCCACAAGCGGTAGTTTCATCTTGCCCAATCGGGACTAAGACGGATGGACCGACAAACAACAAGTCGGGCAGCCCCGTCGTCTACTTACTGCCTATGAGAGAGAGAGCAGCATCGACTACTACCATCACGTGCGAAGGCAGTACTACACTACTCTTGCTACTCCCCTGGCTACTACTGCTACTTCTGCTTCTACTGCTATCATTACCGCTGCTATTGTTACTACTACCGCCACCATTACTACCACTGCACGACATCGCCCACTGCCAGCCTCGTGTGTGAGAGGGGGCCCCTCTCTCTCTCTCTCTCTCGCCCAACCTGTTTCTGAAACTGACCCGCTGCCTCTGCACAACTGTTGAGCTGGGTCGTGCCAAAGTTTCTTTTTCCCTTCGTTACCTCTCTTAGCCTAGCTTGGCTAGCCTACCGGTCTGTGCCAAGCGGCTAGCTCTTGACTTGGGACGAAAAATGCCACCCTCTCGGCTGGGAACGCCGTCGTGTGTGTCTTGACATGACAGCTGACGCAAGACAGCTCTCGGCACCTAGGATCGTCTGGCAGGCAGGAAGACGTGGTATCAATCTGGGGGCAGGAGACACCAGGCCCCGCTTCCCCTTTCGAGGCAGGGGGGAAACTAGAGGGGATGGTTCATGAATCAATCTACTTACCTATTCAGTACCTGTACCGAGTCACTGACTATCTGACTTCTCTTTCCCTCTCTCCCTCTCTCTTATATCATATGTGAACCTGGGATCATCCGCGGGGTTGAAGCAAGGCCCTTCCTTTCTCCCCCTCCCCTCCCCTCCCTGCCGAGATTCGGAATCAATTTTTTCTCTCTCTTCCTTCTTTCTTATTTACCTTGTTCTTAACGTCATCGCTACCCTTCTTTGTGTGTCTCGCTTTGCTATACCCTGGACTGGTTCCAGTCAGACGTTCGACTGACAAGTGGAAATTCCATCCAATTCCCCTCTCCCACTCACCCACCCGAGTATCTCAAACATCAACCGTTCATGCGATATCTGCCGCCTCTGCAAAGCAAAGTGACGCGACGCGAGCACAGGCAACCTTTTCTCCGCCGTCGCCACTCGAACCATCCGACCTCTCGCAACCCCCTCTAGAGAAGCTCTTGCCACCTTCGGCGTAACCTAACCCCCCATTTCTCCGCTCTTCTGACCTCCTTGCCTTTAATCTCTTCGCACCAACCGCCTTCTTGTTCCTGGATCTTATCTAGAGGATCGGCGAACACCCTACCTAACCTTGTTCTTCGTTTCTTCTGCCCCCTTGCAGCATTCGAAAAGAAACAAAACACCACGCCGACTCTCACAAACACACACATACGCACACGCGCGCTGCAGGTCTGACACGACGATGCATATTCGTTGACCCAAGACCATCTCTCTCCCCTCCCCTTCTCTCCCCCCTCTCCCGGCACGACTTGTCTTGTCGCTTGACACGACGATCCCCTCCTGCCTGCGTGCCCGCACGTCTCTTGATCCATGGCATCTGAGGCGAGGGCCAGGGCAAACGTGCCCCGCCGAGTAATGAGGCAGACCATGACCGGCATGGACTCGTACCACCGATTTGTCGTCGAATCCACCACTCCGTCGCCGACGCCGACACCCACGCCGACGCCGCCGCCACCGCCGCCGCCGCCGCCGCCGCCGCCGCCACCGTCACGAACAACAAAAGTCGACGCCACGGCGCGCCCGTACCACGGTCACTCCCGTTCCTTCAGCACACCTCGCCCTTGGGCGGTTGACCCGCCTTCTTCGGTTAGTTACAGCGGCACCGAATCGCTAGGTCAGCCAAAGCTGCCAGAGATCACCGTGACTAGTCCCGGAAGGACACAAACGGTCGCCCCGCGATATTCTCTCACCCCCCGACAGTCGTCATCCAATCCACCAGCAGCACGGAGGCCAGCTATTCCAGCCGTAGGGTTGCCTCCGCCGATACGGCAGCTTCCGCTGCCGCCGGCCCAGAGAACCAACCACCGCCCTCAACCATCACAGTCATCGATACCACCACCGACAACAGCCTCCACCGACGACGCCCGAAAACGAGATGGACTCATCGACGTTGCCCTACCGTATCGGCCGTTTTACCTGCAAAGAAGGGTTCTCGTCTCCTTTGCCCTCCTCTTTGCCGGACTTTTGGTCGCCGTCGAGGCTGTACTGGACTTGTCCGACAAAAGAGGAGGACTCGGCTCGCCTGACCACGGCTTCAGGTACGTGTGGCAGTATGGCTCTGCCTTCATCTTTACCTGCATCGCCGCTCTCTGGTCGAGGCCCGAACACCAAGCCCGGTCAAGCGCGCCGTGGCTCCGCATGGCCAAGGGCCCTGCGAGCGTCGACCGGACCTTGATGCTCGACTACGTCTGCGTGTTCGAACCCTTGGCCATCGTTAAGGCGGTCAAGAACCGAGACTGGCTCGTTGCGGCGACAGTCACCGTTGGCTTAACGCTGAAGCTCATCGTTGTCATCGCCGTCGCCCTGGTCAGCCCGACGTTTCAGATTGTCACGGTTCGGGGGACCGGCTTGGACCTGGACAACAAGTTTGTGAACGACCCTACCGGCTTACAGAATCCCGGGTCACTGCCCTTCTTCACCATGGCTGCCTTGCAGACGAAAGGTCTGAACTTTCCCGACGGCACCTCGAAGCGGTTTGCCTTCCAGCTTTTCTCGGCAGATTTGCCCACCACCGCCGAGCTGCAGACCAATGTGGACGGCTTCGGATCCGACATCGATTGCGAGCCTGCCCAACTCAACCTGACCGGAATACAGTTCGTCCAGGCGACGGACGTTCAGCTCAATGTCACCGTGTCGACCCCTACCTGCCTCATGAACCAGACGATACCGAACATGGCTCTCGTTGGCGCGACGCTGCCCACGTTTTTTATGACCTTCCAGCCAGGCTTTTGCGGAAATTCGCCCTCGCCCTCGCCCAACGATGGACGGGTTGTCGTCATGACCGGCGCGATCGCTATTGACCAGTCCTCCGTCCCCAGCCAGGGCGGCGTCTCCAACGTTCCCATTTCAGGTACCGTCACGAGATCGGCGGCTCTCATCTGCCGCCCCTCGTACTTCCTGACCAGGGTCCATGTTACCAAGAATAACACTCAGCTTATCAGCATCGAACGGAACCCCTCGGCCAATAACAAGACGCTCGACAAGGTTCACCCGTGGGATATTGCACAAGGGCACTTCGGCTCCTACCCGACCGATTCGCAGATTCTCGGCGCCATCCCCAACGTCAACAGCCGGTACCCCGGCGTCGCGAACGTTTCGTCCAACCCAGTCATGAACGCGGCCGTTGCCATGGAGGTCAAAGATCACGGCGTGCCTCCGATTGAAACGTTCCTGAAAACCGAGAACCTGACGGCGATATCCACGGCGTACTGGCGTCAATACACTGCGCTTGTCGCGCGCAACGCGTTGATGGGGGAGACGCAGGAAAAGTCCACCGGCACGGCTGTCATCATCGGCGAGCGCCTCAACGTCCGCCCGATTCCTGCTCACTTACTGTCTGGGCTTCTCGGCTTCGTTATCGTCCTTGTCCTAGCTGCGGTCGCCTTCGCGCCGGCAAAGGGCTTTCTCCCTCGCGATCCGAACTCCATCATCAACATGGCCACTCTGCTTGCCCATAGCCGCCAGCTTCTCCAGTGTCTGCGCGGCACAGGCGCCGCCAATATATCTAGCATTCGTGAAAGGCTTCTGGGAACGGACTACTACGCCGGAGTCGAACCATACGAAAAGGCGGAGAAGTCTGCGCAGGGGTACTTCAAGATCTTTGGCGGCGCACCTCCCTCGCAGAATGCACCGCCCGAGTTTGTGCGGAACGCCGACTGGAGGCACCCGCCGCCGCTGCATCCCTGGGCGCGACTCGCTGCAGTAGTCGTAATGTTTGGCATGGTCATCTCCCTCGAGGTGGTCCTGCGCGTGTCCGATGTCAACAGCGGCATCGCCACCGTCAAGGCCAATACCGACAGACACTTTCTGTGGACTACCGGGACCGGAGTCATCTTTGGCTTGGTAGTACTCTACCTCGCCACCGCAGACTGCGCAACGCGCTGTCTGGCCCCTTACGCCAAGCTCAAAGAAGGCGGTTCCTTTGAGACAACGGTCGGCCTCGACTTTATGGACAAGTCGAAGTTCAGGATTCTCTACGACGCCTTCAGGACGAAAAATATCGCCGTCGTCTTCACCACGACGGCGCTACTTGTATCATCACTTCTCGCGACCTTCTCAGGCGCGTTGTACAGTACGACGCCGATACCCTCCACGCGTCCGGTCACCCTTCAGATCACCGATAGTTTCACAAACGCCTCCTCGCCGTGCCCGACCTGCATCACCGACACGCTCCTAGCCTCTCTGGTACTCGACGCTAACCTGACGTTTCCCTCCTTTACGTTTGAGGACCTGAACTTCAACAGCCTCCGGCTCACGGAGCAGCTCGACATGCAGGACGGCGCCGCGGCCATCATCGTCACGCTGCCCGCTATCCGCTCGCGGCTCGACTGCAGGCTCTACCCACAGTCCGAGATCAACACCAACTTCACTCTCACGAACTGGACGAACCAGTCCATGGAGGAGGAGATGCAGGTTCGAATCACCGGCGAGCCATGCTTAGATCCTTCAATCAGGTCCAACGCATTGTCGCCGTCTAGCGGGTCGTCTTCCTCCGTCTTTGGTGTCGCCACTCCGCGATCCGCTGCGTCGACTCAGTGCTCCGACTTCACATACGTCTGGGGCCAGCTCAACGAAAATGCTCCGGCTCAAGTGGGTTATATCTCGGCGATGGGCTGCAACGAGACGCTCGAGAGCGTCATGGCCAAGGTCCGTCTCACGGGCCAATCGTTGCGCATCGACCCGACGTACCCGCCGGTTGTGCAAGAGAGCACGGCCAGGCCGGTGAACTTGGACCTCCTGCCACTCCAGTACGGCCTGCTCGCCAGCCTCTCAACGGGCAACCAGCTCGATCCATTCTTTAGCTCCCTCGTCGCGTCCCGCTTCGCTGTCCCCGCAAGCGATCTTGGTGACCCGAGCCTCGGCAAGAGTGGTCTCGTCGCTGATGCCATCGTCCGGCAGCACGGCATCATCCGCGCGCAGAACATCAACGTCAACTCCCGGCGCCGCCTCCCGGATATTTCTGCCCAGGCAACCATCCCCGCTATGCTCCAGTCCACCTCCGTCACCTCCTTACGGAGACTCGTGCAGGACAAGGCCTCGACGCGCATCATCCAGTCGGTACTGGTCCTGCTCATTGTCCTCACGCTGGTAGCCTGGCTCCTCACGCCCGGCACCGACACGATCCTGCCGCGGAACCCGTACAGCATCGCCTCAGTGGCGGCGCTGCTCGTCGACGGCAACGTCTTTGGTTTCCTCGGACGGGGCGCCGAGTGGCAGGTGACGGACGAGATGAAGAGGAGCTTCCTGGACGGCAGCCACTCCATGGGGTTCAAGATTGGATACGAGCGTGTGAGGAAGCGGAGGGGCATCGAAGACCTCAACGGGGTCAAGAACGACGGGAACGTGGCGTACGGGATTAACGTCAAGCGTGGCGGCGGATGGGGAGGCGGAGAGGATGTTGGCCTCGGGATTTTAGCGCGCGTGAACCGGGCGCAGAGGCAATTCGTCAGGGGATGGGGTAAGATGTGAAGGGGAAAAAAAAGGTGTTTGGCGCGTCTCGACGGGGCTGGGTGGCGCCTCGATTAAGGAGTTCAGCGAACAGAGGAAAAGGAAGGGACAGGGGCTTTCTTTTTTTTTTTCCGTCTCATTTGTTTTGTCTTTTTTCATCTTATGAGCCTCACGTCTGTATAGTATAGCCTGGAGTTTTCTGACGGGTCCGAGGGCAGGATGATACCACACAAGCTTTTATGAGAGGGGTAAACAGGACCCAGAATCTCTAGTCGGAGGAGGGGTTTCTTTTCTTTTTTGTACACATACATACGTAGCCTAGCCAGTTCAATGTCGAAGCACTTGGATGAGGACCATGAATGGAGGTGTCTTGTGTGAGGATTGACCACGGGGTGTCTCTTTTGGGGAAGCCACAAGTCCCAAGTCTGTCGTTGCCACTACGATCGCCCGACGATGCGGGAGACGACGACGGGCAGAGAGAGACGTAGAACGTATCGACCGAGACTTTGATGGTATTTGGTGGTCTTGATGAGACTCGGACGTTGAGGAAAGAGGAAAACTGAAAGGGGGGGGGATTATAAGGGCTTTTTGGCCATGACAACGGGTTCGAATGGTCTCGAGGGCGTGAGTCCGGTGGATGTGTGTGTATGTGTGTGTGTGTGCGTGTGTCTGGTTGACAGGGACGCCAGTTTCTTGCCATGTGCTCTTCGTATTGCCGTTTGTTCAAAAGGTTATGTCCCAATCATTGATAAGGTAGCCGGAACGAGAAACAAAGAGAAAAGGCATTTCAGCCGGAGAAACAGATTTTTCAATTCTTATCTCCCAGTCACACCTTCACCTTGCATCTTCCATCATGCTTCATGATCCCATGGTTTATGTGCCCTCCCCTCCCTTTTTTTATATATATGCATGCTGTGTGTGTGTTCTTCCCATTTCCCTTCCGCATGTGACGCCGCAACGCTAAAGAGTAAGGTAGACTTTTTGTGTGTTGAACCGGGGGGGAAAGAAGAACGCCGTGCATTTGATAATGATGGAAGATCCTGATCCGCGGTGTAACCGAATCAGTCATGGCCTTGCTTTTTGAAATGAATCGTCCCGGCTAGGAGGGAAAAGGGAGCGGGCGGGGGGAGGGGGATCGTCAGCACATACCGAGAATACGGTTTGCGCTCATCAATACCTGCATGAGCTTGGCAGAAAAGAAAAAGGCAAAAAAGGAGAAAGGAAGAAAGAAGAGAAGAATGAACGAAGGAAACGGTCTACGCAACGCTGCAGGCGCATCCCGTACGTCCCTCCACGGACACGACGGGGAAGGGCACGCAGACCCTGCCGTCCGCCTCGCAGTTGACCGCGGCCTGGTCGGGCGCGCCGCACTCGGTGTCGGTGCAGGGCCCGTCGAAGAAGGCCGCGGCTCCGGCGGTGAGGAGGACGACGGCGAGGGTGGTGCGCATTGTGGCTGGTTCAAAGAGGGGGGATGGGGGGGTGTAAGTTGAGATGGGGAAGACGGGGAGGTTGGACGAGACAGAGAGAGACAGAGAGAGACAGAGAGAGACAGAGAGAGACAGAGAGAGACAGAGAGAGACAGAGAGAGACAGAGAGAAGAGCTGATGTTGGTGTGTGCGTGTGTGTGTGTGGACAATACGGGATGGAGGGGGAAGGGTTTGGCGGATGGGATGACGGTGGCTGTCAAGAGAGAAAGTCGGGATGATCACGTCCTCTCTTATACTGTTTATCATACACGACGGCTATGGGAAAAGCGCCTGAGAGCTGTGGCGGGGATATATCTAACTTTTTATCATCCACATACGCCAAGGAAATGTATGGTTAGGCTGCGATTTCCGGGTTTTTGGCACCGCCTCTCCTCCTGTATATCATGTGTCCTCGAGTCTTGGCTTTGCTCGAGGTGCGTACGAACAGGGAGTTGCTGTTTCCAGCGTGATTGCCGAGGGCTTCCCAGACATGAACCCTTATGAGAGGGTATGCCCTGCGAGCGAGTCACACTGCAGACGAGCAGCCCCGGTGTGCGCTTGGGAAGGGGGGAGGGGATGGGAAGTCTTTGGTTCATCCTGAGTATAGGGCAGGCATATCCGGTGGGAGAGAGCGACTGCTTACTGGGACAAAGCGCGTGGGGCGCATGTCGAGAGGTTTTCGGTAGCGACGTCTCGTCCGACTTGTTGCAGAACCGTCGACCGGCTGTCTTGGCGCATATGAAGGTCGGGTTTCGGGCTATTTAAAAAGCACATCGAGTATAGGAGCTTGACCCGTGCTCTTGGCGATGAGGTGTTTCAACCCGCTCTTGGCGGCCGGCGGCCGTTGAACAGGGGGGACAAGGATTACCTGGCTTAGATCAACTCCTTGCGGTAAACTACGGCGCCGTCAAATAAGCCGTTCAAAAAGAGGGAAGGGGAGGTGTCCCGTTGTTACTGAGTTGACGGAGGGAGGGGGGCGTCATGTGAGCCCTTTCATCCTAGACTTTTCGTCCGAAAAGCTAGAGTGTGATGATGCTGGAAGAAGCGGGCCTTTCCACCGTCGTGAGAGGGAGCTCTTCCCATAGACTGCAGGCTGGTTGGAGCCGGAAACCGTGGTGAGCCTTTGGGGGCTGAGCGTTTTCCTGCCCGGCCTTTGGTTGCGGGGGGCCATATTGTGTGCGATCGTGGAGTGGGGAGGAACAGAGCGATATGCATGTTGGCCTCGATAGCTAAACAGGTCATAGGTTCTACGCGGGGCCGCTTGTGGCATTTGGACTTTGTTCAACTGGTAGTCTGTCGGTTCGACGGATAGAACGTGGCGAATGAAGACAAAAGCGAAAGCAGCTGAGAAGAGGAAATAACGCTTGTTACGAGAAGATAAGGTCTTGCTTTGGCAAGGCGTCTAAACATGGTGAGATCTCTACCCCAGATGTGATTGGCCTATGGACAGCTGGCGTGGCGTCCAGCAATAACCGGGCCATACGATTGCTTCGTCTCGTAAATTCCCCAGTGGAGAAGGCCCTCAGCCGAGTCGGCTTCCAGCTGTGTCACCAGTTGGGATTATATGCGCACAATATCCCACCAAAACAAGCTTTCCCAGATCTCTGTTTGACCCAAGTCCCAAGAGATGCCTACAGCTGCGGCAGCAACCGAAATCTTAGGCCGGTGGTTGGTCCAGAACCCCTCAGACACCATCGATCATCGCCTCGCGTTGCCCGGCGATGATTGCAGTCTTTGCTTGAGAACTGAACGAGGCGCGACTGGACAGAAGCTTCTTCCTGATATGGCTTCCCATAAGGCTGGCTGCGCAACGCGCTGGAGACAACAACTGCACTGGCGAACCGGGTGGGGGTTACATAGGACGTCCTCATGATCCTCGTGATCACGGACGATCCAATGCCGTCGCTCAGTGTCACACGCAGCAAGACGAACGAACATCAGGCTCATTATCCAGCGGTCTGTGTAGAGTATCTCTACCCTGACGAGTGCAATGAAACCGAACCCCCCCGCCCTCCCATTGTTGGCTGGACGTATTCATCTGTTCTTTCTCAAATCTTTCCCAACATGAACGCCGTCTCATATTGACGGATCAATGCATCACGCCATGAGTAACCTGTTCGCGGATAGGTTAAAAAGTACCCAGAAAAGACTAACCCGCCAGCGCGGCTTCGCAGAATCAACCGTCGCCATCTTTGCCGCAACGCCTTGAACACCCAACGCGCCATAAGCCAAATCTTTTTCAGCGGTGCCTCCGGAAGGGATGTGCCTCCGTGTTGAGGACGTAGTCGTCGAGATTGATCAGGTCAGGCGGCGAGAACACAAGGTAGAAGTACTTCAGTGTTTCCGCCAGCCAGAAACTCTGACGTTCATCATGCAGCGTTAGCTATCTACCTCATTCTCCGTGACTCCAGACACAGAAACGCCCCGCTCACAAGAGAATGGACGAGGTCGAGGTTCAGTGTGGAAGAGTGCGGGTCGGGGATTGGGGGGCTTACCTCCATGTAGTCCTTCTTGGGCAAGGGGTCCTTCTTCTGGGTGACGTCCAAGACGGCGGCGTTGCCTCGGTCGACGAGCGTCCCGTTGCTGACGGCCTTCCACATCTCCCACGCCGCATCCTGGAAGCCGTGGTCGCCCGTGATGCGGTACAGTATGAAGATGCTCTCGATAGCCTCCGGGCGGAGGATGTAGCGCGGGTCCTTTGCCGTCGTGAAGCCCTTGGGCAGGTGCGCCTTGTACTCGCGGCGCAGCTTCTTGCCGGCGTCCCACTTGGCCTCGTCCCACTTGCATTCGTCCCTCCGGTCGCAGGGGATCATGTTGTAGCGCTCCGGCATCATGCCGGTCGGCATGGCCTGGTAGGCGTAGAAGCAGCCCAGCGCCAGGCGGCCGCCGACCGTTACCCACTCCTCTCTACCGAGGAGGCGGCCGGCGAGGGCATAGAGGCCGCCGATGTAGCAGGTCAGGTGCTCGCTTTCGGGGTCGAGGACGGGGTGTCCGTTGGAGTCGATTTTGACGTTGCCGGAGATGAGGATGTTCTCCTCTCCGGGCAGCATGGGGCGGAAGAAGAGTGACTCGTTGGCGGCCTTGAGGAAGTTCTCCGTCATGGCCTGGTACTTTGGCTCGCGGGTGCCGAGAAGGGCAATCATCTTGGGGAGGTACTCGTAGAGCGAGTCGGCGCCGCCGCCGATGGTGAAAGTCGAGCCCGAGGTGACGTCACGGCTGCTCATGGAAACGTACATGGGCCAGATGCCGGGCAGCCTGGTCTTCTGCTGGCCGTCGTGGAAGAGGTCCATGACCCTGGCCACGGCGTCGTAGTACTTGGGGTCGCCGGTGAGCTGGGACAGGCGCGTCATCTCGAGGGACAGGGTGCCGGGGGAGGCGGAGACGACGGAGCCCTCGACGATGAGGCCCTTGCCGGCCTTTGCGTCGGCGAAGTTAATAAAGTCGACGGGCATGCGGTGCTCGGTGTCGAAGGCGCCGTAGAGCAAGTTGCCGAGCTCGACGGCCTTGGCGAGCAGGACGGGCCGCCTGCTGAGGTCGTAGGCGGCCATGAGGCCGCCGAGGTAGCGGATGTTGGTCTCAAAAGTGTTGACGCGGTTCGAGGACGACTGACTGAAGTCGATGGTGGCGACGGCGGCGACGGCCTCGTCGAACTCGGCCTTGAGGCCCATGATCCAGAGGACGTCGAGGGAGTCGACGAGGGTGGCGGCCCAGCCGGAGAACTGGTCCTTGGGGGTGGCGGAGATGGGGTTGAGGGCGTCCTTCATCCAGGCGAACTCCTTGTAGCTCGCCCAGTTCTTGAGGAAGAGCTGGCGGACTTCGCGGCGGCGGGCCTCGCGGGCCCGGGAGGCGGAGATGGACTCGGTCGGGAAGCGGTGCTGGACCCGGGGCAGGGAGTTGCCGGGACGGCCGACGGGGACGGGCGTCAGCGGCGTCGGGGCCGGGTACTTGACGGGGACGGAGGACCAGTCAAAGGCGGGCTTTGGCGTCACGGGGGGCGGCGGGACGTTGTCAAGGTTCATGTACTTTTCGAGTATGGCAGACTCGGTACGCGGGTGGAGCCAGACGGTGTCGAGGATATAGATGAGGCAGACGACACTGACGAGGCTGAGGATGAGGGAGCGCACCCGCGTCCAGCGGTGCAGTAATGAGGCCATGGCTGGGGATGATGTTGTGTGAGATGATGTGACGTTGGTGCTGCGCTGCAACGGGATTGGGAGTGTCGCGGTGATGGTCTCACGATGAACGACGAATTAAGGAAGATGCACGGCTAAACCTCTCGAGCCATAGGCCAAGCTATCAAGCGGCTCGCTCTCTCCTTCCCTCTTTCTGTCAATGTCTCAATTGAAAGGGAAGCAGGGAATGGCGGAAGAATTGTAGCTAGGTATATGAGACAACGAGAATCTGGTATGAGGCAATCGTTCGTTCAATGCTCGCGGCCGACGTCGTTCGTCATGAAAAGAAACAAAACGAAAAAGAAGAAGAAGCGTGTTTGGGATTATGTTTATTCGTGATTCGAAAAAAGGGGAAGGATAATCACAGTCAACAGAAAACGATCTCCGCCAGGGCGGTGGGTGCCCTGGTGGCGTTGCAGCAGCGAGCGGCGTTTCGAGACATGGAGCTCAAAGTATAAAAAAACAGGAGAAAAAGAAAGACGCCCCATTTCCCCCTTTCTCTCTCCCTAGGTAATTAGCGCCCGGGTCGATGATGACGATGTGCAATCGGACACTGTCCTCTCTGCAGACCCTGCACAGTCAACCCCCATGTCCAGAGGAAAGCTTTTAATAGAAAGGTATCGATGGAGGTGGGCACCTAAGTTTCGCGAGTGCGTGCCTGAGAACGGGAGCTGTGTCAACAATGAGCCCCAACGTCTGCATTCATGAACGATGACATGTTTTTTTCAGGCTGTCATGCCATCTTGGGACGTGGTTGATGGCGATGCGTTCCGTGGTAGAGTTATGTTCAAGTCTCGTCCATGTCGCCAGGAAATCCCCCCTTCTTTCTCTCTCTCTCTCTCTCTCTCTCTCCCTCTCTCTCCCTCTCTCTACTCTTTCGGCGTTAGTTTGTTTCAAGAAGAGAACGCTTCCAGGTGGTGAAACTCTATAAAGGCACGAACAACCCAGTTCTCTGGATGAACTGTCGGTCACGGCGCGGTCACTTTAGACATTCCAGACTAGTTTGGTTTGATGGATGTTTCCCCGCAGTGGGCCACGGCGGCGGGCCGGAACCTTTGAGCGCTAGTAGCCCTTGATGATCGCGGAATCGGGACGGTCCAGCGACGGGAACTGAGGCCTTTCGACAGAGGGGGATGAATGATTGGGCGGTTGGCTAAATAGGTGCAGGCCAAGACGCAGGAACGGCGTGCATCTCACCTGGCACCAAGACTTGGCCGTCTGTTTCCGGGGAATTGGAACCGGGAGAGAAGGATGCAGGTGGTCAGACTGCATGTGGCGTCGGGCAGAGCGTATCTCCTCATAATGCCTGAGATGAGTGGTGAGATGGGTGGTGATGAGATGAGCGGTGATGTGAGTGATGAGGTGAACAGCCATTCGATTTGGCCGCTCCGGAATAAGGTTAGAGGACACCGTTGGGGGACGGTATAAAGATGTACCGAGAATAGGGTTTTGGATGAGTGCAGTGGGGTCACATCACAGTCCCTAACAAACGCAAATCCGTCATAATAACAACTCCCTTTGCCAGGAGACTATGGCTTCAGCCATTTTCCCACTTGGAGACCGGAACGACGGTCGATGATACCCCACCCGTTGGGATGGATTTATCTTTTGACCGCGCGAGACTTCCGAACCCTCCTCCCTGCAGACGCTTCAGACCCCGCACCAGTGCCGGCTCTCGGTGCCGGGCTAAGACGGGCCGCCTCGGTCTAAGCGCGCCTACCACCGGAGGGGAGAGGAGAGCCCCCCTTCCGCAAACCGGGCCAATCTCGGGGGTTTCGTCCTCGCGCGGGGGACCCCAACGCTGCGATCCATACATACGATGTGTACCTAGTGTATTATGTGGTAGACCTACCTAGTCTCTCCTCTCCGCAAAAGAGTGGTGACGGTGGCAAAGTCACGACCGTGGGTCAAAACACCATTAAGCGGGTCCGACGGTGGACGTCAGGGTTTGTGCAGCTCATCCCGACAAGCAATGATGCAATTGAGGCCCCTCCCCCTCACTCTTGCTGAATGTGGCCACCTAGAAGCTTCTCTAACCCGCTTTCCCGCCAGTCCAACATCGCAATAAATCCCCCTCAATTCCCTTCCAACTTCTGATCATCCTGCTCTGCTCTGCTCTGCTCTACTTTGTTCTGCACCGCGGTAGTTTCTCTTCTTCCACCAGCAAACGTTTAAAACACCACACCAAACATGTCTTTCGGTAACAAGGCCAAGCTCAACACCGGTGCTGAGATCCCGTACGTCAACACACACTCGCTGCCAATTCTGCCCTCCTCGTCCTCGTCGTTCCTGCCTTCAGAAGGACGACAGGGACGATGGTTGTCGCGGGCGCACTCTCTCCCAAAATGTAGCAAATGCTAACTGATGGACCAACAGTACTCTGGGCTACGGCACCTGGCAGTCCGCTCCCGGCGAAGTCTCCGTCGGCATCTACGAGGCCCTCAAGGCCGGCTACCGCCACCTCGACCTGGCCAAGATCTACCAGAACCAGCCCGAGGTCGCCCAGGGCCTTAAGAAGGCCCTCGCCGAGATCCCGGGCCTCAAGCGCGAGGACATCTGGATCACCTCCAAGCTGTGGAACAACAACCACCGCCCCGAGAACGTCGAGGCCGCCCTTGACGAGACCCTCAACGAGCTCGGCCTCGACTACCTCGACCTCTACCTCATCCACTGGCCCGTCGCCTTCAAGAAGGAGGGCGACAAGCTCTTCCCTCTCGCCACTGAGGGCGAGGTCGCCCTCGATCAAGGCGTCTCCCTGGTTGACACATGGAAGGGTAAGCTAAGCTGCCTCGCCCCCCTCCTTTCCCCCCTCGCGAACCTGCTTGCTGACTATGCCGCCGCTAGCCCTAATCAACCTGCCCAAGTCCAAGGTCAAGAACATTGGTGTCTCCAACTTCACAGTCGAGGACCTCGAGACCGTCATCGAGGCCACCGGTGTTGTCCCCGCCGTCAACCAGATCGAGCGTCACCCTCTCCTCCAGCAGAACGACACCCTTCTCAAGTACGCCAAGGAGAAGAACATCCACATCACCGCCTACTCTGTATGTGTGCCCTTACACCTTGCCCGCCCAGTGGATGAAAATGGAGATTAAAATGCAGATGAAAGTACAAATGAACAAAGACTAACCGACAAATGCAGGCTTTCGGCAATAACAACTTGGGTGTGCCCCTCCTTATCGAGAACGACACCATCAAGAAGATTGCCGAGCGCCTCAACGCCACCCCTGCCCAGGTCATCCTCGCCTGGTCCCAGGTCGGCGGTCACTCAGTTATCCCCAAGTCCGTCACCCCGAGCCGCATCCACTCCAACTTCCAGGAGGTCAAGCTCTCGGATGACGACGTCGCCGCCATCAACGAGCTCGGCAAGAACCCCCGCCGCTACAACATCCCCATTCTCTACAAGCCCCGCTGGAACATCAACATCTGGGACGAGGAAGAGGAGAAGAAGGCCAGCAACAAGGTCGTTCGCAAGCTATAGACTGTGTTTCCATGATCAAATGATACCATGCCCGAGTTATAGAGAGCTGTAGACAGCCGACCCAAAAGATAGACGACTCAAAATGAATGACGAGAAGAAGTAAATGACAAGAGTCGCGCACCCGTCCGAAATCGAGGTCTGAAGGGATTTCTGAAGCCTGTTCCCTTGTGCGTTTTCGGCCGAAAGTCCAGAATGAGGAAAGAACTCACGACCCTTTCCCCCCCTCACTCCCCTTCTAGCCACGCCCTGTTCTGTGCCACAGCTACGAGTGAGCAAAAAGGGCGACACCATGCTTGTGTATTATTTCTCGCTCATGGGATGTCTATCTGTCTGTGCCTGGAAGCTGGAACGACGAATCTTGACATCGTGGTGTGCGCCTATCCTAAGTCCCTACCTCGACCGTGATGCAAGTCCGCCACCTCAAAACGGACCCGAATTTACAACAACCAAATCCATCTTAATTAATCATTTATGTAGCGAACGCTCCAGAAGTGAGATTCTCGTTGATGCTTCCGCCAGCAATGAATCATCTCGTCGAAAGACATGATGATACTGGTCAAATTAGCCTCAGAACCTGGGGTGTTGCTTCGTTCACATCTTGCTCAAATTGAGCAAGTTCGTCAAGATGGTAAAAGGCACAGTCCTTCCTGTCGATCTGGTGCCCATGATTTCACGTGGTTTGGCAGCACCTATGCCCATTATTCTCCAGCCATGAAGCTGGCAGTACCAAATTTCGTAAGAAAACGATTAAACGCGATTTCGCAATTAGCACTCTGATGACTAGCTGTAGGTTCAGCCAATGTCTACCATGTATTTAGTTTTTGGCCAGTTGATTCAACCTAGGACTGGCTGTCAGTATAGTATATTGTACGGATGTTGAAACCGTCTATCAGGTTTAAGCAGTTGCGATTAGCATCCTCCTACGAGGCTACGACTCTAGGGTCCATGAACAACCCAGACTACCTCTCCAGGGTCACCAATCAGGTTCATTCCATAGATGACAGCCACAAACCTATCAAAAGACGAAAAGTCTCGATGTACTTTGCTCTGTTCTGAGTCTGGTATTTGCTACCATTTACTCTTACAGGTAGGTACAGCAACCTTTTGTTCTGGATTCGGACGTCAATCCAGGGTCACCCACAATGTTCGTCATCAGAGCCTCATGGCCATAAGCAGACATATTAGAGCATAGGCACAATGTATTATAGAGCTAAAAGATGCTGTTAAGAGCAGACAGGTAAAAAATAAGGGCACTGGTCGTATTAGGATCCTAGTCCTGTCTCAACACGATATCTTATCCCTTCTCACAGTACCCCACTTCTCGCTGTGGACAGCAAAAATTCCAAAAGAACATACAACACCAGGTATTCGCTGGTCATCACCGACCCAACTACTAATCCGGCCCTCACTGGCTTATCTATGGGAGAGCGGACGGGATCCCGAGTTCTCCAGTGGGTATGGTCGTATGTGTTAGACTTTGCAATCGGAGTTTACTATAACTCAAATACCCCCCTTCTGCACCACCCCCACATTTACACCATTTTCACCACCATCATCACCACCATCATCACCACTTATTTCACCATCTCTGCCGCCCACCCATATGCAACTTCCGGCCTCGCTGGGCAATTCGGATGCCCTGGATTCATCCAGACTATCTATATTGCCAGTATCTAGACTTCAGGCCTAGATTATATCCTCTATAGTAGCAAAGGTGCTGTTAGGAGATAGTCAGACCTTTTTCCTCTTTTATAACTATATATTATCTAACTAGGCCTATAAAAAGCTAACTTACCTTTCTAGAAGGGCTACTTTAGATGCCTGCTTATTATAGCCTTTTTATACCTTTTAAGATAAGTAACAAATAGTACAGGTATCTAGCCTATCCTAGCCTATCTAGTTAAATAGTTATAATTAATACTATAAATTAGTAGATCCTTTAGGTGTTAACTATTAGATAATAGATATAGCTTTATCCTACTGTTAGCTACTAGTCTGCTAGCTAGGCTGGCTTTATTAGGCCTTAGTTACTATAGAGTTAGATAGAGGGCGCCTTATATAGATAGGCTATAATCTAGCTAACCTCTAGCTACTACTAATGTTCTTACTTATAATAGCTACTTTATAGGCCTTAAAATAACACTATAGGAATGCCCTTTTGCTAGCTATAGTTAAATCCGTAACCTAGTTATCTAGATATCTAACCCTTTAGTAATAGGCCTGCTTTAATAGGCTAAAAACAGCTATATCTAGAGGCTAGAGGATAGCAGAGGAGTATAGTAGTAAAAATAGGAGATAAATATAATACTACTAGTATTACTATATAAATTTAATAGTTATATAGCTATAATACCTATCTAGGATTAATAGTCTAGCCTCCTTTAGCTAGGTAGGTGTAGTTAATAAGATAAAGACCTTTTCTAGCTATTTAAGGGCAGTATTATTAGTTATCTAGCTATTATTAAAGTAAGTAAAGTGCTATTCTTTATATTTTAATAGGTTAGATAAGAACTACTAGGCCTAAATAGACTTCTTTTTATATATAACTAATAGGTATAAGGACCTCCTATTAGTAAATATATATTTAATAAGGGAAATCTATACCTAGGATCCTAGCTATTATTTTTAGATATACTATAATTCTAAAGAGCCTATTACTAGCCTATTAGACCCCCTGCCCTCTATAATACTAGTCTTATCTATATTCTATTAGTTAGATAAATAAATTCCCTAGATAGTAGGGATATTAGTTAGGTGCTAGAAGAATTCTTTAATAACCTTAGAAGAATAGGCTGCCTATTACTAGGCATCTATTAATCTAGAGCCCTTAGTTCTAATAGATAGATTTTACTACTAAAATTAGGCTATCTACCTCTTCTTAAGAAGAGGATACCTATTACTTATTATACGCTCTACTAGGCCCTTTACTTATTAATAGTTAAAGGACCTACTAAGAGAGTCTTAAAGAGATATATAGGCAGCCAGTATCTCCTCTTAGCTCTAAGATAGTTACTATAGATAGGTAGAGGCAGTGCCCTTAGATTGCCTACCGTAAAGCCGGTATCAAAGAGTATAGTATAGGATACCCTATTTACAAGCTGCCTAGCAGATAAAGTAACTACTATTAATATCTAGAAGTGCCTGTTAGAGCTAATCTTCAGTATATTGCTTTATGATAGGTTAAAGAAGGTATACTGAGAGTTTAAAGCGATTTGGATAACTATAGGAAATGTTATAATAGTTTAAAAAAAGTGGTGATGTTAATGAAGGAGGAGAGTTTAGGTGGTGCAAAAGCGGGGGTGGTGCAGAAGCGGGGTATTTGAGTTATTGCATTTGCTTGCTTACTACAAGCGTAAAGATGCTAATTTCAGCACGCATGTCACTATACAAAGCTTCTCTCACGAGCTAGAGCACACAGCAGATAGGGAGATACGAATGAGCGAAAAGGCTTGAATTGTGTGAAGACGAATCTCCCGGGTGGAGGGCCCATATAAAGGGGGCCCTCGAGCTCGTTCATGTGACATGGCACGTGGTGTGGCTGACGACAACCGCCACATATACAAGAGCCTCCTGTGATAGCTTCTCTTCTTTATATCAAAATCGTCCGCATGACTTTCGTTTCTCATCTCTCTTGAACCGCAAATCATCGTCCTCGTAAATTCGTGATAAGCTATTTTCGTTGCGTCTCAATTGCATTAATTTTCAGAGTCAACTGACCTTTTTCCATGTCACTCGTCCATTATTCGCCTCCATGGCCGGCAGCAGTTAGGGGAGACACCCTTCATGTCGGTCCGCAGCAGCTAGACTGACTGACGGCTGGGCTAACAAGCGACGTGCGGAGTACGGAGGTGGGAATTCACCCGGACGCTCGAGATATGCACCACAACATGGTGTTCAAGGTTGAAATGACGAACAAAAGCGACGATGCGCCGAACCTCGTCGCGGCGCGCATTGCGGACAAGGCCTATTCCCAAAACCGCTTCCTCGGCGCCGACGGCTCTGCGGTTTCGAAAAGAGGGTGTGGTTGATCGCGAGGAATTTACTCCACAGCCTATTCTGTAAAAAGAAAAGAAAAGCAACTGTACTGGCCGAGGTGACACAGCAGGATCGGTTTCTATCAAAAGCGCCGTTGTACTGCTGTGTGTTATATTCTGAAAGGGCCGCCGGCTAGAAGGAATCTGAGAGGAAACGGTCCACTCGCGCAATGTCGCTGGTTCTAACAACACACAGACTGTTGTCCTGGTCTTTTGCTTGTTGGTGAGCCGAGTATTTTAATTCCTTACGTTGTTTTGCCGCTGGTTCAGTAGAGAAGGCCAGGTCTAAAACTAGACCGCACAGAGTCTTGTGGACTTCCAAGAGGTAAATAAGGCTAAATGGGCGGATGCCCGGGGCCCCGGCCTCGTCTTTAGGCCAACTGAACGTAACAATAGAGAGATCCTACATATAGATAAGTATTATAAGTGAGAAGTATATCTAACGTAATAGAGTAAATAGTAAGACTATTACAAGTATGAGGGTGTATTATGCTATTGTAACAAGGTTGTTGTTTAGAATCCCAAAGTTTAGTTATATTCTTTGAGAACAAGTTACTTAATCTAGGGATCGTAAATAACAAAATCAACTCTTGATCTAGAACCTAGTTGTTGAAACTGTGTTCCTAAATGTTTAGTGTCGGTCCGTACGTCTCAATAGTAGGAAACTAAGTAGATGGTAAAATAAACGAGTGTATTACCGCGCGCTTCTACCCGCCCGGCCCACCGTAGCATTTAGCCTAGCACCTTCGGTATTTAGATCGTCGCGCACAGAGACTTGAACTCCTCTGGAACATTCTCAGCAGCAGCAAAGGTCTCAGTAAGGCCGGCTGGCAAAGGCGCTGTTGGCTCATCGCCTCTCACTGCGGCTGGAGGAGCGACGAGCGACGCTGACATGTGCGCCGTTGACCACCAGTCGTTGTGAATTTCCTTGCAAATAGTCGAGTGCCTAAGAGTGTTCGCCATAGTGCCGCAATTACCTACCCAACACATAAACTCCGGTGCATATCGCCCTCATCACGATGACTAAATATCGAGAGGATCAAAAAGAGAGAGAGAAAAAACCATGATTCCACAGCGTTGGTTTGAGAAACAAGACCACGGATTTTTGTCAACTCCCGGTGATTGAAGCGAGACGTGAGATTAGACGTGAGGAATTTACAGCATCTTGAAATATAAATCACACAGCTTCCCATCTTTCTATCTACCGCTACATCGCGGCTACCCTTGCCAAGAAGCCACTGTGATGGGAACTGCAGCTCGAAGTGCTACACAGCCTACTGCGGCTGACGATACAGAGAAATCAATCACCTTGCTGTCGGGCTGTTGAGTCAAAGGAGGCATTCCTCTATGGAAGCCCTCATGGTTGACAGGGTAGAGCAGATGGGGGTGAAGCGCATGAGATTGCAGCATCATAACTTTATAAGAGGATGATCTGCCGCAAACCAGCACATACGACCATACCCACTGGAGAACTCGGGATCCCGTCCGCTCTCCCATAGATAAGCCAGTGAGGGCCGGATTAGTAGTTGGGTCGGTGACGACCAGCGAATACCTGGTGTTGTATGTTTTTTGCTTTGGCTCCCTTTACTTAAGGGGCAGTAACATAACTATCACCGAACTATAGTCATCCATCTAATAAAATGCTAGTTGGTCAGTATATATTTCCAAGTCGATGCTAGAATTCGTATCCTAGAGTATATAAACTTGCATAATGCGCATGCCTTGCGCCAGGCCTGATCTAACAGTTCGTGCTTTGGCTGCGTAAAACGACTGTATCTCCACCCGTTTCGCCGGCCCTGAACGTCGGAGACCGTCTTGTATCTCATCCCCTGGTGGTCGTGGCAAGCATCACCCAGTCTCCCTGACTAATGCGTAACTGACATATTACTAGAAAATAAAGCCATATACCGATAGGATTATTCAGTTTAGGCGGACTGGACCGCACAGAATGGCGCGAGTACATCAAGGACGACATCCTTGACCTGATTGCCCGTCTTTCCTCGCGCCACGAGTCTTCGACTCGATAGAATGATGGCTTCGTAAATATTGAGCCGTAATGTTGTACGCAAAATCGACCTTAAGCTCATCTGCAACATCACCCTTTGTTAAAAAGGAGGATAAGAGAACAAGAGAGAAGAAAGAGTTTAGAAAAAAAAGCACAACGGAAGGCAACGCCATGCAGACTAGCGCTATATAGCATGTAAATAGAAATCAGCTTAGCTCAGTCAAGATATTTACATAATAATACACCGAAAGAAAACATAGTGTCACTGCTCGTAATCAAACATTTGGTCATGACTCTACAATACAAAAGAAGAAAGACGAGAAACAGTAGCACACCGATAGGGGAAAAAACAAATCCAAACGCCCTTTCAAAAGTCTCACACATCACCCGGCCCTCAGCACTAATAAAAGTCAAGCATATCATGGTCACCGTCTGTGTTGCTGATACTCGGATTGCTCATCAGGCTGTCCTCCAAATCCTGTCTTGACAACCAACCTCGGTTCTGCCCTTGTCCCGGCTCCCAGCCCATTCGCTGTGCTGGTATGCCCCGGCCGCGGAACGTCGCAGCCGTACCTTGTGGAACGGCCTGGTCTCTGGACGTCGCTACAGGCACCGGGCTTTCTTTATGTGTACCCTGATGCTTCTGGACCTGGCTTCCGTCAACGAAAGCCGTAGTCGTCTGGGGGGAGCACCCCACGTGCCGGTTCAGCAACCCGGTCCCCTGCGTCCTCGTCCCTCCGGGGTGCTGTGGCGGCGACGACCCCAGAGCGCCAGGCGACGAGTAGGCCTCCGGGTCCGTTATACGGCATCGGCCGTTTCGCTCCGAGTCGGGTGAGTCAGGAATCGAGGGCGCCGGATCGCGCGGTACGTCCTGGAAACCTTCGCGCCTCCTGAACGCCAGCGGGGAGATCGGCGTTGACGTGGCTGACCGCGCTGCGAGCGCCTCTCTCATGTCCCTCTCCGCCAGTAGGTCCTCGGTGAACGACGCCGACAAAGCGCCCGGATGCGGGAAGATGCCCATGGTTTGGGGGCCCCCAGGCGTCAAGTTTGGGAACGCGTTGACGACTCGCGGCGGCGGTTGCGGGTGAGGGCTTGAGAAGAGGTAAGGTTGCTCCGGCTTGGCTAGAGGGAAGGTGAAGGAGGGAAAGGCGGCAAAGGGATTCGGCACCCGGGGCTGCAGGTCGGGATCGGCTACTGACGGGCTTATCTTGGAAGCTTTTGTGTTCCTCGAAGGCCTGCGCGGCTTCGGCCCCGTGGGTTTTGACAGCGGCTTCGGATGCTCGAGCTCTGCGGGGGCCAACCGTGCCGTGTATATCCTCCTGCGCTTGAGAACGTGCTTCCTCGACGGCAGGTCGTCCTTCGCGTTTTCCCTCTTTTTGATGATCCTCGTGAGCGGATCGTTGTCCTCGTCGGAGTCCTCGTCAACCGAACGCTGGTCATGCGAGGCCTTCATCTGGGCGACGATGGCCTCGAGGTGCTCTTTCTGGTCCTTGACCAGATCGATCCTAATGTTTTCCGCCGCTTTGAGCTTGTTCCGAACGAAGAGAAGGAAAGGTTGGATCTCGGCCAAGCACGCTACCGGCATCAGGTCGATCTCTTTTTGCGCGATCTTGACCATGCGCATCGAGGCGGGCCGTTTCGCCTTCCTGATGTTCGGGATCAGCGGCTGCAGACGTTGGAAATTGTTCGGGTTGATCTCTCTGACGTCCCTGGCCCAGGGGATGAGCTCCCTGATCTTCTCTATGAGCACCATGAAGTTGTGGGCAAAATGGGGTTTGACATCGAAGGAGGCTTTCAGGCGTGAGATGCCTTTGTAGCAGACAAGTGTGTTATTGCATTGTTTTACCAGAACAACGAGACGGTTGGCGAGCTGGTCGACGACTTTCCGCTGCTTTGACCTCTCACGATCCTCGGGAGATAGCTGGTATATGTCCAGGTACAGCTCATGGACGCAATCGATTTCGAACGACACTCGATTATGCATCTTTCGGAAGAGGTCGTCGAACCTCTGTCGTGCGTACGTGCCCACTTCTCTGATGCGTTCCCAAAAAGTGTTGTCATCCTGGAGTCTCTCCGAGCCACGCGGAAGCGCAAACGGTATCCTAGCGCACGAACCTCTCAGCTTCTGGATGAGAGCCCGATACCTCCGCAGTGTGACCGCTTTCCAGGAGTCACAACGCTCGGAAATGTTCTCCTTCTTCCGATTGGGAGACGTGTACCACAAGAGATTGCTAAGGATCTGTGCCTCCATGATGGATATGTCGAGCTGCTTCATAGTCAGTTCAATCTCCTCCAGCCTGGAGAAGAGGTTCTCGTGGTCTTTCTGCCACCGGAAGTGCACAGAGTGGTAACGGAAATACTCCCCCAGGAGCCGTTCGAGGAACTCCCAAACAATGGCCCCAGCCCTCTGCAGCTTCTCCTTTTCCGGCCAGAGGGCCACCATCATCTTGCCGAGGTCCGTGGTGTCGTTCTGTAGGCTGGCCAGGGGCAGCTCATCCATCGCGAACCGGACCCGCGTCGGGTGAGCAGTGCCGAGCCGCAGCGCGGCGGTGCCGAACTTTTGCACCTCGGAGCGCCAAAAACCCTCGGAGAAGAAGCGCGCAATGTCGACAACCTTGACAGGCAGTCGGTACGTGTCGGCGGGCATCGGCGGCGTGCGCAGGACCATGTCCGCGGGATTCTCGCGTATCTCGCTCCACGTCTGCATGCGGTCATTGTCGTACTTGAACCCCGTGGGCCATCGCATCATCAGAGACCCCGAAGGTAGGAAGTGGAGATACTTTATTGGCATGTTTGACTGGCAGATGGCTTGCCAGTTGGAACCACCAAAGATCTGGCGTCGAGGGAGTTGGTCTCAGTTCAACACTTTTGCCAATCATGTAAGGTCTTCTGTCATTGGCGGGGGGTCTGACTTACATGGTTTTCAGTACTATGACCGAGTTCGCTTTTCTGCTCGTTTTCAAAGTATGGTTCGATGGGATTCCGATTCTTCAAAGTCTTGCTGCCGAAGAGACTTACACCGATGTCGGCAAGTGCTTGCTTCAAATCCGGTCGTGTTCGAAGTTCTGGTATAAGCTCAGCAGTTGGCCCTGGTGTGTGTAGCCAATGCATATGTGCGTAGTTGACAGCGTGCTGGTTGGTGAACTTTAGTATTTTGTGCGTCACTCAGTCACTTTGGATAAGCCTTAATAGAGTAGTGGAGAACTGGGAAGAACATACTGCGATTTCGTGAATGATAGTGGCCGCCAAGGAAAATTGGCTCACGATTTTCTCATCCTGACTGTAGCCATCTACCACCAGCGGCCACATGGCGTCAACCGAGAGCTTGATGACAATCTTGTTGCCTTCGGCCGTCGTAGATCCCGCCAGTGTATCGCCATCGGAGCTGGAGCCGAAGGCGCTGCCGAGCTCGAACTGCATGCAGGAGTCCAATGTCCTCCAGGTCGCGCCAACGGCGTCAACTGCAGCGCGAACGTGATCGTCGGCTACGGTTATGCTGGGTGTGTCATTTTGTAAGCGAAAGTTCCACGCCGAGTACATCCTCCTCTTGTGAGGCGGCCTGGGGTCGCGGTTGGATACCACGCGGACTCTGTTGAATACGTCCATCAGCCATGCCCAATAGGGATCGTGATGTTCGAGAAAAGTAAGGATGCGAGAGGCGGCTCGCAGCGTGGGTTGCATCCTTCGCCAAAGATCGTCGTTCGTCTGCGTGCGCATCAGGTCAGCTGACAGATGCCCTGTTTAAACTTGTGCCTTTTCTTTACTCTTGGGTCCCATTCTCCCTTCAAGTTACCGGCTTGGTAGACAAGCCTTGGGTTCTCGGGCTCGTCCCCGCGCCACGTTGCGGCGTTCCACTTGCTTCGTTGTAGAAGCCTGTGTTTAATAATTCAGCATTGTTGGGACGCATCATATGAAAGGGGAACGTACCTATGTAAGTTGTTTTCCAAGTTGCAGCCAAAGGTGTTCTTCAACGATAATATTCCATCGTCCAAGAGCTTGCTATCTAATCAGCTCGTATGCTACCGTTGACGCCAACAAGAGCCTTACCTCTTGGGTGGTCACACCCCCCAAAACCAGAGACTGCCAATCTTCGTCATCTTGCATATTCTGCATCGCCAGGAGCACAAACATTTCCGTCTCAGACGGTTGCTTGGCACCGTTCACCATCTTTATTTGCGAGTACTTCTCAAGCAGCCCGTCGATGTCGTCCAGACTGGCGTTTGACGCGTACTTCTCGGCCTGTCTCATGATGTACTCGCCCTTGACGTCTATGCTGTTCACGTTGTCGACCCTGAACTGCCGAAACGTCGAACGCGTTGGCGTCAGCCGGGAGCGCCCATCGGTGCGGTCGGGGTGGATGCCGAAGCGGAGCGCGAACGCGGTTGGGTTCTGGCTGCGGTCCTGCGGCAGCTGCGCGGGCCGCAGCCTGTTCAGCAGGCCCCTTTTACGGACAAGATGGCCGAGGTCCTCATCGACCATGACGGTGTCGTGGCCGTCCCATAGCGGGTCGGTCCAAGCGGGGACGAATTCAATGAACTCCCAAGTTCCCTGGTTCACGAGCTTCGCGGGTGGAGGCGGGACGTGCAAAGATGCGTGCCGGCGTCCTGGCCTTTGGCTGGCGTTGTGCTGGATCGAGTCGTCGTGTGACCGCGTTGCGTTCGCCAGTATTTCGTCTGTTACGCCATTGCCATCTTTTTCGTCGTCGTCGTCGTCGTCGTCATCGAGGCCATGCTCTGGGTATTCTCGACTGTTGTTCTGGTACCAGTGCTCGTCATATTGCAGCAGTGCCTGAGCAGCCTCGTCGGAGGTCGTTTTCATCGCGTATACGTTACCTGGAGATAATTCTGTTCAGTCAATAGAAACTTAGAGCTGTGGGGATGAGGACACGATAGTTTCCACGGTGAACCACCGAGGTGAGTACCATCACATCATTCAAACTAGGAGTTCAGACTTTTTGGCGTTTGCTAACCCATCCATTGTCTAAGCCAGCACGACCTCCCCTGACAATTATATTGCCACCAGTGCTATTGTACATGGAATTTCTTGCACACAAGAAATTACTTGGGTCCGGTTCTGGAAGTTTTGCTTTCAGTGTTAGAATTTGGATTCCATATTTCCCGGTTCATAATAATGGGCTTTGACAGGTACAGGGCTTACTTGTGGCATTATTTCCGAGAAACACTGCATCCGACACCCAACACTTGCGAGAAACGTAGTGCGACAGGACTTGGACCGGCAAACATCCAAAGTTGGACCGACGGAAGTTGCTATGAAGGGTGCTGCTAGAGCAAAGACAAACCCGTTTGCCAGGGGTTGCGCACTGTAGCAGTTGCTAATATTGGTGCAGGTATCAGATGGTCCTGCACCCTGCGGAAACAGATGCAAAACTGCCTCTGTTTGTCCGTTTGCGGTCGATCAATCTTGTGTAAGTGATAGCATCTCCCTACGGAGAGATGGCCAAGTAGTACATATCACTCAGCCAACAGCAGGAGGGACAATCGTGCCTGCTTACTTTGAGATGCCAACCACCTTCCTGGTCTGGAGAATGCCCTCGAGCTACCTTCCTTGTAGTTCTCATCCGTCCGTCTGATCAGACCAGAACTATTCCTCGCCCACCTTACATCTTGTCTCACCTAGCAATCTGTATCCTGGTAAGAAAGAACAGCAAAACATCACACAAAAGCAAGAGCAGGGGTCATATGTCTGCCTCGGAGATTACGGATACGCCATCATATGGAAAGACGTCGTCCTGACCACCTGGTGACCCTCGAAATGTTGTCCTAGGCTCGCCAAAAGTAAAGCTTCCAAAGTCCCAAGCCCCAAACCACGATATGATGAATGCTTGAAAGGCCGACATAAAAAGACAGCGGGTAGCCATCAAAAGGCCCAAGGGAGGCCCATTGTCGGAAGCATCTCTTACTCCCTCGCCTCCCAATAGCAGCATAGTCTTGTCATACCACTCGTTTTTTCAATCCCCTTGCGTCCCCCTCCCCTTCGCGATGACCATCGCCTCGCTTCTTCTCCTCTCGGGAGCATCGCTTACGGCAGCCCATTGCGCCGAAGACAACTGCCTCCGCGCCCTCAACGCGACCCAGACTCCAGGCCGCCTCGCTTCTGCACAGGCTTTCTGCGCGAGCTTCACCTGCACGCTGGCGGCGGCTAATACCTCCGTTCCAGACTATGCTTTGGAGAACTGCAACGGTGCCTCGGGCCCGGTGGCGTCATCGAGGTTGTCAAGCGCGTGCTCGTGTATCGCACCTAGGGTTACAGAGGCTAGTAGCATTCCTAGACCTGTGTTTGTCACTGTGACGACGTCCAAGTTTCCATGCTTCAATACAACGACAACAAGGGTACCAGTGGGAACAGGCACGGGGATAGGGACCTCTTCTGCTGTTGTCAATCCAACCTTGACGTCTGCGTACGGCGGCGAGCGTCCTACGGGGGAGCCTTGCGCAACCATCAGCGAGTTTTGGGCCAAGGAAGTGGCGGCTGCCAGTGAGTGACGGCCATGTCTCAAACTCCAAGCATTCAATGATGACTGATACACCTCCTAGATCCCAATCCGAGTGTGGATGCAAAGCTGGCCTACGAGTGCCTCAGATCGGTGCCCCTCCACACAGAGGCCGCCATCGCCCTTGTCGATGCCATCCGGCCTTACCTTGAGTGGCAGTCCGACCTCGCCTACCTCAAGGACCCGCCAGTAGGATACGAGCCCAAGGCCTTCGACCCCATCGGGCACCTGCAGAGGGTCCGGGAGAGGCTGGTCGCGGACGCGTACGACGGTGAGGTGGACTTCCAGGAGGACCTCTTCGAGATGACCGCCAAGACTCGCGACGGTCACTTCGCCTTCCTACCGGACGCCTTGACCGGCGTCTTCCAGTTCAGCCGGCCCTTTCCGCTCGTGTCGTATGCCAAGGACCCCCTTTCCACGCCCGTCATCAAGATCTTTGACGAGGTCAAGGCTGTCGGTAACAATGCGAGTACCGTGTTGCGGATCAATGGCGTCGCCGCCTCGGCATTCATCCAGGGACTTGCCGACCGGGCGTCACCCATGCACGACCCGGACGCGGCTTACAACCAATTGTTCTATTCCCAGGTCATAGGAAGACTAGGCATCCCGGGGACGTTCCAAAAGACGGGGTGGCACAATTATCTGTATCCCGGCGAGAACACGACCGTGGAGTACACCACAGGAGAGGTCAGGACCGCCGTCAATCTTGCCTCCATCCAGAAGCCCTTTTTCAACATAACGAATGGTGAGTCGTTCTATCAAAGATTCTGTGTGCCCGCGCTGGGGCGGTCGGTCTTGCTTGACGGCGCTGCTGCTCCGACAGCACCATTCAGGAGAAGCGTGGTGAAGTTCGGACAGGACCCGGAACCCGTGGTGAAGAGTTACGACAACGCGGTATCGGGCTACTATCTGAACAGCGAAGGGTTTGAAGATGTGGCGATCCTCGAAGTTGCCCACTTCACCGTGAAAAGCAGCAAGATCTTCCAGAAGACCGTCGACTCCTTCTTCGAAGCCTGTAAAAAAGCAGGAAAGTCGAGGATTATCGTCGATCTACAGATGAACCCAGGAGGCTATATTCTCCAAGGAAGCGACCTATTTCGCCAGTTTTTCCCACAGATCGAGCAGGATGCGTTCACGCGCTGGAGACAGAACGATCAATTCCGGACGATGGCGGAGGGTTATTCTGCCGCGGGGGAGAACATTGAGCCCGGTGATCGGATGGCAATTGGGCCATTATGGCACAACCAGTGGAATTACCGCACGGATCTGAACATGACAAACCAGCCGTTCGAGTCCTTCGAAGCCAAGTTTGCACCGTGGACGTGGGCAGGCGACGCATACACGGCTCTCATTCGAGATGATCTAAACGACAGCCACACGACCACTGTCAATTTTGGCATTGATATCACCGGGTACGGGAGCCGAAAAAATTTCACCCAGCCTTTCGAGTCTAGAGACATCGTCCTCTTGACAGACGGCTTCTGCGCCTCGACTTGCTCCGTCTTTGCGTCCGGAATGAAGATCCAAGGGAATGTGAAAACAATCGTAATGGGTGGCAGGCCAAATGGTGGACTCATGCAGGGTATTGGCGGCACCAAAGGAGCCCAGGTCCTCACCTTCGAGCGTGTTTTCGAAGCATCACGCATACTCATGGATACGATTTACACGAACCTGACCTCAAAGCAGGAGGCATCCCTATCGCAGCTTACCAGTTTGCCCTTCGAAAGAAGCACCGCTGCAAGCCTCAACGTTCGCGACCAGATTCTGCGCAACGACATCAACACCGGTATTCCAGCTCAGTTTGTCAATGAGCCTGCCGATTGTCGCCTTTATTGGACCCTGGGTATGCTGAGTGACGTGAGAGAGATTTGGAAAGCCGCGGCCAACTCAGCGTGGAATGGTGGTGGCTGCGTCGCCGGAACAGGCTTCGGGAAAGCGAGACCCGGTGTTCTGTCGTCGGTCAAGGCGACCGGAGCGGCGACCAGGCCGCAGACCAAGGTGATATCCGCGCTTGATGTTGGTTTGGATCAAGATGCCTTGGATCGAGAACCCGATTGGCGACCCGAAACCTTGATGTTCTAAGCTGATCGCGTGTCGCCTATGACGGGATAAGCCAGCTCAATTCGACGTATAGGTGTAGCTGTGTATCTCCTCTTGTAATTGATATGATTATCGATATCCTGTGCTCACCAGCGTGACTGATGCTTGCTCTGTGGTTGGCGGCCACAGTCGAGTGCCTCTTTTAGGCTGGGGTGTGGTTGGATGCCTCCAATGTCCCGGAAGCATGTGAAAGTGTAGTATCGGTCCATGCTGGGTCATCTGGGAACATGTGAAGTTCGGATACGTCACGTGCGCAGAGGAAAGACGGGTTCCAGAACCTGCGCGCCGTTCGCGGGGACATGCTTGCTTCACATCTATGAAGGCGGCAGCGTTACTCTGAAGATCTGACCCGGAGAGGACCATACTAGGGCTAGTTCGCCTCGTTGTATTGTTCTCAGGATTATATCGGGAGGAAGGGCCGGTGTCGGTGGTCGGGTTTACGTCGACTCATGGTTTCGGGTACTGCGGGATCAAAGTATCAGCCGACGTCACAGCGTGTTGAGGAAGTGACAGGGTAGGTGCTGACTCTTGCAGGAACTCTCGTGGCTCTCGCTGGATGCTTAGCAGTAGGATTGGCAGGGCGAACACTCGTGTTTGATGCCGCCAGGAAGTAGCGATGATGAAGGGGATTGGTGCCCTTGCCTTGTCCTTGCTGGCATTGCGTGTGATAGACTGCCCCTCAAAGCCAGCGTTTATCGAGCCATCGAGGTAAAAAGCTATGTGGACATGTGTAGTTCGAAAGGCCGCAAGCTAAAACTTCAACGATGGCCGCATCCGAATTGTTCATCGTCCCGGCTTGAACTTGCCGAAGGTGGACTGTTGCGACTCTAATGTCCATGATATGAGGCCTGAATAGCCTATGACGGTCTGGCGTGGTCCTTGAAAGTTGCTCGGCAGTATTTTAGGATGACCCGGACTGGTATCTATGGATGCGCTGGTTCAGTATCGAGGCATGTTGTCAAACACGCCGGGCTGGACCATGCCGCAGGAACAGAGTGAAAGAAGAGCCCAACGTCACCCCGAGACCCGGATCTTGGGAGAATGAGACCCCGGAAGCCAATCGGAGAATACCCGAACAAAGCCACGAGGCCAACAGTGGGAAGGCACAAATCACTATTCTCATGGCCATTGAGGCCTGAGGCAACACAGCTTCAAACTAGTTTACAGAGTGGGAAACCCTCTTACTATTTTTTATGTTATTTTTCGT